CCACTGTTCTCTTAGCGTCTAAGTTGCTAAACACCTTAGTAATCTAGGTCTTAAACCCCTTCTAGGTCCTAAAGATTTCTCTAGTAGTAACTGCTATGTTAGTGTAGAGTTGTCCCTTAAGTCCTTTCTTCTCTAAGTACTTATTAACGAAGAACTTAACCTAGTTAAAGGCAGCCCCTCTTAAAAGGGCTATAGCCTAAAGGACTTAGTTAGCTTCATTCTTAAGTATATAAGCATTAAATCTAATGTATAAGTTGCACTTAAGGAGAAAAGCCTTAAGCTTGTGTCGTTCTCTACTATAGGGCTTAGGCATCTAAACCTTAACGACTTGTTTATAGGCTAGGGCTGTTTCTATAGCAGTAGAGACTACTAGGGAAGCTGTAGGTTCTAGGGACTTGCTCTTTCTAACGGAAGACATGTTGCTTTATGTATAAGCTAGTAACTTGTAGAAGTGGTGCTTAAAGTGTAACGCTAGGTCTTAACTATAAGACTTATAGAGGTTTTATTGCGTTAGTTTACTTAATAGAGGAGGCAGGGGATTAGACACAAAGGCTTTTATAAAACACGTTATAGTATATAATAGAATACTATATTAAGTTAAGCATGAAGCTCCTATCTAAGAACTATCTATCTACTTATATAGTAGCGTCGTGCTAAAGGGAATAGTTAGAATAGCAGACTCTCTAACTATTCCTACTATTCCTACTAATCTAATTACGTGTGTGTCCTATAAGAGGTGCTATACTTATTATAGGCACCGATTCCCATAGGTGCCTTTCTAAGGAGGCACCTTGCTCTATATAGGTACCTTTCCTAATAGGCACCTCTCCTTTGCTAGGTACCTTCTAAGAAAGGTACCTTTCCCTAGAGGTGCCCTTATTAACTAAGCTACCTATAGTCTCTGCGTCCATTTCCTACTGCTAATTAGCCGCAAGCTATTTTACCTTATTATTCCATCTTGCGGCATATAGGTTGCATATCTTAGCTGTAACAGCTACCTTTAAACCCCCTATGTAGGTGTCGAGGAAGGAAACTATAAAAGGGTTAATAGAAAGGTTGTGCTAAAAAGGGCGTTTAGTTGAATAAATGGCTCTGAAATTAGCATGTGTATAATGATTAAGGGAAAGGGATTAAGGGCTAAGTCTTTAAGACATACTTAATGCTCTATCTAAGGCTATGTAGGGCGTTAGAATTTATAGAGGGCCTACAATCTAGGAGTGAGCCATTTAGCTGTTTACAACACATATAGTGCTAATATTAGCTAATGAGTTAAAAGAACTAATGCCTATAGATGTCATCATTCTTATTTCTATACATTAGTCTTGCATAGCTCTTAGCCTTACTATAGCGAATTGTTTATAAGTGTATTAAAGAGAAGTAGGCATCGTCTATACCCCTACTAGACAGTATAAATGCAGACAGATTCCTAGCATTATATAAGTGTAACTTACATTCTCATTTAAGTTTCTTTAGATCGAAGATTGTTTTACCTTATAGCTTTTCTACAACATAAACAAGTGTTTTTAACAAACTTAGCAGAAACTGTAGAAAACTCTCTAAGAGTGAGTCATAAAGAGGTTCTAATATCAAAATTTCAGCTAACTGTTAAAGAACTCAGTTGTGTCAACAATGTGTTAAAATCCACAACGAGCATCTTTACTTAGCTTAAATCAAGATCATTACCTACAAGAAGAGATAATATCTAACGACAATATCGACCTTAGCGTTGTAGCGGTAAGTCTTAACAACAGTAGCACTACTAGTTTCTAAGATTAATCGTTATTAGGAAAATGCAAAATATCCTATAGTAACGCTACTACAAAGTTAGTATCTTCCTAGTTTTCGCTATACTGTTACGGCTAAGACATGCAACCTATATGCTGCAAGATGGAATAATAAGGTAAAATAGCTTGTAGCTAATTAGCAGTAGGAAATGGACGTAGAGACTGTAAGTAGCTTAGTTAATGAGGGCACCTCTAGGGAAAGGTACCTTTCTTAGAAGGTACCTAGCAAAGGAGAGGTGCCTATTAGGAAAGGCACCTATGTAGAGCAAGGTGCCTCCTTAGAAAGGCACCTATGGGAATCGGTGCCTACAATAAGTGTAGTACCTCTTATAGGACACACACGTAATTAGATTAGTAGGAATAGTAGGAATAGTTAGAGAGTCTACTATTCTAACTATTCCCTTTAGCACAACGCTACTATATAAGTAGATGGATAGTTCTTAGATAGGAGCTTCGTGCTCAACTTAATATAGTATTCTATTATATACTATAACGTGTTTTACAAAAGCCTTTGTGTCTAATCCCCTGCCTCCTCTGTTAAGTAAACTAATGCAACGAAACCTCTATGAGTCTTATAGTTAAGACCTAGCGTTACATGAGATTAAAGGAGCAAGGGAAAGGGGTGAACTAAAAAGGGTCAGTGTGCTTATAGAACTAGTAGTGAGGAAAGATAGTGCGACTACGGGAGGCTAGGACGAGGATAAGGAGTTCGAGTTGTAAATTTGTACAATAAGTGTAACACAATAGAAATACTTTCTTAGAAAAAGCTACTATGGCTTGTAAGTGCTACACAGGTCAGCTTTGCTCAACCCTAGATAACCGCCCCACGTTCCGATTCCGTGTGATTCCGCGTTGCCGATTAGTAGGCTTTCTTAGACATGTCTAATAGACGACCCTTTCCATTTGCTAACCCGCTTGCATTTCACATTCCACTTAGGATATCTGCTGGTGATTCTACAGCATAGTCATGAAGAATGACAGCACCATTGTCCTCGTCATACAACCCGATACAACCGGCAACAAGTTAGGCAGTTGGGCAGATCGGACCATCATGTCATAGTCACGCTAGTCGGTAAATATATAAAAAGCAAGTGCATCATCCACAGGTTCGCGAGAGATATCACGTGCTAAGGCTTTCTACTAGGTAGCGATGAGAGCATTTAAATAGTCATAGGCTTTGTTTAGTTGTAGACAAACTCAACAGTTTTTGCAAGATAATAATAATTAGGAGACATTTGGAATCTCAAATATTAAAGATATAAACCGTGTCGATGGTGTGTGTGATTTAAATAACTGATTTAACTAGTTAATACTTCACTACATCCGTCACGATAGTAGTGAATTTTTACATCTAAAGCCACTAAGTTAAGATGCTGTGTTCGTACGTGCTTACGGAGGATATTAATGCGTTTAAAAACCTTATCCTTCTTTGCTAGCCTAGCCTCCTCGTTAGACTTATAGAGATCACATGTTAAATCTAGCCCTTAGATCTACTAAACACTTACAATCGTCTCGTTTTTGTACAGCTTCTAGACATTAGAGAGATGTTCCGACTGTTTCTTCTCTAACTTTAGCCCCTTATACTTACGAGGGCATTCTTGTCGGTTGCAAATTAGCGCTAGGTTATTGACGAAAGTGATCCGCACTTTAATGACCTGATCCTCATCTAAATCATTAAGTGACATGCCTAGCATTTTAACAATTACAGCTCGCTCCTTAAGTTTGTACTTCTTTAGAGGGGAGGTAAGAGCATTAGTAGGGTAGATTCCCTACATTTGTCAATTGACCTCATTAGTGTAGACGTTTATATGAAATTCTTTAATAGTCTTCTTAAGTAATGCGTCGCTTAATTAACGTCTTAAATTGTTTATATTAGCTTAAGCCTCTTTATGCTGCTCGAATAACTTCGTTCCCTAAGCCGCCTTAATTGTAGTGTAGCCCTTTAGCTTGATCTCTTAGCTATATGTGTTACGTAACGTAGCTGCCTTAACGATGTCTAGATGATTTTTAATCTTAAGCTTCTGCTCATCTATAAGGGATGAAGGGCATCTCCTATGACGAGCTAGCTGGCTAACTCTTTGTATAAGATCGTCTCGTCGTAGTGTGCCTAGATAGATGCCTTAGCAGTCTTTGTCGACAAAGTCTAGTATGTAGTACCGCTTGTAAACATTCCTACTATTGCCTATAATATGTCTGCGTTCCTTAGGGGTTAGTGCGTCTATAACAGCATATATTAGCAAATAGGACAGTAAATACTACTAGAAGAATAGATAAAAAGGATTAATATCATACTATTCAGCTCCTTCCTAGAACCTCGCTATAGGCTATAGAGCTTAAGCGCCTTCTTATATCCCATCACCTAACCGAGGCAAACAAAGTAATATCGATACTTTGCATACTAGAAAGATTTAGTCTTAGAAATATAGACTCCATTAGTAGTGACCTCGACGTCGCGGAAGACAGGTCGTTCTGCCCATTCGTCGTCCCATTTAAGTGTTATGTAGTCGGCGTCTAGAGGGACAACTAGATTGTAGATATCCCTTAAAGATTTGAATTCGTTTTTAAACGCGTTATTAGCAAGAGCAAGTGCTAGCATAAAGCTGACTGCACAGCATAATAGGTCTTCCCCTTCATAGAATGTAAACTTCTTCCTGTTTAAATCAGTAAATTGCAGAAGCAATGTAGCTTGGCTACTGCACATAGGTACCACTTACTTCTTAGATTTCCCTCTAGACCTTTTAATGTGCTTGAGGTTTAAAGTCATGACGATTATTAGCCGTTTCCCTTTAACCATAGAAGGGAAGAGATGGAATGTGATATCTAAATAGAGTAGAGGACGCTTCCTAACAAGAGCTTTAGGCCTCGAGCTTATGCAGCCACTAAAATCTATAAGTAACGATTCTTGTACCCGGAGTCGTTCATAGGGATATAACTCTGTATCATTTACCTAGTTGCTATGTTGTAGATTGCATAGATCATCAACAAACAGCGCGTACTTCTCCTTTTCGGACGTATTAAGTTCGAGATATTGCAGGATCTACTGTTTCAAAGTCAGTATCGTCTAGCTCAGTACTAAGAGGGGCAACTTACGTTACGAATATCAAATAAAATGTCGTCAGTCATATATCTCTGTGCTACTTGTGCATATAACATGCTTAGAGTCTTCTAGTATGTCATAATGGAGGATTCTTTCGTTATGCGTGAGTTTTCATATCGCTAGCAGAGGTATGCCTTAAAAATAGGTGCTTCGCCCTTAGCAAGGGCCTCTAATGGATTATTACTAAGTACGAAATCGAGATCTTCATCCTTAGGAGCGACTTCTTTCTCAGCCTTTAATTTCGCCCAAAACCTATTAAGCAAGGGTTAGCAAAGATGTCTAAATGCGCACAGCTAACTAGTAATGAAGACTTACAGCGCCTAAAACTTCTCTGCCCTCGCTATTATAATCTTTGTATCGTCACCGTGATTTGATAGGTTGACACCTGCTTTACTAAAATCTGCTATCTTTCGCTAGTAGGACACGGTTTCAGATTCACTTTCAGACTGGGAATTGTAGCCAGAATCTAGGCGCAGCTCATTGCCAGCATGTAGAGATGCTAATTGCTTGCGGCGATGCATGTTTTTCTTTTTAATCCGCGGTTCATTGAGTCGCCGTTGTTCCTCCACGTTTACTGGCACTGCAGAAGGAACTCCACCTCGGCCATTATGAAGCCCCACACGTTGGGCGTGGCGTCGAGGAAGTTGCGGGGGTAGATTGGCCATAAAGAGAGTGTATATTGCAAAAGGTGGCAGTGTATGAGATCAACAGCTATGGTGTTCAGGCTGGGAAATTGCGCTCGACGTTGATATTCCAAGAAGCGTGTATTCCTTTGGATCTGCAATATCGCCTGTAACAACCTGATTCTCTAGCTGTGTTGGCTGTAGAATAGTTATGGATGATGAAAGAGTGAAAGGTAAAGACAGTAGAGCGAAATAAACCACAAGGCTGCTTGAAAGCACCGAGCCGACGATAGAGCGAGTGATTTAAGGACATGTAAAGAGAGTAAAGAGTGTTAGGGCGAGATGGCAGGATTATATACATTTTCTGTCCAGCAGGTCACGAAGTAGGTTGCGTGGGTTACTTTGCCTTGTTATTTTTACCTTGAAAATGGCCCTCACATTTCGGGGGGCAACCTATTTCGCGATGGTGATTGTAGTTGTCCTTAAGGCGGCAAGCCAAATTTATGTTAGCGTGGAGTTAGCGTAGGTAACCGAGCGGAGAGGCCGCGTAAAGCAGCGGGCAAATGCTGCTATAAACAGCTGCTAAATCGCCAACATGTAGTGTATAGTAGTAATGAGTATATAGAAGTTCCTTACACTATAAAAAAATTAACAAAAATGAAAGGTAATAGGCAACAGGCAGTAGATGAAGTCTTAAGAGGGTGCAAACAACAACAGGGTATACGGATCTTTTGCCCTTTATTTAATCTTACTCTTTATCCATTTATTCCCCCCATTTCCCCAATTTCCTATTCCAGCATAGTCCCATCCAATTCTCCATCATCCCAAAACGTGGCCGCAACAACAATTCCCCGATCCAACCAATAATTCCTCCCTCGCTTCTCCCAGCTTCCACAGACAGCTCTCCCCAACCACGCAACCGTAGCTCCCTTCCAACTCGAGCAGCAACGCAACGCACGCGGCGCTGTCACACTACGAATCCACGCAATTGAGGTTTCGTGAAGTTCGACATCATGGCTGCTGTAATCCAAGGTCTCTTCGGAGGGTCAAAGGACGACCAGCCCAAGGTCGTGGCGGATAATGGTGCGTCTCCCAATCTCAATCCAAATCCCAATCCATTCATTCGCCCCCTTCTCCCCCCTTCTCCCTCCCCCAATCCTCACACCTCCCCAACGCCCCAATCCACCACCACCACAACCACCTCTCTAACCCCTCTCCCAGACTTCGCAGACTTCGCCTCCGCCCCCGAACCAACCCCCGCCTCCTTCGCCGCCCCCGCCGGCACCACCCCCCTCGCCGCGACCGCCACACCCGCCCTCCCCTACACAAAATGGTACAACATCCACGAGCGGCACTCCCTCTCCGAGTTCAAGGGCGAAGGCTACATCCTGCTCCTCCTCCTCGCGCTGGGTACAATCCACATCCTCGGCACACGCGCGAACCGCCGCCGTGCTCGCGGATGGGCCGTTGCGCACGCGCCAGTCTTGCATAATGAGTTTGCGCTTGTGGGGTTTGCGCCACAGCAGCCGGGGGCGGGGGATGCGGAGGGGGAGGGACTTGCGAGGGCGATTGAGAAGGCGGGGAAGGATGGGGAGGTGTTGAAGGAGGTTGGACTCAGCAATTTCCTCGGATACGCTACTGGGCGACTTAATGTTGCCTTCCTCGACATTGAAATCGACCTCCTCAAGCGGTACAACCCGGTTCTTCAGTTCATCGAGAACGCAGCGGGGTTCTTCTTCGAATCCATGCCAGCCCCTGTGGAGCGCGTGTCGGCGATCCTCTACCCCTTCGATGGGAAAGAGGCCTTGACTGTCCCCGGCCTCCCTGGTATGGCGGAGCTGAAGGGCGGGAAGAGCGGGTACGACAATTTCGTCTGGGCCGTCGTGCATAAAGATCGCATGCGCCAGCTGCGCGACGAGAGATACGACGTCAGTATCACTGTCACCAAGGACCACCCTAGACTCCCGGAGTGGGCGACTGTCATGTCCGAGAGCGCTGAGATCACCGAGGCGATGCTTACACCCGCTCTTGTGGCTGCGGTGGAGAAGGCGGGGGAGGCGTTCGAGCATTTGATTATCACTGACCAGCCCACCGACCAGCCTCTCAGCGTTGACGAGACTGTGTCGAAGAAGCGAGTCTACCTCTCCCTCCGCCTTCCCGCCTCAGGGGATTACGAGGAGACGCTGCCGATCTTCACGTATTTCATCCAGCTTGCTGACTTTTTGGTTGAGAAAGCGCATTTCAGACCGGAGGTTATGAAGAAGGTGAAGGGAGGGAGGGAGGATGTGGTGAAGAGGTTGGTGAAGGCGGATACGGATGGGAAGGCGGAGGAGAGGGCGCTGGAGAGGGAGAAGGCGAAGAAGGCGAAGAGGGATAAGGAACTAGCAGGCTTGGATGCGAAGGCGCAGAAGAAGTTTTTGGAGAAGGAGAAGGAGAGGGAGATGAAGAGGAGTATGAAGAAGGGGAGTCAGAAGGGTTAGGTGTGGGATAGGATGGGATATAATGTGTACTTTGTAGATATTATGTGCTTTTTTGTGGCGGGGATGGGAGGTAGGGGGGTGGTGAGGTGGGGATTCGTTAAAATTATTTTATTTCGTAGCTGTATTACATTTGTGCTTGTCTCCCAATACCTTTAAACTGACTCCGCTGCGTTGTTGGCCTGAGAAGCTCTCATGTAAAAGCAGAATCCCCCAAAAAGAGGCGCGCACGATCTCGAGCATAACTTCCCACACCCTTGATTTACTACCAAAGCATTCTAGTTGTTTGCCCAATATCCACTTTTCCTACAAAAAAAACATAAAAAAATAAATGCCGAAGCAATCAAACACTGGAGAAACGGCGAATCGAACGCCGGACCTCTTCTATGCTAAAGAAGCGTTATACCACTAAACCATATCCCCTTTGATGTGTTGTCACCCACCGCCCTTTTTACTATTGTTACTTACTCATTGTTACTGTTACTGTTACTTAACCGCGGTCGAAGATGGGATGTTTTGGGAAAACTACTAATATCTCGAGAAGGAGAGTGGGAGGGAGAGGGAGACAAGTATGAAGAAGTGGGGGGGGCCGGGGGGGGGATGGCAGAAGGGGTAGGTGTGGGATGGGGATGCGATGTAATGTGTACTTTCTTTTTGGTAGATATGATGGCTTTTTTGCTATGGTGGGGGATGATGGGGAAGGCCGGGGTGGTTTAGGGGGGGATGAGCTAGAATTATTTTTATTCGTAGTTGTAATAATTACATTGTGCTTGTCTCCTTATGCGTGTGGACTGGTTCTGCTATGTGGACCTCAGAGGGCTCCCATGTGGAAGTAGAAGCACTAGGGAAGGGGGGGAGCGAGCAGGGAGCGAGAGCGTTAACTTCCCACGCCCTTTGCTATGGTGCGCTAAGCAGCACTACTATTTCGCTCGGTGGTTCAACATCATCCCGGAACCCGCGATGGAGTAGAGGAGTTTCGTACGTGGAATGGCTTGCTGGGCTACGGCGTAAGTAGAGGCTGTGATGTAGTCCTGTGGAATTCCATGGGTTGGTTTGCGCGTAGGGACGGAGGTACTCTGCAGTGGGAAGGTGCGATGGTGGTGGTGATGGGGATGATGCGGAGATAAGAGAGCTTAGAGATACACGGTATGGGTGGAGTTGTTTGCTGTGTTCCAATCCTGTGCCTTGTCGTCGTTAATACGCTGGAATCGTCGGTGTTGGAAGGTTAAGAAGTTACGCTCAGGCTTGCGAAAATGATGAGTTGGAACGGAATAAGCTACCTAGTATAATCGGCGTTGTGAGAGAGCTGGAAAAAGATGATTACGAGCTAAGAAGCTCTTGGTATGGAATTTTGATAGGAGAGGCTTCCTTCTGTAGATGATTAAACAACTAAATACTCATATATACCATATGTGATTGTTAGAGTTAAGTATGAAACTTCTTTATTTTACGAGCTGCGAAAGATGAGTAGTGCTTCGTTAGATTTGAAATGGAATTTACAGTTCGCCTCGCAAAATCGTTTTGCTTCGGGCCGCAACCTAACATCCGAAAATACAACAAAGCCGATGGGCCAGTACCCCTAATACAATAATCGTTAGGGCTTTAGATGTGGCATATACAGTACTATCACACAGCAAGAACATTGACTTATCTAGCCGCCCATTCCTGCAATAATCTCTAAACTTTAAGCTTCTTCCGAGCTCCTATCAGTCTGCAACTACAAGTGTGAATAAAATTTGTCGTAAATATAATTTCCTAATTAGGCATAGTACATTACCTTTTCCCAAATGCGCATTGGCCTCTACATAGTAAAGTGAAAACGCCTTGCGAGTTTCGCGCTAGTGCATTTCTGGTATATATCTTGCTGCGCATCGCCCTTTAAGGCGGAATACGCGCGTACTGTTTATTGCGTGCGGAGGAGTAGTAAGCAGAGGCGAATGGAGAGGGTTTGAAATTGAAATTATCTGTAACAATCTAGGTGTAAATATACTACATATATATATATTAATAGAAGTGGGATTTTAGAGAGTGCCAATCGATTAGATAGTTGTACTTAACAAGCTTTCTAAAAGCGATATGTCCCGACCTCACAATCAAACGAGAAGTTGCATTTGCAAAAGCGACAGGTCGCCAAGACATCACATTATAGCTATACACCCTGTCACAGCTCATTTTGCTTTCTATTCCTACCCATTACTATCATATATCCCCTTTATAACTCAAACTCATCCTCCTCCCCATCCCCACCGCACTGCGACCCACCCTTCTCCATCATCACTGGCTGGACCAGAACATTCACCGCTCCTATCCCTATCCCTCTCACCTTCGCCCTGCGTATCTCGTCCTTAAACGTCCCCTTCATTATCTCCCACACATCCTCGCGCCCAGCCTCAACGTCGGCATCGATTTCCAGGGGCCCTAGCCTCAGCACCAGCTTGACCATCGTGATGTCCGCTGGCCGGCACCGCAGCTTCTCCGCTAGGTCACCGAGGAACTCGTCTAGGGGCTTGGTACCGAAGCGTCCCGCTTCCCAGAAGGTCTGGCGCGTGATGCCGTCGGTGTGCTGGAGGATGTGGAAGGGGATTGGGAGGGGAGCCTTGGCGGGCGGCGCGGTTGGGGTGACTGAGTGCTTTGTTGGTGGGGGTGGGTGTTGTGCCGGAGGTAGTTGCTTTGTCGGCGGAGGCGAGGGCTTAAGTCTGGAATCCTGTGGAATTGGCACATTTAATGGAGCGGGTGACGGTGAGTGAAGTGGTGGAGATGGTGATGGGGATGGGGAAATATCCCTAGAGGCGACAAGAGGCGTGGGTAAATATGGGGACAAATATGGCGGTGCGGCAGGGGACTGGTGCTTCTGAGGATGTAGCGAATCTTTTTTGGACTGCGCTTGATCTTTATCTAGTTCCGTAGTCTTCATTATAGTTGGCGGACCAGTTGGATGCTGCTTTTTCAGGACAACCTGTGCCCGGGATTTGCTGCTAGCATTGCTGCTCTGGGAGGTTGGGACGGGGCTCTCCGACTGATCGTCGGCAATGTACTCATTGACATTGGCGCTGGGAACGGTTCCTGAGATGACACGAGGTACAGGTTTGCGGTCGGAGACCCGACGGGGAGAGCCAAAATCGCTGCGTATGCTTTCTGAAGACTTGCCGTTAGAAATCTTTGGGCGTTTGAGGGCGCGATCATCACCTCGCATTGGTACTTTCGGTGATGAACCAGGAGTTGATTGAGAGGGGCGCTTCGAGGAGGTGCTGCGTGACGTTGTGTCTGATAACGGTTTGCTGGCTAACTTGTTTGGAGATAGGTGAGCCTCATCATAGAGGCGGTTTTTCCGCCGAGTCGCGCGTGGTGTGGTAGTGGGTTCATCGTCTTGAATGGTATAGACATCATCTCCAACCTCGGTCTCACATGTGGCGGCATACTTTGACGTGCTTTGAGGCTTGTCGGGCGTGAATTCACGCGTGCTCAGTTCCTCGTCCGATTCCTCTTCACTCTTGTGCCGATCCTTAACTTTAGGAACTATTACCATATCTGTAGCAGGACGATTTACAGAACTTTCAATAGAGCTGCAAGTAATTTAGTAGCTTTCTTTGTATCGACGCAAGGAACTTACATGCTAGGGGCTAGATTCTCTGATGCGTCCCTTGATGATTGACGACCAACGCTATGGCGAAATGGATCTCGCGACTCATTGTTCTTAGGATATTTTGCATTGTTAAAAGCATATTTATTCTGTTTCCAGAACAGCTGCTTTAGCAAATCAATTATTCTAGCGGTCGTTAGTTACTTCTACGCATCTGAAGAGGGGTACCTACTTCTCTTCGTCGTCAGGGAAGCACAGCCTGTCTCCTGGGTTCTCGAGGTGAGGCCAAAATTTCTCTCCAGTTCCGACCCCATGGAGAAAGGTGTTGGCCATTCTCGTTAGATCATCTTGTGTACTTTGAAGCTTCCACTGGATCAGATCGGTGCCGGAACGGTTGTCGCTCGTCCTGTAAGTCTTACGCCATTTGTGACTGAAGTCGGTGAAAGCGTTTTGTTCTTTAGAGTTGCGAAAGCCAAGTGCATCACAGATGTCGCGCAGAGAAGGGACTTTGCTCAGCAACACTGTAGGCTTCCTATTTGCCTTCTTGCCCATAGTCGTGATGTTGTCTCGTGTGATGTGTTGGAAAATCGTTCTAACATTTACGATAGAATGGGGTAGGATGAAGGCAGCGTGGTGGTTTGGAAAGAGAAAGTATATTTTGGAATGTAGTCTCCGACAAGGTTTCTTAAAGAACCCCTTGGTAGGTGGCTACAGGGGTTGGAATCCCACGACTTTCGGCATTAATTGTGACCATGAGTTATCGCTCAGCCCCGAAAGTGAGGGAAGTGATTGGTCTATAGGAACCAACACTGCACGGTCCCTCTAGTTCCAACAAGAGATAAAAGTAGGAAGACGCACCTCATCACAAAAGTGTCAGAAGTGCAACGGCGACGACACCATCTTTTGAATCTGACAATGTCGTCGCTATTAAAGAGCAAGAACATAGATAGCTATCGCGATTTGAGTTCTTCGCGGCTTCCTTTTCGAGTCGTTGCACCTTTCTCTAATTAAGCCTATTAATTTCGGACTAGTAGTCGTTAAGACGTACATCAAGATGTACACGCTGGTTGAATTAGAACAAGGCTCTGAAATGCATTTTGACAGACCTCCCAAAGATGTCTGCCTTGGGGCTGTGGGAGTTGCTTTAGAAAGAAAATCCTGCATTGGCCCAATTTGTTTGAAAGTCCTGGGGTGCGAGGCGAGCTTGGTTTTCAGAGAAATATAAATACCCAGCCACTCCTGTCGAGAGTTGAGATTCTTGTTTTTTAGTAAAGATATTCTGCCTCAACCATTCTTCGCCATTCACTCTCAGGGCTACGAAATGCCCTCGACCTCTAATGCAGTGGGGACGCTGATGCAGCAGGGCCCTACCCCCCTACTTGCAAAGATTATAGGTCTACTTTTAGTGTTCATGAAAGACGGTGTCCCTCTCTTTGTCGCTGTATTATTTTTGATATTATATTGCTTTCAATACTTTAGCCTGCCTGGGCCTGGGAGTTTTAGACGTGAGAGAACATTTCCTACACACTTCCCCAAATAGTTGGCTTCTACTGTCCTTTACTCGACATAGCTGACGGATTAAAACTAAGATGTCGCTCCACAGCGACCACCATACCTTTACAACGAACACGAAACTATCGCCTCGAACAATTTCTACAATAACAATACACAAGCTGAACATGCCGCTCCCCGCAACAACCTCCTATTGCAATATTCTCTAGGTGGAGAGCCTACAGCCTCTGGAATTATTGCAGCGACTGCGCCTATTGACCATTTGCTCTCTATATCAGGAACGAAAAAGGTACGTGCTTTGCGTCAAAGAAGTGTGGTGCTCTTTAAACGTCACAATATAAAATACTAATACATGGGACTTATTAGGGTTCTTTTATAGCGAGGTCGACACCACCGAGGCGCTCAACCACAGCACGACCAGGCCCCCAACTGCAGCCGTTGTGAGAACGATCTGAGGAAATAAAGTCACGTAAGGGGACTATGCCTTTGGTACTACCGGCTTCCCCATTTTATATTCTGTTATTGCGCATGTGTTTACGGGATAGAGTCATGTGTCCCCTCACGATCGTTACGCTACTAGGTTCCCCATTTCTGATTATGTACTTGCGCATGTGTTTTGAGAGAGATAAAGTTATGTGTTCCTCAACGGCAATTCCAGTCACTACCTCATTCAAATTTATTTAAAAGACTACCTAGAGCTATAATTAAGAGCGTAATTTTCCCTTGAATAACACTGCGGATGTGATAGTGTCCACTCATATTTAACTATAATATAGTCATAGAAGAAGAACAATATAACCCCTTGTTAAGATCGAGAGATATTTGTTAAGAGAAATATCCCGACGTTCACGCCGTGTGCCCATGCTCATTGCCCATCTGTGCAGCGTTTTCCTTTACAAGCCCCATGAGACGATCGTACGCCCTCTGATCAGCACCATCGATGAACTGCCGAACGTTCTCCTCGACATTATAATGTAACGATCCATACTTATCGCTCAAATATCCGTATCCGAACAACTTCAGCCCAGGGTTATCCTTCAACTTCCGCCGGACATCTCGAACCTTCTTGGTATCAGGCTCGTCATCATACGCAAGGAATACCTCATCACCCCCCGCAACGAACTCGGTAAGCGCGGGCTTCGCCTCGTATATGAAATCAAAGAACTGGGCCCAATATAGAGGATTATCCGCCATGCCGCCCCCGTCTCCTGCACTAAAGCATTCCTTTACGTCGAGAGATCTAAGGACCTGGGCGTGGCTATGCACAAACCAGACCAGCTCCGGGCCAACGAAGCAGTTCTCCAATTTCAGAGTCTGTAAAACCGGGAGGTCATCAGGCTTCAGCGCAAGTGCGACATAGCGATACCCATCAAGACCAAGGGGGTCCCCTGCGTTGATATGAAGGTGTTTCAGCCCGCTCATGTGGTGGAGAAACGAGGTATCCAAGTTACGAAGAAACTCAGTATAGCCGTCTTGCGTATTTGTCATCCAACCCGCGCCGTTATCCATCCCGAGGATGTTAAAGGTAGCAGATTCGAGCTGGGAAAGAAATTGGCGGAACATCTCGGTGTCAAATGTAGATGTCCACTTGGGGATAAAGTCGTCGAGAATAAGCTCCCTCACATAATCAGCAGCTGAAAGCGACTGCCAAGTCTCCCTCATAAGCGCACGCCATTCCCATGCCTCTTCTTCCTCTCGGACGAAGTCTTCGGTCTCAATCTCCTCAAACAGATCAATAGACCCGCCGCCATTCATATTGCTCTCCCAGTATTCACCGTCATCGAAGTCAAAATCAAATCTGAGCCGGACCGTATGTAGATTTGGTGTGAAATGGCCTTCTAGGAGGTAAGATGCGGAGTGTGGTAGAGACATTGCTGTGAGTAGATCGCCGGAGTCGGAGTGGCCTGTGAACTCAATCCGTGATGTATGGTCGCCATGAGCTTTGACGGCCGCATGGGCAGATCTTGCTGATGCCGTACTGTTAGAGAAATATATTGTCTTAAAGATTTCTGGTATAAATTGAGTTCGATATTGTTTGCAAGTTGCGCTCAAGCGGACTTTATCAATTAGTTCGAGTTGCTTGGAAACTTGAAGGAGCAGTTCGTGAGGAAGAGCCGAAAGAGAAGCCATTTCCAACAGGTTCAGCAAACAAACACGACTCTAATAATTGAGAACAATCGTTACTCTGTCGTGAGGCAAAGAGGCCTCTAGTAGATAAATTAAGGCACCAGGGTAGAACTAGTACCGTTTCGACTAAACCCTACAACGAGAATGGAGATCCATTAATTCGAACGGCGGCAGTGTCCGAATACTAAGCGAATACTTGTAGGGACCCCTAGGTCGGGGCTTCCCGTCGCATTGAGCGGGCAAACACCTGTTTGGCTCTGCTGAACAGGATTCGCGGCCCTTCATTAAGCTGAGGGCCGCGAATCCACAGATCACTATTTTGGTAGCGCGATTCTTGTCCTCTCACGTACATCAATGGTTTTGTAGCTGCCCGCCCCTCGTGCTATGTCAAAGCTGCCGCTCACCGCTGGTCAGATTCTGAAAGGGAGGAATGGCCTATACGAAATTATTGAGGCACTGAAAACAAATAAGGTGTTTAAAGCCGCAATCGTTACCAGTACTTCCGAGGGAATACCTCCAGGCGCCCAAGAACTGTCTATCATGAGGGCCATTCTTCGATAGCTCGTTGACTTGTTAATAGTGCTGTGATCAAGACAGAAACAGATCAGTCCATGAAGTATGTCTTCAACCGTGAGCGAAACAATTACGAACTCCCGCACATGGCTTCATGTAGAACAATAAGAGCGCTCCGCGATGTTATTAGCTTTGACCCCCAAAAACCATTAGAGCCGCAGTGCATGGTCTTCGAGTGGATGGATCAGGATCTTCGGACAGTGCCATACTCTAGGTTTTGTTCCAAGCCTGAGCTCCCACGTGTGATCGCAAGATCAGTCCTAGAAACACTTGCCTTCCTGAAAGAAACGTACGGTGCTTTCCATTCAGGTATTATTCCCCAAACCTTACCTACACAGGCGCAGATTCTTACCGATTTTACAGATATCAATCCGAATAACATTCTACTATCAAATGACAACAGTGCATGCCCTGTTGTCAAAGTGGGCGATTTGGGGAACAGTAAGATAGCATTTATCTACCTACCAAACGAGACTAAAATAAATGTAGTGCTCAGAGAAGGCTACGATGATATACGGATCCAAAGCCTACCAACCCGTGACCCCGAAGTCTGGCGTGGCCTCGGGTGCTTTCACAGCTCCGACGTCTGGTCCCTCGGCGCGACGGTAATCTCCCTACCAACCAAACCCCACCAATAGACATGGAATCTAACAACTACCAAGTTGACATTCTGGCTTGCCCAAAGGCTCGTCTTTGGCGCCGGCGACAAGATCATAGATGATAACACTGAGGCATGGTGTATAGCCAAAATCATCCGCCTCGTAGGGTCGATATCGCCTCCTGTGAATGAGGCTTTCCTCGATGAGTTCTCGCTGGCGCGGGCGCTGGAGAAAGAGAAGTACGATGATCCGGAGACCGGGGAGATGAGCGATTTATCACTGTAGGGACGGTGCGGCAGGAGCTTGAGAGAATTGAGGGGGTGCCGCAGGATCTGATCGAGTTTATTGAGTACTTATTGGTTATTGATCATACGAAGAGGCCGACGGCGAGAGAAGCGCTGGGGCATCCGTACCTGGCGGACGTGGTAGCCTGAAGATGAAACGTTTGTTACTCACAATGGCCGTGGCATTGTTACTGTAGATTAGCCTAAATTGTTACTCTGTCGTGGGGCAGAGAGCCAGAGCCTCGAGGAGATAAAGTAAGGCAGACACGAGGAGAGGTCGTGCCGTATTGACTAAAACTACGACGAGAATAGAGCATAAAATTACTATCCATCTGTTATCCTGCAGCCATGTAATCGTTGGAGGATTAGTGATGATAAGTGGGTGCGATAAAAGTAATATCACAAGCGTAGAGACGATTAATCAAATGCGAATGCATACTAGTATCATATCTACTACAATCACTATAACTCGATTAAGAAGGCAAGATTTAGCCTTCGTTCTTTGAGGCTAAGCCTTGCCTTCTTAATCGAGTTATAGGAGTCGGGACAGCGGGGAATGCGGGGTTCCAGGATTTAAAGTTAGTTTCCTTGTCCTTGGCAGGTGCATGTCTGTGCCTAATATAGGGGTAGATCGCCTCATGACGCCACTACCTACGTTATAACTATGCTTTCTTTCCTCTCCCCTCCAGATATAATCACGTAACGTTACGTTACATATTAGACATGTCTTAACGGGCGAGCGGAGAGGGCATGGCAGTTCTATATTACCCTCAAGTATCAGCAGACAAAATGGACAAAATCATCGCCTCCCTTACCGTCCATGGCAATGTCTTTGTCTCATTGCTTCTTGCTTGTCACAGCGGTATCTCGCCTTTTGGCAGGTGCCGCTGCGACGCCTATCCTGACTGTGTCGAATGCGGCGCCAGTCGTTGATCTAGGCTATTCCCAATACGAAGGAACAACTTTGAGCTCAGAGGTTGACCAGTACCTGGGGATGCGATTTGCAGCACCTCCGCTGGGCAACTTGAGATTCCGAGCCCCACAGGAGCCTGCTGCAACGACAGGGATACAGGAAGCCAAGACTGTAAATACCTTAAAACCATCGTCTTCCTATATAATTATCATACTAAGCAATCTATAGCTTCAAACCGTCTGCCTAGGAAATGGCGTCCAGTTACCCTCTACTTTACAATCCGAAGACTGTCTTTTCGCCAACGTTTGGACCCCTGCGTCGGCTACTATTACGTCAAAACTCCCTGTTTGGATATACATCCAGGGAGGAGGGTATGCGAGTGATTCAAACGGGCGATACAACGGTTCAACCGTGGTTGAACAGTCAGGCCAAAATGTCGTCGTTGTCATGTTTAATTACAGGGTTGCGGCGTTTGGTTTCCTAGCTAGTGAGAAAATAAGGGCGAATGGGGATCTCAATGCGGGCTTGCTTGACCAACAACTGCTGTTCCGCTGGGTGAAGAAGTATATCCAGCAGGTATGTTTTTTCTACACGATTTCGAGATATAATCTCCCAAATGCTAACACACTGTGGCAGTTTGGAGGTGACCCGGATCATGTAGTCATTCATGGAGCATCTGCAGGAGCTGGATCCGTAGCTTTGCATTTGCTAGCATAGTGAGTATTCTATAGGTAGTATTCCGGTTTATCCCTGCTAATATCGTGCAGTGGTGGTCGGAATGACGATCTCTTCATTGGGGCTATTGGGGAGTCCGTCTTCCTCCCTACTTCGCCCAAAGTCTCTGAACTCGAGTGGCAGTTTGACCAGTTCGTCAGTGATGCGTCATGTGCTGGTTCAGCTGATGAATTGGAATGCCTCAGATCGCAAAACACGACAACCCTGCAGGCAGCAAACAAGGGGAGGCCATATCCTGGACAATCGAAATCCCCTAATTGGTACTGGACTCCTACTATCGACGGAGATTTCCTCCAAGACTACCCTTACAAACTGCTTGAGCAAGGGAAGTTTGTTAAAGTGCCCATTATGGTTGGAGGTTTGTCTCGGTCCCTCTCGCACTGTTGTTAATGCTAACCTCTCTTCAAGATGATACTGATGAGGGCACATCATTTGCTGACAACGCCGCATCTCTAGCTGATGTTGCTACATTTATGACGAGAAACTACCCCCGTCTATCTGCCAATGATACCGATGCCATAAACGCCCAATACCCACTCATGTCACCCCTTCCCAAACACAACCCCTATTTCCCCTCCGCATCAGCCGCCTACGGCGAGTCCACCTTCATCTGCCCAGGAAACTTCATCTGCAACTCCTTTGCGACTCACGTCTCCCCTAACAAAGTCTGGAACTACCGATACAACGTCAACAGCACCAATTACGACGACGCCGGGCTAGGCGTCGTGCACACCATCGAGACACAAGCTGTTTTCGGACCAGGTAACGTAGGCGAGACTCCAGCGGCTGACATCCAGTCCGGCATCACCACCGTCAATAGAAATATCGTCCCCGTGGTCATGAACTACTGGATTAGTTTTGTGAGGGCCCTGGATCCGAATACGTACCGGTTTGCGAGCGCGCCGCGATGGGGCGAGTTTGGGGATGGGAGGGATGGAGGGAGGAGGCTGAGGTTCGAGACTAATGCTACGGAAATGGAAGTGGTGCCCCGGGACCAGGTGGAGAGGTGTGAGTTCTGGAAGGACCTGGCGGTGGTGATGGAGCAGTGATTGGACTATTTCTCCTCTTGTGGTAGAGATGGAAATGATGAGACTACACTCAATACCCGATATATTCTCTAATAGGGGGTTAAGGATATAAAGGGGATATATAATTCATCGACGTTTTAGTTTTTATCAGCTAATATCATAAATGGGGCTCTTTTTAATTCAAAAAATCATAAATAGGCCTCTTTTTATATATAATGTCATAAGTAGGCCTCTTTTTAATACAATATCAGGAATAGGCCTCTTTTTTTCTTATCGTGCACGTGGCTGATTATTCTGCCAGTTATATAACTATGCATTAGCTGACTTTGTGTTAGGGGTAATTGCGGAATACAGAGGACTTTACGCAAAATCGTATGAGGGTCTCTAGTCACCGTAATTACTCTTCTTTAGGCAGCGGAACAGAGGCTCCACAGTAGAATATAGTATATAGGATAATATAATCAATTAAATTACTCACTAAACTACAGGCCTACGTACGCTATTTATAGGCCTAGGGGAAACCCCTAAAACCCTAAAGGTTTAGGTTCTTACACCCTAAACCGAAGTAATACACTAGGCTAAAACCTTAGCTTAGTATATCTTCCTCCCCTTCTTCTTAGTCTTTAATAGTCTTGCATTTTAAGACAAATCTCATTAACTTTAAGGTCTTAGTCTAGTACGATTGCCCGTTGTCTTGAAGAGTAGCTATAATAGATAGCTTAGCTTCTTTCATTAAAGGGAAAACATCACCTATTACTAGAGTAGACATTATACTAGTAAGGATATAGTAATATAAGGGTAGGAATACTTAAATATATGTAAAATGTAAGTAGAGGTAGTTAGAGTTTTCACTCGCATAATATGATGTAGGCGGTGAGCGATAAGAAAAAAAGAGGCCCATTCCTGATATTGTATTAAAAAGAGGCCTACTTATGATATTATATATGTTCCGGCCCAACCACCAACTCTGCTGGTTGGCCAACTGGCCGGTCAGTTGGCCAACTGGCCGGCCGAACCACCAACTCGAGGTAGCTTCTTGGTGTAATTTCTATATAAAGTTACTTATTCTAAATTTCTTCTATACAATACTACAATAGTTAATAATTATGATTCCTACGTATATACTGTAATTGTAACTACTCCTATGCTATTTAGAAGTAAAAAAGTCATAGTTATGACTATATTTCATTAGGTGGTAGAAGGTACTTCTAAAAGCTGCCTTTAACCTACTAATTTATGTAGAAATGAGTGTGTATAGTAAGTACCTTTGGAATAAGTAACTTTATATAGAAAGTACACCAAGAAGCTACCTCGAGTTGGTGGTTGGGCCGGCCGAACCGCCAACCTAAAAGTTGGTGGTTCGGCCGGCCAGTTGGCCAACTGACCGGCCAGTTGGCCAACCAGAATAGTTGGTGGTTCGGCCGGAACATATATAAAAAGAGGCCTATTTATGATTTTTGAATTAAAAAGAGGCCCATTTATGATGTTAGCTGATTTTTTATTTAAGAATGAAGCTTATATGTGTATTTCGGTTCTAAGCGTATCCTTCTATACAGATTGTATTGTACTAACACCTAGTTGCAATAGCTCCAAAGTCTATATACCGCTGCTACTTATTAAGATAAACACCTTTTTATATATATAACACACCTCTATACCACCCCTCTCACAATTTTAATATCCGTCCTGACCCTGATTCTCCCATCCCTAGATTCCTCCTCATCCATCCCAAGATCCTTCTCCTCCCTCTCCACCCTCTCATTCATCTTAATATACACCGAGTTCCCCAACTGACTCCCAGACTTCCGGCGTGTGCCCTGCGACTTCGAGCCCGTCCCGTACCCGACACCTTTTGAGCCCTGTGAGCCGAGCGTCCCTGCGCGCCACGACGAGAAGGTGAAGAGGCCGCGGATTGTCGGGAGACAGGCGCAGATCATGCCGACGGAAGGCTCGATGTGTGTCCAGAGGGTGGCTTGGTAGACGGTATCTGCGGCGGGGTTAGCACAACCATGCAAGCTGGGAATTGGAAAAGAGGAAGGGGGGGGTTACATGTAGTGTCGGCAGGTTCGATATAGAAGAGGACGACGATGCGGTAGACGCTTGCGAAGCAGACACTGGAGGTGGTTAGCTGGGTTTCGATTCTGAGTAGAGAAGGAACGCACAAGCCGCCGAGGGCGAAGACGCAGCTGAGCGCGAGCTTATCCTGCCACGAGCGCTTGAGGCGCCAGATGATGGGCAGGGGCAGGCCGAGGATGACAAAGTCCATGATGACGTTGAAGGTCTGGTTAACGATGAAGTAGGTGGTTCCGTCGATACACACGGCGGGGACAGACTTGTCCCAATAGCCCCGTAGAGGTCGGCACTGAAGTGCACATGTGAGGAAGATGGCGGCGGCCCAAAGGCCGATGAGCCAGTTTATGAGGGCGGAGATGCGGTGAAAGGTCGCGCCCGAGAAAATGCGGCGGTAGAAGCAGATGATGGAGATTTTGAGGACGGGGCAGAGGGCGAAGTAGGTGAATTGGTTCGCGATGAAGATCTGGGGATGTGTTAGGGGCTGGAAAATTTGGGGGTAGAGGGGGGGTGTTGGACCTTGCCGAATATAATGAGAGTTTCAGGAGAGAGCTCTGAAAAATGAGTCCCGTTACCGCCGATGGCGCACCCTTTGTTTTTTATGTTAGCTGATAGCTGAGTTTGCACAGGGACATGATCTCACAGAAAATCAACTGCACAAGCATCCCATATAGTAGAAACAGCGCCGTAAAACAGAGGTAGTCATCTATCTCAATCTTGACCCGGCGCTTGAGCCTAGCGAAAACGCGAAGGATGGTAGCGATTGTGGCAAGACCGACTAGCACCGTGACGATAATGATCATCTTCCATCCCCTCTCACTGGGCGCCATTGTGGCGGGTGGTTAGGGCAAAAAAAGCGATCTGATCATCGATTTTGGCCGGACAGGGTGGAACAGCTGAGGGCGACATGAAAGTGATGGCGGGCGGGCGCCGTGCAAAGGGATGGGAACAGTCTTGTAATACTCCATTGGGAGCCAGGATGGAGAGTGCGAGTGCGAGGGCGGCGTGGCTGGCATGGTCGGCCGCGGTCTCACAGGGGACAACAGGCAGGAAGACTGGACGGGCGGATGAGGGAACTGGTCCTAAAGGATCGGCAATCAGATTCGGGTTGATCTACCAATCAGGCTAACAGTCGGACGATAGATCGACATGGATGTACATAGTGTTTGCTGTAGATATATCGAATGCATGTGAGCTGCATCGTAGCATGTGCTGGGATTGGTGAAGCAATACGAACTTGTATAGCTAGTTGTATAGCTAGTCTCAGGGTATCATATTGGTTGGCGTCCACGTATTATTTTGGAAGGGTGTGCACGTAGCACATATTTGGACCGTAGCGGCGCGGCGATCAGCGTAACATCAGCGTAGCGAGGTACAAGCTGAGATGAAGTGTGGTTATCGGGGAATCGGGAATCGGGCCATCGCGACACTAGGAAACGCCGTCGCTATTAGTGAACGGACGCTATTCCGTGCACAGAGCCTACCTAGGCCCTATGCTAAGAGTATATATTGTGGCGGCCTGCTACTACTGTATCTAGGTACAACAACTATGAAAATAAAATCTGTTAATGACTGCTGGCTGAAGCTATTATATTATGCTGTCATATTATGAAGTTTACGAGAGACGGCAGTGTCTTCGGTGGGGTTTTAACTCTGTACCATTCAGGGGAACGAGGAGGATTTGGCAATTTCCAGCTATTTTCCTCCTTCGGCAAACTCTAAACGCCTGAGAACGGCCTTCGCGTCGATGCAACTGAGTGGATCTGGACGGCTGGGAATGCAACCTTCCATCTCGAGTCCCCTGCATCTCCCGGGGACTCTCAGCAAGGATGATGGTCAAACGCCACTGAAGACAATGTGCCAGCATTTAGCGTGGTGTGAGTGGTGTACACGGACTCTATATGGCTTGTTGGCATGTTCCTTACTAACCAGGGACCCCAGCTGTCTCATTAGCGATCCCTTCTCTTGTCGGCGACACACTCACTGCGCCCTGTATCTGCATCGCTTCCGCGGATATCCAACAGACACGATGCACATGCGACGCCGAGACTGGCCATCCATTCTACAAGTTACAGCATGGTCGGTAGGGGTGAGAAATTAACCCCAATCGCTACCCTAAAACCGGTCCCCCCGTGGTGTCGGTCCCCGGGCCGTCACAAGTTGAGTTGAAGCATATTCTACAAGAACCCATTCTGCGATCCTTCTACATTCCTTCTGCTCTTTTCCTAAAAACTGTGTTACCTCGCTGTAGTACAGCTTTGATTTCTGTTTAATTGGCACATTCCTTTTTTCGTCGTTCTTTTGTCTTTACCCGGCTTCCATGACAGGTGCCACCATGTCTTCTCTCACACAGGACAACGTCTCTGCGTCCGACGACAACATGCCGCCGTCGCCAGAGAAACTTCACGCCTCCCCCGATATTATGCAGAAGAGGAGCAGCAAAAACGTCGTTCTCATCCCGCAGCCAAGCGACGATGAGGATGACCCGCTGGTAAGTGAGACACTGGGACCCACGGGCTTCCAATCGCCTGCGCGTGAAGCATTAAAAATATGTATATTGAACTCGGACACAGAACTGGCCTATACGGAAGAAGATCATTATTTTCGCATGTATCTGTCTCGCCGGCTTCGCGGGCCAAATGTCGCCGAACTCCAACCAGCTCACCTTCGTCCTCCAGATCCCGACATACGGAAAGACGCAAGCCGACCTCCTCAACACCGTCGCCGCCGCGCTCGCCGGGTGGATGGCTGGTCCGTTCTTGTTTACGCCGTTTGCCGGTCTCATCGGCCGCAGTTCGGTCATCCTCTGGAGTCTCGTCGGCACATTCGCGTGCCAGATCTGGGCGGCGAACATGACAGGCCCTGATGACTTCATCCCATTCACCATCTCGCGCCTCATCTGTGGCTTGTTCGGCGTCATCCCCGCTATCATGGGGACGGGATACATCATGGACATGTTCTTTCTGCACCAGCGCGGGAAGGCCTTTGCCATCTTCGAGGTGCTGATCATCTTTGCCGTCGTCGGTGGTGGCACTCTGGGTGGCTTTATCGCCGAGTCCAAGCCATGGGAATACGTCTTCTGGTGGACCCTAGGGCCTGTTGGAGGAGCCATTATCCTGGTCTTCCTCTTCGTCGAGGACACCACCTTCAGCCGCGATCCCAGCGTCCCAAGGCGCGCCCCAATGCCTAAGTCCTGGCTCCCTAACCGCGTCGCGACCTTCTTCCCCGGCTCAGCTACCCAGCCCACCGGAAGATTCGCTGAATTCGTATGTCCCTTCCTCACTCACCCAACCCCCACATCCACTTACAGTCCCTAGAAACGCCGCGCCATCGTCCCCCTCCAAATCACAATTGCCCCCATCACCCTTTCCGTCGGAACCTTCGTCTTCGTCGCCCTCGGCCTGCCCATCATGCAAGCCTCCACCCTCGCCATCTACCTCATGCCCCCCGTCATCGCCGGCGGCTACGGCTTCTCCTCTCTCCAACTCGCCTTCTTCACCATGACAGCTTGGATCGGCATCCTCGGCGCCCAGGCCTACGGGTACTTCTTCAACGACGCCATCCCCCTCTGGGTCGCGCGCCGCCGCGGCGGCGTCTGGCACCCGGAGTACCGCCTCGCCAACGCCCTGCTGCCGGGGCTGCTGCTCCCCATCGGTCTCGGGATCTACGGCGCGGGTTTACAGTTCCACCTGCACATCATGGTTCTCGCGCTCGCGAGCTTTATTATTTGGTTCGCTGCTCTGCTGGTCCTGCCCGTGTGTTACAACTACATTGTGGAGTGCTTCTTGCGCACACCTGTCGAGGCTAGCGTCGCGCTCAACTCGTACCGTATTGCGTTTGGGCTCATGAGCGTCTTTATCATTACACAGTGGCAGATGGCTGTGGGCGTTGGCTGGATGTGGGGTATGGGTGCGTTTTTTGTGCTGGCGGTGGATGTGCTGATGGTCTTGGTGATCTTGAAGGGGCATGAGGTGAGGAAGCTCACGGTGCATATTAGCGAGACTATTGCGGCGACGGAGGATGGGGAGAGGATTATCGGCGAGAAGGAGGATGGTTCTGCGTGAAGCGATGTTGGTTCTGCAGAAACAGCGACATTATAAAAATTGCTTGGGAGGTGGATCTACCAATGGTCCACGTAAAAAAGGCTGCATATACCGGATTTAGTATCTATTGTAGTAATAAACCATTTCCTTATTTGTATTTAACGTCCGTTGCGAAAATGCAGCTCGACACAATACTATACCCACACTCGTACCTCCTCCAAGAATATACGCTGATAAATGCACCCCCCCCCCCCTTTTCGTTTCGTTATACTCCCATGCCTCCTATGTAGCTATTAGCGTTGATGTTAGTCAATCGAGCAAGGTTAAATCGATGGTGCGCTCACATCCGCTGAAGAACCCGTTCTGGGCGGTCCGATCCCAGTCTAACCCCTGTCCTGCCCCGTATCTCCTTCCTCCCCTGTCTATGTCCGTGTCCAGCGTCTAGAATAACCGTGTGACGCAGCCGATCATGTTCATCGTTTCCATAACAAGCGCCCGTGAACCAGATATTACACGCAGCGGGCATATACGACATATTAAGCACCGAACATTAGGACCGATGAGTCTGTCACTGCCGTCGGTGATTTACAGTTAATTCGTATAGATGTGGTTTGCAGATTCCGAAACAATTTAAATTATATATGCATGCATCTACAAGCACCCCTTGAAGCGTGCCATACGGCTGGGTCGAGCGAATGTATGCGTAAATTTCCCGTATTCTTGCTAAATGGCTCATAGGGGATGAAGGCCCGCACCGGCCTCGGGGCCACTCCGACCGCCAAGTACTACTCTACGTGTACCTGAGCTTTGAACCTTCTTTTTTTTCACATGACACTATGATAGCTGCGGAGACGTTACACGCAGTCTTCAATGCTACAGCTTAGCTAACCCTATGGTTTTGAAAGTGGACCTTGGTGGCACCTTGGTATCGGAGGGTGATGATGCCACTTCGAACCCAAAACACAATACTTGAGCGCAAACCAAGGCCAGCGGGGTAACAAAAGAAGATACCAGTTCAACCTCAGACACCTACACTCTCGTGAGAACAAAACCGACGCCATGCCACACACCAGCACCGACGCGGCATCAAATGACACCACCAAAGGCGATGCCCCGCCGCAAATCACCGTCCCCTCCTGGATCAACGGCATCGAAGAGACCGGCCCCTCAACCTTCGACGTAATAAGCCCCTACACCAACACCACCTGCTGGACCAGCACCTCCGCCACACCCTCCGACGCCCTCCGCGCCGTAGACGCTGCATCCGCCGCCTTCCCCGGCTGGTCAGCGACCAAACCCACCGCGCGGCGCGACATCCTCCTCCGCGCCGCCAACCTCCTCGAGGAGCGCACCGAGGAAAATGCCGAGATCATGCGCACGGAAATGGGGGCTGACGTAGGCACCTCGCAGTTCTTCGTCGTGCCACTCGCTATCAAGATGCTTCGTGATGTCGCGGGGCGAATTACCTCTGTCTGCGGCAGCCTGCCAACTGTGGAAGAGGAGGGCCAGAGCGCTATCGTGTATAAGGAGCCCATGGGTGTCATCCTGGGCATAGTTCCTTGGTGAGTCAGACCCCATATTCCTTTCCCCCGCTTGACGCCCCCTCGGCGCCTTGTTCGCTATCGATCCCATGCTAACCCCCCGCCTCCAGGAACGCACCCTACGTCTTCGGCATCCGCTCCGCCGCCACCGCCCTCGCCGGCGGCAACACCACAGTCCTGAAATCGTCCGACCTCTCCCCGCGCTGCTACTGGGCCATTGGCCGCGCATTCGCCGACGCTGGCCTCCCCGCCGGCTGTCTGAATATCGTCTCTTGTCGTCCTGCCGACGCGCCCGCCGTCGTCAACGCCATGATTGCCCATCCTGCTGTGCGCAAGATCAACTTCACAGGTAGCACGTCGGTCGGGCGCCGCGTCGCACAGGAAGCGGGGATGCAGCTGAAGCCCTGCCTGATGGAGCTAGGCGGGAAGAACAGCGCGATTGTGTGCGAAGATGCTAATCTCGACGTCGCCGTGCCATCCATCATCGCAGGGGCATTCTTAAACGTACCCCCCCCCCCCCCTCTCCCTAATCAAGTGACAATGCTAACCACCGCCCCCCACAGTCCGGCCAAATCTGCATGTCCACCGACCGCATCGTCCTCCACTCCGCCATCGCCCCCGCCTTCCTTGCAGCCCTCAAATCAGCGCTCTCTTCAGCCCCGCCCTCCGACGCCCCTACCCTGGTCTCCGCAGCCTCAAAAGCACGTGTCCAGTCCCTCGTCACGTCCTCCCTCGCCGCCGGCGCGCACCTCATCCACGGCTCCGTCGACGCCGCCGAACCGGAGGGGAAGGCATCGAGCATCCGCCTTGCACCTGTCGTCGTCGGAGGCGCAGGCGACGAGGATCCCCTCTGGTTGGAGGAGTCGTTCGCGTCGCTCGCGGCGTGCAGGGTGGTGTCGTCTGATGAGGAGGCGGTGCGGGTCGCGAATAGTGGGGGGTATGGGCTGTCGGCTGCTGTGTTCACGGAGGACTTGAGGAGGGGGTTTAAAATTGCGAAGAAGCTGGAGTCAGGGTGAGTTTTGTCCTGCGGGGGGTGTGGGTTAGTGAGTGAGTGAGTGTATACTAATGGGAATAGGGCTGTGCATATTAATAGCATGACGGTGCATGACGAGCCGGTGTTGCCGCATGGGGGTGTGAGGAATAGCGGCTGGGGGAGGTTCAATGCGAAGGAGGGGCTGGAGGAGTTTCTGGTTACTAAGACTGTGACGTGGAAGGATTAGGAGTGTGGAGAACGCGTGGCGTTAGCTGGACCTTGCTAGAGCTGGCCTGGGAATATAGGAGTGGTTTGTGCGTGGACAAGACTTAGAGGTGTGGGCGGGCATATGCTTTATTTCATAATGCATCTAGCTTTGCAAAACATCGCGTATATAAAACCAACTCTGAATCTGTGCATCATCTCTACTTAAAAGGAGATATTTCAAAGCTAGCCACAATTAGTTTACCGTCCTAATAAAATTGGAATTAATGTATACATACAGAGACTCTTTGGCGTAGGTCATATTCTCCGCCTACAGATAATTGAGGGATCTGTTGATATTTCTGTGCCAAGAGTTGTCGGGTATTTTGCAGGACCTATAAAGTCATCAGATACGACATCTACTTGCCAAGGGCCATTGTATATTTCAGGAAAATAGGGCATACCTCAATATAACTCTGATTCGGATTCTCCCTCATAGTCTTGATGAATCCATACGACATGGCACCTATCCCACATTAGTATCGCTTACTAACCCGCACCAAGCCAGCCAAGACACGCCAACGTACCTGTCGCAGCCCCCGCAATGCTTGTATCAGCCGACGTCTGATTATCAGCACATCCACTAAACATCCAAATATCCTTCCCCTCATTCTTCCAATCCTCGACAAAGTTTTCCTCGCCTAGGCCATTCTCATTAGTAGGTCCTCCACCTTGATGGTGCAGGGAAGCAAAGAAAGACTGTGCGCCTCCAATGAGGGCTTGAGCGTCCTTGATCTTCGTAGCGGAGAATCCTCCATGTAGGAGATTAAAAGCTGATGTAGCAAGGCTGATACCCTGTTTCACGTTGTCGACGAGGTTTACCTGTCCTGCTGAGTTCGGGCGATAGACGAAGGGAAGCTCGATGGCGGAACCGCTGTGGCAGCAGTCGAAGAGAACTGTTAGACGGGTACGGGGGTTCATCGGCGAGACAATGGCTTTGTGGAGCTGGCATATTTGTCAGTTCTTGCTAGTGTGGCATATCCGATCGCGCACACATACTGTGTCACTGTCTAACTGTCCATGAGATTCAAAGTCTAGGGGACAGATAGTATCATCGAAACTGCAACTTTGTCAGAACTGACTCTGCGATATATCGCATAGATTCACTCACCCAGACTCTCGGTCTCCATCAGGGTCCTTAACTTGGGCTGCGCAAAGGTTAGAACGACGAGTTCTCGCGTAGATAGGATGAGGGTTCACCCACATCCATGTCCAGAGTAGGATAAGAAAACGGAGTCTCCTGCATTGTTACCGGAGACAAGCCATCGAAAAGCCTATAGGAGTAGTCAGAACCTAGGTAATTATCACAGCAGAAGGGAATCTCACGGCCATCATATTGGCACCGTTAGGCTCCAACGGCGTCCCCCTGTTCTCGGGCGCATCAGTCAAGATGACCATGTCGCTCTGTGCAGGCGAAAAGCCATGGTCCTGAACAAGGTATTCACGAATGTTCATAGCATCGTTGATACATCCGTTCAGTTGGTGCTTGGTACCATAGTAGTTGATACCAATCAGCAAGGCCTTCTTGCGAGGCATGGTGTTTGCGTTACTGAGGTGGGATATTCTAGTTACTCTGATGAGCACAGCTCCCTCTCAGAGATAAGAGAATACCGGGATGGGGTAGGACACACTGGATGAGGCCGAGTTAGGATGTGCAAATCGCGTACTGATGAACTGCTGGTCGTAATATCGTAACGCAAGTCACAGGCATCGTTATGGCCGGCGACACAATACGTGGCGGCGGTGGGCGCCACTCGCTCTCTGCTTACCCCGCCCCTATCCATTCATAGGGTCGGTTCCGACGATTACGGGATTGACGCGAGTCGCGAGATTGACTCGAACACGTTGCCTCGCCTCCAGCCGCCAACCCCACTTACCCTCCCCTGATTCCGCGCTATGCCTATTGGCACGATTGAGGCTATTATCCGCATACGCAAGCTTGTGTATGGCCGAGCGGACGGGATGCCCAATTCTCTGTGAGCTGCCATCGCTTTTGCGCCAAGACCACCACCAAAACCGTTCCCCGTTGTCAGCCTTCCGCTTCCTTATTGCCGCTTCGAGACCGTCGCTGCTTTTACCTGCACTGCCTCAAGGCCCACACTTCCCACTTCGTGACCACTGAAGCGACCTAAGAGCGCTTAAAAACGCGAAACGATTGATATTACAGAGAGATGGGCAATATATTCAAGGACCGCGATGACGAGTTGCAAAAAGTCATTGCAACTTGCAAGATATAGCATAGTTAATGCCTAGTTATACGTATATTTCTAGGCATGGTAGAGAGCATGAAATTCACAAACGATGAAAATATGATAATATGAGACAGTTGCGATAGTTATTAGTGTCACAGGCACATACAGGGGCAGATTATAGTACTCTGTCACCGCCTACAGGGCTAGTGTAGGGGCCACCGAGACCAGGGCACGGGCCCGGCCCTGTCTCTTTTATATGTAGATAGAGAGCCTCCAAGAAATAAGAGGATAGACTTTACCACATTACATGATTCTAGCTCCGCAGTAAGCCTACTTGATAAACCCCTATTAACTATGGTCTTTTGCACTAACTTAGTGTCAATCAATTAAGTCATTAGCTCCTTGCTCAACGCAACGTTTCTGGTTCGACCGCCAATTTGGCACCGGAATATCCTAAATCCTCTTTCTACCAGTTTTTTTAGCTAAGCTATAGTTAGTGTTTGTGGGATTTCACAAGCGATGGATAATAGTGGCCAAAAGCCACTTTGTGTGCCTGGCTTTGGTGGAATGTCTCTGTATCATGAGCTAAATATCGAGTGTCGCTTTGCCGATGCTGCAAGTGGATGGGAACAAAAGGCCTGCCCTGACTGCGCCTGAGCTCGCTATGATGCAACTCATGAACGATTTAACCGACAAGCGGGACTGGCATATCGGAATATTCAATGACGAGATCGTTGCAAAATGGCGCGAAGAGGCGTTTGAAACCCAAGAGAAAATCGAAACGCATAAAACACTTGGAATGCGACGGATTAGCGTGAAAACTTGGAATTGGTGTGTTATGGAGCTTCGCGATAAAGCTCTAATGGTTGAGGAGAACTAATTTATTCGCATCCTTGACGCAGGATCCTCCGTATGTAAATCAGATGCGGGGGCCGATATTTACAAGAAAAGCCAACAACCTATCCCTACGCACTAGCGATTTCAGCTCGATGTTACTCCATAGCACTTTCTGTACGCGTACACTTTACCAATTATGCTACGATCATTAAATCCTTTTATTAATTAAGAATTCAAAATTACTTTGCCTGGGAGTCCACTAGCTTATACTCCTCATACGATGGCCTCATTCCGAGCGCTATACTACCAATCCAATAGTTAAGACTAAGAACGACCCTAGATATAGCAAACTGGCTCCATCTCTCAAACTCTTTTACCCACTCAGGCACATTCATCCAGTAAAACTGTCGCAAAATCCAGCATGTCCCATGATCTTCACAAAAGTCATACTTATGGAAGGTCGTCCGTAGCTGGATCCAGAGAAACTTGTGTATCATCCATTCTCTAAGAGACGGAGTTCGGTTTGTGAGTACGTATAACACTCGAACCCACAAGGGCGTGGAACAGAGTGAAAAGTATACCTCGGCGTCTTCAACGGAGCTGCAAATAATGTGATAGAGTTGCCGGGTTCTCTCTGATCCTAGTAGCTTTGCCGTCGCCGGCTGTGATGAATTTACGTATTTCCCAAAACTAATCCAGGATTCTGGGAGCTGTGGGCCCCATGGCAACCCGTGCACCCAGCGTGAACCTCCAATATACCATTGCCCACTTAGCATGTTGAAGCTGACACACATCTTTCTCGTGATATGAGTATGATGTGGACTTGCCCAGTGACTCTCCTGTGGGATCTCAATAAAGATATCTGGCTCGGCGAGTTTGAAGTCGAAGGTGACGACGTCCTTCCTAGATAGGACATAATAAACGCTTTTGTGCGCGACAAAGAACCTTGAAAGAGTGAATCGAGTTCGGTGTTGGGTGTTGGTTCGTTGTTTGCAACCCCAGAGCCTTGAGTGCACTGTATGAAGATTGAGCAACTTGCTGAGGATTGTGGCTGAAATTGCTGCTAAGAAGAGTACGATAATCATCGCGAACCTTGGCATGTGTTGAGGTGACTCGACACTTGAGTTATTGCGTTGGTTGTCTGTGAAATCCTCGGAAGGATATGCGATTATATAAGTGGGCCTAGGAGTGTGGGTCGGTAAAGGCATGCTACGTTGCCAGAAATTATATGTCCAGCTGCTTCTTCCAATCAGCGTATGACTTTTAATGGTTTTATCCGGTGCACCCGAGAGCAATCCACACGATTCTGATGCCTTCGCTCTCAAATGAAAATATAATCTACACTTAATCGTCGGTTCCGACGATTAGGCTAATGGAAGCATCTGCTTATGCTACCTTATGCAGTAGTTATTAGATAAAGCTCTTATCCCTCTACTATCGCCCCTAACTCCGCATGCATTAACCAAGTGGCGAAGCAAAAATATCACTCGGCTCTATTAAACTTGAGCCTTCTGTCCCTTGTGTACTGGGGGTTCCTGATTCAGGGCGTCAACGTATTTCCATTACATGAGCTAGACAAAAGATGATGGCTGCACCATCACGCTCCTCTCACACCAGACAGTCCGCATGGAGAAAGTAGCGCTAATACAAGGATTTGGGGCTCAATACTGCAAAGTGGCTTAGCCTAACAATGGTCTAGATTATGTTGGTCTAATCAGAAGCCTCTCTGGGGTTGGATTATGTAGTAAGCCTATTAAGAGCCAAACCAACAATTACGACAGTATCTAATATTGCACAAAGTTGGTCTCCGTATACGAGATGCATGCACGACCTCATCTAATATTGCACAAGTTGGTCTCTGTATACGAGATGCATGCCACGACCTCAGTAAATGACCGGGATTATAAGTTATGGCAAAGCTTCGCCTTTTATCCACTTCTAAGCCCACTCCCCGCTACTCTAACAACACAACCTATTACAACGCACTTCTACTCAGTATACACTCTTGATTCTTGAACTTGCCTCTGTTTTCTGCCTTCTTGCCAAAACAGCCCCAAAATATACCCTTGTCGAAAGTGCAGCTTCAATTTTCATCCTTCCAACATAGCAATCTCTCAGCTGGCCGTCAGTGCCATTTATCCGTGATGGTATGTGCCAGCTCTGCATATGTTATCTTAATAATGCTACTGTATTCACATATTAGCAAGTCTCTGAAGATTAAGCATGTGCGCTTATATAATGCATACACTGAATTAAGAGTAGTATTTAAGATTGGTGGCCTCCCGTTATGTGCCTAGAAAGAACTCCGGCTGGAAAAGCTTACACATGAGACGAAAACAACAATTATACAACGTTTTTGCCCATAATGGGCTCCATTATTCAGAAGCTATTGCTTTTAACAGCTATTGCTACACATGCCTATGGCTCCTCAAAAGGGCTTAAAGAAATAACGGGGGTGAAGTTCCATCAACCGTCTGCGGCAGAGATGCAGCGTGCCCACGAGGCCTTCTCTTCTCAGAGCTTCCAAAACAAGACGGCATACGAGATGTAAAGACATCCGATCCTGAACTTGTTCAGCTTAGGGATGTTAGTACTGCAGAACTCCAACAGGCGAAGGCTCTAGTTGCCACGGCACATACTTCCCAGGCAGCGTATAACAAGTGGAACATGGAGAACCCCAGCTTCAACAACTATCACCACAAGGGAACGGGGAATACTGCCGAACGCCGGGATACTAAGTCTCCCCCTACCTTCTCACGGGAGACCTTAGATGCCATTAAGCTTGTCGGCACTGTAGATGCACAGAATATGCTCAAGAACGGAACCTTGCCGAACTACAATAATGCAACGTTCTGGGCCCACAAGCCAGATTCAGACACCAACTTCCGGGGCCCCAAAAATGTTAAGAGGGCCAATGATGACTCATGGCTATCTCAGATGCAGCATGGATCTCAGCCTTTTGGTGGCGACTCAAGTTATGTGGTAAGTAGGTTTTGTTGCCTTGTTGGTGAATTATGCTAATTAATAGGTCTGGCGTAACGTCATGGACTACGGCGCAGTTGGGGATGGCGTGGCGGATGATACCGCTGCCATTAACAAAGCTATGTCTGATGGAAACCGTTGTGGCGCAAACTGCGCTGGGTCGACAGTAAAGGGCGCAGTCATTTATTTTCCGTTTGGAACTTATCGAGTGAGCAGTAGTATAGTCTCCTACTATAACACCCAAATTGTTGGTGAGATAAACTCTGATGGCAATTCTCCCGTCATCGAAGCTGCGACTACATTCACTGGCAACGGGGTTATTAGCAGTGACGTCTATCTGGCTGATGGAACGACAGAGTGGTACATTAATACGGTGAGTTTCTAATTGTTATATGTAGACGTCTCTAACTATTAGGCCAACTTCTATCGTCAAATTCGGAATTTAGATATAAATCTTCGGTTTGCAACAATGCAAAATATCAAGGGTATTCACTGGCAAGTCGGTCAAGCCACAAGTATTGAAAATGTTAGAATCTACATGACGGATAAGTCGTCGTCAACCCAAGTTGGCATTTGTAAGCTTAGGACCTCATGATAGCCTGTCCACGCCGCTTACCAAGATAGTTGCGGAAAACGGCAGTGGCGGCTGGTTTAGCGCCATCTCCATGATAGGGGGGCTGTACGGGTTTCTTGGAGGTAACCAGCAGTACTCAGTTGGCGACATTAATATTGTCGGCGCTAAGAATTGTATTGGTATCATCTGGGATTGGGCTTGGGTGAGTTTCTGGAAGTTTACAACGATAAGTACTAACTATGTAGTCCTGGTCCCGCCTAGTCCTCGAAGACTGCGACGTCGGCATAAACTTAACTCCGCCGGGCTCTAATTCAGCCTCCCCAGTTGGCTCCGTTATGATTGTTGACAGCGCATTCGTTAAATGCCCTGTCGCTATCCTGACGTACAGCTTTGCTGGGAGTACAGGAGAACAAGGGACCACGGTGCTCACTCTAAACAATGTTCACTTTGTTGGAGACACAAACTTTATTGTTTTCCCGGATGGCACTGGCCTTGTGCAAAATGTTTCGAATTCGGTCATTCAATTTTGGCAGATAGGAGATCTAGAAGCAGATGGTGCCACGCATGACGGGCTGTTTTTTGTTAATATACCTAGACCAGAAGTTCTCACTGTTACGGATGCCTTTTCTTCACCACAACAAGGCTCGTTCTATCGCCGATTGTAAGTTTGGATTGAGTAAACGTGGCCCTACTGACTATGTGTAGTAAGCCGACGTACCAAGGAATATCTGCTTCATCTATTCTTAATGCGAGGGCGTTAGCAAAGGGTATGTCATAGGCAATTTACCCACATTAGCTAATTTGTTTTAGGTGATGGTGTTACAGATGATACAGCTGCTCTTCAAACTATGCTGTTTTACTGCGCGAAGAACAACTGTATCTTATACGTTCCTGCTGGGTCGTACATGATTTCTGCCCCTATATTAGTACGTCGTCTACACCATTTTGTTCCTAGCTGATTATGATAGATCCCTAACAACTCCGTCATCGTTGGTGAATCATGGTCGCAGTTTGTTGCCTATGGCCAGAACTTTGCAGATGAGTTCAACCCGCAACCGATGATTACAGTCGGGCAAGGCGAATCTGGAATGGTCGAGATGCAGAATCTATTATTTACATCCCAAGGAGCTCTGCCTGGCTTGGTTCTTGTCCAGTGGAATATTAAAGCCGCAACTCAAGGCTCTGTAGGGCTGTGGGGTGAGTTGATACCCCGTTGAGAGTTAACTTATAGGCTGACCATTAGACTGCCACTTCCGAATCGGTGGTGCCAAAGGCACTAACCTGCAGAGTGCGCAATGCCCAAAGCTCACCGGCAGCATCGATCCCAATTGCATTGCGGGTTCAATCATGCTCTTAATGACACAAGATTCTAACGGGTATGTAACTCTCTAATATTAGCGAATTATCTAACAGTTCAAGCTATTTCGAGAATATGTGGGCTTGGGTTGCAGGTGTGTGCTTTTTAACCATTTATATATTTAAGCTAACGTCATAGATCATGACATTGATAATCCTGCTTCCGACTTGTCAAACCAGATAAACGTCTACTTCGGCCGGGGTATGCTGATCCAAAGCCAAGGGCCATCATGGTTCCGTGGCACTGCTTCAGAGCACAGTGTAATGTATCAGTATAATGCTATTAATGCAAGCAACATTTATATGAGTATAATTCAGACCGAGTCGCCATGTACGTGTATTATTTAACAATGGTACTCTGCTAACGTCGTCTTAGATTATCAAGGAGCTGCGTACACTCAGGCTCCTGCTCCTTTTAGTCCATTATGGAATGGAGATCCATTATTCAACACATGTGGCTCTGACACGATAACATGCAACGTCGCTTGGGCTATTATCATTCAGTGGTCTGAGAATGTCTTCATTGACGGCGCAGGCCTCTACTCGTGGTTTCAGAGCTACAACCAAGACTGCGTTGACTCAAACACCTGCCAGCAGAGACTTGTCAACATCTACAACGTCGGCGGGCTACTTTTTAATCATCTAGTCACTATTGGGTCTGTCGAGGTCCTAACTCCAGCTATAAGTAATCACTGGAACGGCATTAAGTACGCCGCCGACCATCTGCAAGCGACGGTGTACCCGTGGTGGACAGCAATTGCCACTTACCTAGAGAGCAGCGAAAGTGTCGACCTAACGGTTGATCCATACCCCATTACTGAAGGCTGGGTCTCTTTCGGAGACTCGTATGCTGCAGGCATTGGTGCCGGAAAGCCTTATGATAAGATTAAAAACTGCGCTCGGGGGTCAGGAGGATATCCGCCTATTCTCGATAACATTATTCAGTTTGGCCACAACGTCGAGACTGTCTTTCAACCTCTTTCCTGCTCAGGAGAAACCGCGCGGCAGTTTATCGATGGCACGGCCACGAAGCAACTCTCTCAGTGGCGTCCTAGCTCGTCTGATATCGGGACATGTTCCTTTACTGGAAATGACCTTGGCTTCGGGAACATTGTATCGCACTGCATCATGGGCTATAAGAGTAGAGACGAGTGCCAGAGCGATATTACCAAAGCGAAGAGCCTTCTCGATGCCAACAGCCTTATTGGAGAACTGGTGAACGACGTCATGGAAATGATTGTGGCCAAGGCTAAACAATACAAACCGCGCTTCGTCGTCTATTGGACTGGATACCCGAAGTTTTTTACAAGTGTTGATGGCACTTGTGATACTTGCTGGTTTCATGAGTACTGGTATGCAGGGGAATACCTCACACAAAAACTCCGCAACCAACTCAATCAGCTATCGGTAGATGTTAATAACCAGATCGAATTCGCAATTAATAAGTATAATGCGCTTCTCCCATATCCAAAGGTTGTATTTGTCTCGCCTGACAAGCTAAAATTATATGATGGGAAACGATTCTGCGAGAAGTCAGTTAGCGAGCCGCTGAAGGGGTCGGCACAGAATGCAGTTGCCTTCTTTTATGAGAAGGGTCCTGATAATGTGCCAGCATACCCATTCGCTCTTCCGAAGCCAATAGAGGACGATGCGCCCTCCGATTGGGCGCTGTCGACGTATAACAGCGCCACTTGTAGTGATAGCATTGAGGCATCGGATGGAAACTGGGCGTCAGAGATGCTTTGTGACATGGCTATTGGGATCTCGAATGGGTCTATTACATCACAGGACTTCCTTGACAACGAGGGTGCTGGAGCAACGATTACTGCCAATTCTGATGGAACGATAACAATTACTGATTTGGATGTGAACTATCTCAAGATGTTTCATCCGAAGACTGAGGCAAACTGGCACATCGCACAGGCAGTGACTGATGCGCTGATAAAGAATTAGAACGACCGAGGAGAAGTAGAACCACTAAGCAAGATTGCATTAAGGAGGTGGCCGATTAAAATATGGTCGTACGAATTAGCAATGATTATCTACAGCTTTTTCGAGCGACTTGTATCATCAGGTGGTAACCAGCAGATTGCTGCTATTTCTGAAATCGTAAGCCACTTATCTCTAAGCCCTTAACATGTGATTTATACATTATTTAAACTCTTATATAAACCTGTGATCCTACATCGCCTAATAATGTGATTCCTCATTATTTAAGTCCTGTAACTAGTTTCTTAGGAGACTAGTGGGGGACCCTGGGTTAGAGGCTGAAGACCAGACCATAGTCCGGTCTAAGAATTTGAGACCGGACCGACCCATGGTCCGGTCTGGGGTCAGTCAACCGATGGGGTCGGTCCCTCGTGGCGCAGCCTAGCTCTGATGCTGCAAGTGCACGGACTTAAGGATGGTGGGCCCCTAAGCCGTGCCCGAGCTGTCACCCACATGTGTCAGCATGGAGTTGCAGCCGCGTTTGAAGGTTCTTTCTAGAGAGTACTCAAAGGGAAAGCATACTGTATAATATACCAAAGCATTTATCAGACTTACAGCTTCCGGTCTAAATATGCAGGTATAACAGCGAGGGGGAGATGTGCTGTTAAGGTACTGGTACTAGTTACTCGGTAGGATGGGTAAATGGCGGAGGCGACGGGGTCGTGGAGGATTTGATCTGGCTAAGCTTTCTGGGCTGGCTCACCTAAGTTAAGGGCGGTAGCTTCTAATAGTCTAGCGCCACTAGCTAACTTGTATACTAATCAGGGGCTAGAGAATCCCACAGGAAAACCTGTTATTTTAGGTCTAAATCGCCCATATTCCTGGAGAAAGTCTGTTTCCCTAACAAAAATAGCTAACGCTCCCTGAGTAACATATATCAAGTGTATCAAGGCACCTCCAATGTGGAAATTCATGTAAGAAAAAGCGTATCTATAGTCTTCTAGTTTCTAAGAGCGGATCTATAACTATTCTAAAACTATTTATGACGCGTCAAAAGCAAATCTAAGCAACGCCTTGCATTGCCGCCTTATTCTCCCCATCTCTGCTAACGCGTCTATCGATGTTGAAGTCGTCGTTGCTATCCACTCCGAGATCATACCGCCTTGCATACTCCCCAACTCCCGCATCATCAAGCATCGGTAGCTCATGCGATGCCTTAACATAGGTAATCTTTTCGATATATCCCTTAGCGAAGATGATATCAATCTCCTCCAACGAGCGTCCTTGAGTCTCGGGGTAGAAGAAGAAGATGACGGGCAGAAAGCAGGCATTGATAATGGCAAAGACGAGGTATGTCGCCCATCCAATGTTCGAAACCATGATCGGAGTAACCATGACCACGACGAAGTTGAACAACCAGTTCGTGCAGGTCGAGATCGCATTCGCCCTTCCGCGGGTCTTGATGGGGTTGACCTCAGCGGGATACAGCCATGGCAGTGGAAGCCAGGTGGCCCCGAAAACGATGATGAACAGGAACAGACCGAATACGCCTCCCTTGGCAGCTTGCTTAGCTTCGGGGGTGGTGTCTTGATTTTTTATTCCGGAAGGGATGAGAGTCGCGAATGTGATAACCATGGCGAGGCACTGGCCAACTGTACCCCATAGGAAAAGAGCACGGCGGCCCACACGCTCGATCAGGAACCAAGATGTCGTCGAGAAGGCGGCGTAGCACGTCGCGTTTACAGCTGCTACGACGAGGGAGATATTGCGGGTCTGGCCGAGAGACTCCTCCAGTAACACGGGGAGATAGTAAATCACCGCATTACAACCACCGATTTGCTGGAACAATTGCGCAGAAGATCCAACCAACATGCGACGCGTATGCTGTGATTTTCCACCAGTGAATAGACTGGAGAAGCTCGCGCCCTTGCCAGCTGCGCGGATCGAGTCGAGGATGACAGCCTTCTGTGCCTGGACCTCGGGGTGATGAGTGTCCTTGCCATGGAGAGAGGCGAGGACACTTTCGCCCTCCTCGTACCGCTCACGGCTGAGCAGCCATCTGGGAGATTCCGGAAGGAATACCATGACAACGGAGAGGAAGAGACCAAATACAATCTGGAAAGCGATGGGCCATCTCCAGTGAACACTCTCGTTATCGGAGAACTGAGAGCCGTAATTGATCCAATAAGCAATCATAGTTCCGAACGCGATCGTAGCGCCCTCGATACAGATCAGGAGACCACGGTTCGATGACTTGGAGCATTCGGCCTGGTATGTGGGAATTGTCGATGTGTTGATGCCGTTTCCGACACCGGTAATCGTTCGTCCGACCATGAATTGAACAAATGGCATAGATCCAGTCATCGAGGCGACCTGGATGATGACCCCGAGAATCATAACCCATCCACCTGTGATACAGGCTCGGCGACGGCCCAGCCACTCGCCGAAAATGAGAATGAAGACAGCGCCAAGAAGGCAGCCGATCTCGTAAATTCCAGTCGTGATGCCTTGTACCGTAGAATTATCTTTTGTCGCTGGGAAATAATCGTTGAAGACCGGGTCTGTGATGATCCCACTCATCACACCTTGGTCGAACCCGAAGAGCAAAAATCCATTCGTCGCAACGACGGAGATTGCAATGTTGAGTTTGCGGCCAGAAAGTCCCATGTATGTCTTCATGTGCTTTTTAGTAGTAGGTTCGGCAGACACGTCGCTGCTGTTGTCGATGGTATTGTTTTGGGTTGTGGGCTCATTGTCGGCTCTGAGAGCCTTCTCGCCGCCGTTGCCAGCGTCGACGGCATTTGCATTGCCATCGTACCGCTCTATGGCGTCTGTGTTTGACTTTCCGCTCATGAACCCCATTTTGATGTCTGATTTTTAAATGATCATTCTATTATGGAATGGCATACTTATAAGAAAATTTTAAGAAATGTGTGGCAAGGCGCCACATTTAGAGTCCACAAAAATGACATCAGAATGGAAATAGTTTCGTTCCTGAGTGTACGTACCAACCAAAATCTCCGAAACAGCCCTATCAACTGTCTTGTGAAAGTATCTAATCAATCAGGTGTGACAATCTGCAACTATTGTGACAGCGGGGTTTTTACAGGATGCGAACTGGGAAACGGGAGGAGGTTCGACGACCGAGCACTGGCAAGGATAGCATTGAATGCGACGGGAATGTGCGACGGGAGACGGAAGGGCTGCTAACGGCGCAATAATTTTGAACGGCAGTGTCGGACTGCCGGTGGGATACGCATTGAAAAAACCGTTGGACCCATCCGAGATCCGTTTAGGGCTGGTTTTTGAATCGTGAGAGTCTCCCATTGATAATTAATTATGGGTCTGGCGTCATCGCGCATCGCGGGTGGGGAGATCGCGGGAGATCTACACCCAAGCATCTCGGCAGATTTTTATTGGCGATTCAATGAATCTGCCGTGAAGTTAGAGTGCATTGCGACTTTCGCTTTATATTGTAGTATAGATAATGGGTTCTTATACGACCTGATGGGATATAGACTGAGATATATTATGAGATGCGGGATGCGGGATGCGGGATGCGGGACCGGGATGCGGGGAGGAGGATGTGGGAAGAAGTTGAGGGAGCGGGATGCTAGTTCGTGGTTGGTTGACCAAATGTTGAAAATGTGGCAACGGCGGAAGATATGACCACTAAGGATGAAGTTACGGAATCTCACTATCGCCATTCTTGCCCATGGGCTCCCCGTGATAATGATTCAGCTATAGAGCCTAACTACCACCACTCGTAACGCCTAACCCAATGACGGCTATCAAGTGTCAGTTCCATTGTCATATCCCGCGCTGGTCTGACGACTGCCAACTCCTAGATTGCTACTAACTGGCTGTGCGTAGTCAGTACAGATTGATAAGGGGTCAGCCCTCCGTTGGGATCGGCTTAGGAGTAACCAGAATGGAGCACAGATATCCAAAGCATATCCTGAGAACAGGCCATAGGATCAGCACAGCCGACAAGTCGCTCAAGACCCTCATGGCAACAGTCAAGCCTAACATCGCACCTAGGGCGATTCGGGGACCCAGTTACCATCGTCTCCTCCCGAATCTACAGTAAAAGAGGTGGGAATCTACAACGCATCAAAAAATGAGAACCCATGGCCGTCGGTGAGAAACCCTAACTCCCGAAACTGAGGCCACAATGACGACAATCTGTATACCGCTAGTCCCCGGGCTCGCCACTTGTTGACCTGTCAAGGCGTCAGCGATCTAGAAACTTCCTGACAGCTTCATAATGACCGCTGTAACCCTAGTGCATCCTCGACCTTGCTATGATCATCATCGGGCGACGTTTGCCCAGTTGTGCGCAGCATTAAGAAAGTAAAACCCACCAGACGCTAAGGGAGGTACTGTCCCGGCGATAAACGAGTTCTACGCCTGTTACCTTTCCCTCCTTTGCCTCCCCATCCCATCAATGAGCTCTGTCGCCATCCTCCTCACCACCTGTGGTGCTAGGGATGTCGTTAGAGTCTCGTATCTATTAAAGTCCATAGCGGCAGACGCGGAATAGCTGTGTGAGAGAGGCATCAATCAAAGTCCTGTTCTAGAGCAGTGCATATCGGCGCATCACTGTTGGTGGCTGTGGATGGATGCGTAGCCAGGATTGTGGCTGAGTCGTTGCAAGGTGTGGATGTAATTCCTGTTAACAGTGAAGTCCATAAAGTGGCATCATGGTGAGTGAAATGGCCGTTATTTCTTTTGACGCAGTCTAAATACGCCGAGAGAGGGCAAGGGGTTCGCTCGATCTTCCTCATAGTGTGCATATAATTGACAAGCCACAGCTACACCAAGATATATATTAGCCATTTCAGCTTTACCTATCAAAATTTATCCCTCGACCTCGCTGTTGGTCTTCCAGACTTTTTAGACTCAGATGACTTTCTCCGATGCCAATCGGTCCGAACCATGTCTAGCGGCAGAGAGATATCATGGAAAGTGAAGTTGGTCCTAGAGCTGACGGACTGTTGGATTTTGAAGTAGTACATCTTGGTGGAGCTGGCACCGGAGACCTTAAATGGACTCCATTCCTCACCAATTGTGCGGGGAATGGCGGAATTATCATATAATAAGGTAACTGGACGTCAAAATAGGGCCGGACCCCGCGTGTCACACCTGCATGGCTGTTTATCCGGAGCTGCGTGAACGGCCAAGGGGTCACAGTTCGTGCATGCGGAGTCTCGGAATAGGGAATTTAGTCTTCCCTCAACTCCATCTGCCAAACCACATCTCTGGTATGTACCACCAAACAAGAGGATTCAACAAGGGCCCCCCAAGAATTATTTTTAATACGATAATAGTAACTTTTTTCTACAATCCCAAAAGTTAGTATTGATATTACTACTTCAGCGCATATAGAAGAACCAGTAAGTTTATATCGAGATCCCGAGGATCAAGGTTAATCCTAACATTAGAACGTTAGAATTATAAATCAAATACTGTTAGTGACCTGTATATCCAAACCTTAAAATATACCTCCACAGAAATATCAAACGTCAAAATGAACGTGGTAGGAAGGTGTGGGGTATACAGGGTTTACTCGGCCCGACCCCCACAACCTATTCTATTTGACGCAAACTCCCACGCATGATGGTATTTGCTAGAGAATTAAAGTTTTACCAAAATGATACGGAGTGCCGATCAAACACCCTCGTAGGTAATTGCCAGCGAAATCCCTGGATGTCATCTAATTTGGAAACCAACCAAAGGGAGTGGTCGACACGAACACCTGTTCGTCTTAATTTATCCGCAGTCGTCCTTGAGTATTTACAAACTTTAGAAGAATTTCAAGGCTACTTTCAAAACTTTCAATATCTAGTCTTGAGACTTTTTATTACGATAATGTAGAGCATCTGAGTGCAAACATACGCAAGTTACCGCCGCACCTGTCGAATAAGCGGGAGCTATTTAATAACCCGAAGGCCTACTCCCACTTACTTTAATCCTCCTGCGTCGGGTGGAATTCCGGAATCTCTAAACACAGTAGAAATAGAAGTGCCAAGCAACACAGACCTCGTGCCAGCCCTAGCTTCGGTGGTTTTGCTAATAGTGCCGTAGTCGCCCTTGTTGCAACAGGGTTCCCCACATTCTCACTTGTGCTAATCCATGACCTCCGCGAATCCGCGGACGAAAAAGGGCCGAAATGTTTAGCATCTCAAAAACACTAAAGGTATGGCAGTTGCGGTTTGGAAGGTGGTAAGTGCGCTGAAGCTATATTCTGGGGTTCTACAGTCAAGCGGCGTTTCAAAAGGGGGGCGCCAAGCAGAGTAAGTGCTCTCCGAGCATATTCGGTGTGTGATCGGTGAAATTAAATATACAAACGTACAAACTAAACGGCAATTGTGCTATTTAGCTACTTGGTGTATTGGAAAAGAAGCTGGGAATCACATCGCACTGATGCGATTCCCACCGTGCAATATATATAGGATGGGTCCACCACCCCTTTAGATTCATTCCCCGTTTCTTCTCAACCCATTCTTCACCATGCCGTCTTTCAATTCTGCTTTAATCGCGGCCCTCGGCCTGCCTTTGATCAAGCTGGCCCATGGCCAGATCTTCACAGTCAACTGTCAGCCGCTGACCATCCAGCGCGGCGACCCCATCATCAGCCCGGGCGGCATTTCCGCACACGTCCATGCCGTCATTGGTGGAACTGCCTTCCAACAGACCATGGGCTTGAATACGGCACTGAATGCTAAGGACACTACGTGCGACAAGAAGATTGATAAGAGCAACTACTGGCAGCCACAGCTGTACCACCAGAACTCTGATGGCAGCTTTGACTTAATCCACTTCCAAGGAAGCGTAAGTGCATGGGAGACAGAGACTTGTGCTAAACAGAGCTGATATATTTTAGGCCGTGTACTATCTAAACCGAGCGTGTGACTACGCGGAGGGAAGAACCCAGTGTCCGCCCGGCTTCTCCCCTGCAGCTCCTCCGGCTGGGCTGCGCATGGTCACTGGAAACCCAATGCGTCGGTAAGTAAACCACTCCCTTTTATATACTATCTATATCTAGTATCAAAACTTATGTGAGGAACTTTAGGACTATCGACGAATCACTTTTCGAACACCAAGCCATGCAGCACGTATGCCTGAATGCAGCCAGCAGCGACAACACCTACGGCCTCCCCAAACAATCCTGCGATCGTATGAGAGCAGAGACATTCTTCCAGTCCTGCTGGGATGGGAAGAACCTTGACAGTGACAACCATTCTTCTCACGTGAGTTACACTCCCTTCCTGTCCCATCCACAAATCTTCAACTTATAATATCCCATGCATCTTTATGTCTACCCCTTCCTAATAATATCTCTAGATGGCCTACCCTGCAATTGGCACCTATGATGGTGGAGTATGCCCAAAGTCCCACCCAAAGGCCATCTTCAGTCTCTTCTACGAGTTCTTCTATGACACCGCGCCCTACAAGGATTTCAACAAGTGGGTGTACGCGATGGGTGACCCAACTGGCTACGGTCTGCACGGCGACTTCATCAACGGCTGGGACCAGAACGCGCTGGAGACAGCCATTCAGACTTGCTCTGGCCCACAAGGCGCCTATTCCCCAGACTGCAGCATTAATGTAAGTGATATATCCCCCAATCTCTTCTTTCCCCACGGATATATTTTAGGATTATGAACTATAAGCCCTATTCTGTTGAAAAAGACACACAACTAACAACTGAATAGAAGAATGCTGGCTCCGCGGTTGGCTTGAACCCAGAGATCGCCGCTCCTGCTGAAGAAGTAGGCCTCAACGGTCCTGTTGCTAAGTTGCCGGGCAACAACCCTGTCACCATGTCGCCAATCATGAAGAGATCGAGCGTCGCAGGGAGGGTCAAGCTCTGAGCAGAGAATACTGGATCGGATATGAGAGAATTCTGAGAAAGGAACCGGAAGAATGCCCTACGATCTATGAAAGGAAAGGAACAAGGATGAAGGAGAATGAGGTGTATATAGTCAGCGAGTTCATGAGCCTGCTTACTGCTTTTTCGAAACAATTCTAAGTAGATAGTTACATACGTACAATTTCAGATAAATTGGCAAATTTTCCGAGGTAATATGAACTTTTAGGGCGACCTATATTGAAGTGGCTTATTCCCAAACGTAGGGAGGGTCACTCGTAAAAAACACATTCTCACATTTCCTCTTACAGGCATGCGCTGCATAAGCGCCCAGCCTTGCTGTTAGTGGGGCTGAGTTGTCACCAACCCCATCACACATCATCAGGTCGACTATATTTAATCCTTTCAAAGCAGACTGATAAATGTAGACCTACAAAATCGGCCCTACCAATCTTGCCAAATCCGTTGTCACCCGAACTAGGCGACATTCTAATCTCAAGCCATGCGCCTCATAAATGTAGACACGTTCGAGCTCGAGGAGTTCATGGACCATAGATCCACCCGCTATGCAATCCTCTCCCACACCTGGGGTAAGGGGGAGGTGACGCTCGTCGATATGCAACGCGGCCTGCCACATGCCGAGGCTCTACCCGGCTTCGATAAAATCCGCGGCGCCTGCCGCCAGGCTGCCAGCGACGGCCTTATGTTCGTCTGGGTTGACACCTGCTGCATCGACAAGAGCAGCAGCGCCGAACTGTCCGAAGCCATCAACTCCATGTTCCGCTGGTACTCCGATGCTAAAATTTGCTATGCTTACCTATCCGACGTCGCGAAGGTTGGGGACGGTCCTGAGGCGGAATCGCAGTTTCGAAACAGTAGGTGGTTTACGCGGGGCTGGACACTGCAGGAGCTCCTCGCCCCTAAGGAGGTTGTCTTCTACTCCCGGGAATGGATAGAGATGGGATCGAAAGAGGACTTTGCAACGACAATCTCAGAGATTACGGGTATTGACCCCGATGCGTTAGGCACTCTGGATATTACAAGATTTAGCATTGCGGAACGTATGTCTTGGGCCTCAAGTCGGGTCACTACGAGGCAGGAGGACATAGCGTATTGCCTGCTAGGCTTGTTTGCCGTCAACATGGCATTGCTATATGGCGAAGGCGAGCGCGCATTCATCCGGCTGGAGGAGGAAATCATCAAGAACTCGGACGACCACTCTATCTTTGCATGGACATCGTTGGGCGAGGCTCCACCCACAAATAGCGGGCTCCTAGCTATGTCGCCGTTGCAGTTCAAGCACTCGCGCGGGGTTACCCTATACGAGGGTGAAAGTAGTAAGAGTAGACCCTACCGGATGACCAACAAAGGTCTGAGCATCACGATAAATGTGGTACGTGGAAATGCACCAGGGGAGCGCTTCATGACGCTCGGCTGTCGGATTAGAGAAGGTTGGGTCCTCGCGATCTGCATTCGAGGCGTGGTAGCCAGCAGCGTAAGTGATCAGTATACCAGAGTACGGTGCGATGAGCTGTACGCAGTGCAACCCCAGACTAATGGTGGATGGACGAAATTATTCATCCGACAGGCAACGAGTCTGCTCGATCCAGTGGAGATTTTGCGTGGTGCAAACGCTTTCATGCTGAACGATATCTCCCCCTCCTTCAGACTCGATAAAGTCTACCGATATACTCCAGACAAATTTAATCGGTTTAGTAGTAAAGAAGCGAAGATAGTTTGCACTTATGGGCGTGGCGGTGAGATTCTGGTTAATATCCCAAAGTCGGCAAACCATTGGGTGGCGACTGCTATCTTCAAAAGCACCACTACTGAGGCGGAGGTCTGGGTCATGCTAGGCTGGACGGATGAATTTGGTGTTTCGGTCCACGTTTGTCAGGATCGTGATGAGGACTCTGACGGAGAGATTGTTGAGGTGGACTTAAGGCCTCTAAGCAACTGCATAACGAAGAGGGAGATTATAAACGAATCTCAGACCCCAGAGGGCGAGGCGAAGACAGAGTTAGTCCCCGTGTCTGTGAGCGTCAATACGCATCACGAGCAGGGTATCGATGCGCTGTACAAGGTGCTATATAAGGTGACAGTTACTGATGACCGGTATGTTGCAATTCCGGCGGCATATACTGTTTGGCCATAGTGGGGCAGTTATCTGTCATAAATGAACCTAAAAACTCGTATATTTATCCGCCCTCCTGCTCATTTCTTCTTTACTTTTACTTACTAGAATAAGGAAATAAAATCCACTTAATGGCATACCATAACACAGAGACAACTCGGCTGATCGACACGGACGGTACCATCCTCAATGAGACCGACTACCTCAACCTGCTAAACCAAATCATTAGGCGCAATGACTCAGCGACGCTACATAAATATCTCGCGAAATTCCCGAGATACGCCCTTAGTACGGGAGAGACCGAGTACTACGACCCGTTCTGGATCGCTGCGTCGGTTGGGAGCACCGAGGTCCTTCGCGTGCTGCTCGATCATTACAATTTCAACTATGAAGCCGATCCATCGCAGATAGTAGCCCTAGACCAGCGAGAATTCCTACTACTGAACGTGGCCTGTGACCACGCCCATCTCGAAACGGCGCGGTTCCTACTAGACAGCCAGCCCCCGTTTGGGGAAGTATGCGCTAAGGACTACCACGGCGGGACGCCACTGTTGAGCGCTGCAGCGTCGCTGCAGCACCTTAGTTTCGATCTGCAGCACCTTAGTTTCGATCTCGAACTTTGTCATCATGACCGTCACGGTTGGATCCGCGACCGCCTTGCTCGCGGCGAGGAATTGATGCACCTACTCCTCGATAAGGGGGCTTGTGCTAGCGATGCCATCGTCGAAGTCAGGGACAATTGGCTAGAGCCGCGCAACACCGTTCTTGGCCGGGCCATCACCCGCGCCAGCTACGAGTTAGTTAGGCGCCTGCTAGACGAAGGGGCGGACGTCCACGCCCGGCAGCAGTACTTCAGCAACGGCGGGGAGGTCGGCTTTCCAATAGGAATGTACACTAATGATGTCACCGCGCTGCATCTGGGGAGCTTGTTCTGGAACGCGGAGGGGATCCGTGCGCTACTAGACCATCAGCGCAGCGCTAGCAATGACCATGACTATGGACGTGAAAACGAGCATAATGACTTGTTTACCTGTCGCGACAGCACCGGCCGTCTCCCCCTCCACTGGGCGGCTGGGGGCCCCGGTTGGTATGACGAATGTCTCCTCCTAGACGATGCCATCGTCCCACGCATCGTTAACACGTTCCAGCTCCTTCTAGCCAGCAACCCCCATACCATCAACGACCTAGACCACCAGGGCGCGACACCCCTATACTACGCGGTCGGAGGCCACGCAGGCTGCGGCAGCCTACACTCTGACGTTCCCATCCGGTTCCTCTGCGCCCACGGCGCTGACGCAAGCCTAGTAGACCGCCACGGCCGCACTGTGCTGCATGCTCTTGCCTTGCACTCTATGTACGGCGAACCAATCGCCTCTGCCCTTCTGGACCTCCTGGTCGAGCACGGCGCTGATGTCACTCACGCTGACACAGACGGCAACACTCCTCTGCACCTCATGGCGCGGAACCTACGGCAGGTCGAGGCGGCGCGGTACCTAGTCCGCCTTGGCGCGGATGTGCGCTAGAAATGCTCAGGGAGATACGCCCCTTCATAAAGCAGCAATGGGGGGGATCGGGCCTCTCCAAAACCACGAGGGGAAGATGGAGAGTGTGACGCTCGCAAGTAGGATCCGAGCGCACGACGAGATGATCGCCGCGATACTAGAAGGCGAGACCAGAGGCGACGGGAGCAGCGGTTTAATGGACCAGCAGAATGCAGTGGGGAAGACGCCACGGCAGCTGCGGGAAGAGAATCTAACTATATGGAGTAGAAGGGAGGAGTCTATAAGAAGCCTGCCCGCTACAAGGGGAAGGGGAAGGGGGCGCGGCTAGCCATTATGAACTAGGGTTTAACTAAGTTTACTATACGTTAGATTCTTAAGGGGTTAACTAACTACATAGCTTCTGTATTATTTACCTTATTACTAGTCCTCGCGGCATATGGGCTGCAGGTTTCGGCCGTAACACTTAGTTGTGTATCTATGATGAGACCGAGATATCTACATTTTGCATCCTGGTCGCTGTTCCTGCCAAGCAAACCCGTTACCCCAGCAACCCCACACTACCCTCCATCCCACTTCCTCACAACCCCACCACCAAGGTAAGGTCCCACGCAACGACGCGTGCCACACACCGACGACCTACGACGACGACGACAGATACGATGGATACCCAGCGACCGCCGAAGAAACCGGCGAGGGTGTATGGGAAGAAGAAGCAAGTCTCCAAAAGCGCGGGGATATTTTTGCAGGATTCGTCGCCGGCGCCGAGGAAGGTGGGGGAGGTGGAGATAGAGAAGACGGCGGAGGAGGCGGTGGATGAGAAACTTGAGGAGGAGGGGAAGGATAGCAAAGATGCTGTAGGGATCGAGAAGCCCGCAACTGAAAGCCAGAAGATGGGCTCGCCAAAGAAGAGCGGTGATACCAGCGCAACACCTGCCCCAGAGACAGCGACGACTACGAACGCGAAATCGAAAAAACCGAAGAGCTCACGGAAGAAAAAGGAGGCAAAAGAACAAAAGACAGTGGATAATGGAGAAACCCAGCCAGCCGCCGCCGGGCACAGCGAATCCAAACCACCCAAACCGCAACCACAACCCCCGACAAAATCAAAACCCCCCTCCTCCGACACAGAAGCTCTGGCAGATCTAACACACACCCTCAACGCCCTCCAACTCACCCCCGCCTCCCCTCTCCCCCACCCCGCACCACCAAAACACCAACGCACCCGCCGTCCCCGCCCCTCCACCACCCCCTCCCCCACCACAAAACCCCCATCAACCTCAAAACCCCCCACCAACTCCCCCCCCCCACCCGCCTGGCTCGCCCCCCTCCCCTCCCCACTCCCCTGGTCCCACCTCCTCTCCCCCTCCTGGCCCCTAACCAAACTCACCGAGTCCTCCTACGCCGAGATCTACACCCTCCACAACCCCTCCGGCTCCTCCATCCTCAAGATCCTCGCTCTGCGTCCTCCGCGCGGGCCGGGGAGTAGGAGGGAGACAGCTTGTAAAGTCGAGGATGTGCTTAGTGAAGTTGCGATCTTGGATTTAGTCACCGATGTCGCAGGGTTCGTGGTGTTTCGCGGTGTGTTTGTCGCCAAGGGTGGTGTGCCGAGTGGTGTTGTTAAGGCGTGGGAGGGGTGGAATGATAAACCCCCCGGTGCTGACGCTACTGCTGAGGAAAGCGAGTCCTGGGACTTAGGATACGGACGGAGTGCGTTTCCGCACCCGTCGAAGTATCATAAGGATCAGTTATTCTTGGTGCTGGAGCTGGGAGATGCGGGGAAGGATTTAGAGCACTTCAACTTGACGACGAGGGAGGAGCTGTGGGATGTTTTTTTGGGAACGGTGGGGGCGCTGGCGACGGGGGAGGAGCTGTTTGGGTTCGAGCATAGGGATTTGCATGAGGGGAATATATGTCTTCGTCGCGCTGGGCCTTCTTCTCGAATACCCACGGCGACTGCGACTTTGTCAACATCCGCATCTGAGCTCCGCGGCGGATTCTCGGGACTGGAAATCACTTTACTGGATTACACCCTCTCTCGCGCGATGACGGAGGAGGGAAAAACACTATTCCTCGACCTCGACGACCCCGAAAACGCCGCTCTCTTCGAGGACTGCGAACCAGGCACGAAAGAGCAGGAGCGGAAACAACGGCGCGTCTACTACGCTATGCGCGAACATGTCATCGCTCAAGAACTCCTCCTTACTGGTGCGTTACAACAACAAACGGGGAAGGGAGAAGAAAGCAGATGGGCGAAACACCACCCCTTCACGAATGTCCTTTGGCTGGCTTATGTGCTGGAATACAGTATTTCGCATTTTGAAGGGCCGAAGGGGGAGTTGAAATTGTTTGAGGGGGAGATTAGGGATGTTAGGATGAGGTTGCGGGAGGGGAAAGGGGGGGGTGGGTGGGGGAGCGTTGCGGAGGTTAGGGAGGAGGTTTGGGGACGGGGGTGGGTGGAGTTGGAAGAGGAAGAGTGGGAGGGGGAGGGGCAGTGATGCATAGGTGGGGAGGAAATCGAAGATTAAAGTTTCTGAGATGGGAATACGCACCCCACAATGTGCTTGGCACACATACACGCTGGGTCGACGCATCTGCAGCGCGGGTATCCCGCACAAGCCTTGCGACGTCCGTGCGGGAGATAACGACGTGCGGCGCGCGGTTAATACCCATGACGGAGTGGGAAGTCGTGACGAGCGGGGAGAAGGATGCGGTATGCTTGGATGCAACCAGGAGAGAGAGAGTGGTTAGAAGGGATTCCAGATAGAAGAGGTGTACCAAGGGGAACCTCGAGAGACGTAGGGACGTCGGGACCAGGGGAGGAGAAGGGCGAGCGAGTATGATAGAAAGGAGGGATACAGACCTTGTGAATTGGAGTTCGGGGCATAGCATACACAGCGGGGATAGATACCACACCACATATACACATAAACAGCATTACAATCCTTCACTCCAACCACAATCATAAATCATAGTCACAACCAAAGCCAACATCAAAAAAAGGTTATTTCAATTCATTCGCAACCCTACACCCCCATCACCAGGGACAAACAGGTATCATCCACTCTAGTAGTTGCTATCATTGTTGTTGTTGTTACCCCCGCTCCTTCCCAAGAAACCAGTCGCCGTATCAACAAGCTTATCCACCGTCGACGATCCCGAGTTGTTGTTTCCCGAGCCGTAGGAATCGTTGTTGTTGTTGTTGCTGGATCCGTAAGAATCGCTGCTGTTGTTGTTGTTGCCCGAGGAGCGGGTGTTAGACGAGCCGTAGGAATCGTCGTCGTTGGAGTTCTTGTTGGACGAGCCGTAGCTGTCGGTGTTGCCCGAGGAGCCGTAGCTGTCGGAGGAGTTCTTGTTGGAGGAGCCGTAGGAGTCGGTGTTCGAGGAGCTCTTGTTGGAGGAGCCGTAGGAGTCGTCGTTGTCGTTGGAGTTCTTGTTGGACGAGCCGTAGCTGTCGGTGTTGCCCGAGGAGCCGTAGCTGTCGGAGGAGTTCTTGTTGGAGGAGCCGTAGGTGTCGGACGAGTTCTTGTTAGACGAGCCGTAGGTGTCGTTGTCGTTAGAGGAGCTCTTGTTAGAGGAGCCGTACGAGTCGTTGTTGTCGCCGCGGCTGTTGCCAGACGAGCCGTAGCTGTCAGTGTTGCCGGAGGACTTGTTAGAGGAGCCGTACGAGTCGTCGTCGTTGGAGTTCTTGTTAGAGGAGCCGTAGCTATCGTTGTTGTCGCTGCTGCGGGTGTTGGAGGAGCCGTAGGAGTCGTTGTTGTCGCTGCTACGGGTGTTGGACGAGCCGTAGCTGTCGTTGTTGGAGGAGTTGTTGTTGGAGGACTGGAGGAGTTAGTGGGTGGTGAAGAGGGTAATGGAGGGGATGGGGGGCTTACGCCGTAGGAGTCGTCTCCGCCACGGGTGTTGGAGGACTGGGTGGGGTGTTAGTTTGGGTTGGGGGTGGTGCAGCTGCTGAGGGGAACAGCAGCTGGATGGGGGTTGAGGAGGCTTACGCCGTAGCTCTGGGAAAGGAGTGTTAGGTCGACAGGACTAATGAGAAGAGGAGGGGGCGAGGCCAGGGAGGAGAAGACTTACGTCGTTGTTGTCGTTACCGTATCCAGACATGATGAAGGATGTTTATATGAATTGGGAGGGAGTGGTTGAAGATTGGAGATTGGTATATGGAGATTGTAGAATTGAGAAAGTATCGAGGAACCAAAGAAAGGGGACTCGAGACGGGGGAAGGAGAAGGCTTATACTTATACCTCTCTCCCCCTCCTCCCACCTACCTCTCACCTACCTCTAACCTCCCACCTCCCACCTCCCCCCTTCGGACCCCCAAGGTCACTCACTCACTTGTGGCTAGCTACCACCCTCGGGGCGGGGCAAGCTGAGATGACGAGTCCCTCTCCCCCCAAGCTACACAAAACGTAGTTGCGTCATGACCTCTCCCATCCCCCCGCCGATTGAGTCGTGCTCCTGAGGGGGTTCACCATAGAGGGGTAAACTTCGTGCTCCCCCCCGTCCTCCCACCCCCTCGGCCTCGCCGCCACCATTGGCCAGCTAGCTGCGGATGATAGGGAGCCAGAGCAAGGCTTGTCTCAGTCGGATCCATGGGACCGTGGCGGAGGGGAGGAGCGGATCGTGAAGATGGGAGTGGATAGCTTGGAGCTTGTATGGATCGGGGGAGGGGGAGGGGGAGGGGGATGGCGTGCGTCTGGCGTGCCTTGGATCTTGGTTTTAGTTTCTGGTCTGTCTGGTCTTCAGTTGCGCAATGCGGGAGTGAGGTAGATGGATTGGATGGGTGCGTATGTAGCCTTGCTGTGGTGGTGGTCTAGTTTCGTGGTACTATGGATGGTGCTGCTCGGTAGTGTAGAGTATTGTAGAGTAGTGTAGCTTCGAATGATCCGCGGCAGGATAGGATGAGGGACGGAGATGTGCCCGGACATGCGTCGACGTACATCATCGGCGGCCAGCCATAGGAGGGTACTGCGGGAGGACATGTGGGACGGGGCGTGTTGGTGGTGGTTGGAGGTGCAAATGCCTCATACTATCTAGGTTGTCGTCGATGTATTGTGGTTGTACCTTGTGATGTTCTTTCTCCCTCCGTGTCTCCACATGGCCAGTAATGAAGCTTCTTTGTGGTTTTTGGTGGTTCAGTAGTTTCCGTATGTGGGGTAGATAGGCCGAGACCTGGTGGGAAGAGGTGGGATGAGGTGGAAGGGAAGGGAAGGGAAGGTACGAAGTTAGCGAGTAGTGGTAGAGGTAGAGTACCTCGATCCTGCATTCAGCTCGACAGGGCGATGGAAGTACAGGAGGGGTGATTGAGCTGTGCATGGTTAGATGATGGTGGGATGAAGCATGGTGGGATGGATTGGAGGGGAGTCGTGACTGGCCTGAATAGGCAATTGTGATGCATGGTGATGGTAGAGATGATGAGATGATGTCGTGCTATTGTATGTGAATTATATCTCTATGTTTATTTATCTGTATACACTGGGGATGAGTAGAGAGTATGGTATTATTGTTGCTATTGCTCCTACTCTCCCTTATCTAACCGACCTATTTACCCCTCCATCCTCCACCACCAAAAAAAGGTACGCGTCCTCCATACTACTGGCCCCATACTATACTAAGTACTTTACTCAGCCACAGCCACAACAATAAACCCCCTTCCTTCCCTTTCCCATCTTTTACCCCTCCCCCTAACCATCCCATCCCATCCCATCCCGCCCCAGTAGATCCCACAAGGGAAAAAACAAGCTCAAACCCCCGAACCAGGAAATCAATATCATACGATAGTAGGACACAGTAGTCTATACTAACTACTCTAGTGGCCCCCATCTAATAGACCTGACCAGATACAGCAGCGTAGTATCCGCAACCCTGAACAGCTGCTATGTCCATCTCGCATCCATAACTCGCATCTATGCCTGCATCCATATCTCCCCTCCATTCTCCATACGTCCATCTACATATCCCATCCATCCCACACATATCCATACATCCACATAACCAGCCATGCTAACCGCATCCCCCATCTCCGCCGATCGCTACTTCAGATGAACCGCACAATGCTCGCCTGCATGCACCAGCCCACTACCCACGCGCCTCTGCACCATGCATGCAGATGTGGTATATGATGATGTGTGTGTGTGTGTATCTGGCACTTTGCATTTCCCGCCGCAGTTTCCCGTGGTCACTCTATGTAGTAATTCTTTCGTCTTGTCCCGCTCTAATCGCCGTCCAATCCCAAACGCCGATGTGTTGCTGCCCATTTGCTTGGGTCTCTTGAGCCTCATTTCTTCCCACCACTGCTATTTGTATCAAAACTGCTCGCTTCCCTTGAGCCTCAATTATACCACCACGGCTCCCATTCTCGGCGTTGTATCCGACACCCAGCATTCATCCCCATCCCAATTTCACCCTCCAAATCCATACCACGCTCACCTCACATACTTGCTCATAAACCTCTTATGGAAATCCGATCTCAGCAAGTCCTATCCGCACATTAGCATCCCATCCCATCCCACACCTCCCCCTCACCTCCCTCAGAAAAAAGCTCACATTAACAAACTCCTTCTTATCCTTCCCCTCCGTCCCCCTCGCCTGATTCCTAAAAATCACATCATCATCCCACCTCCTCTTAACCCCAAAATCCTGCTTCGCCCCCCCGCCCATCAACGGATTCCCCCCCGCCACATCCCTCTCCCTCGCCTCCTCCTCCTCCTTCTCCTTCTCCCTCTCCTCCTTCTCCCTCCGTTCCGCCCGTTCCCTCTTAATCTTCTCCAACTCCCGCTGCAACTCCGCCGTCTCGTCTTCACTCTCGTCTTCACTGTCGCTCTCGCTTTCAGAAGCTGAATCAGCGTCAATGTCGCGCGTCTCCTCTAGGATCTTCCGCCGCTTCGCTTCCTTCGCTTCGGCATCGTCTTCTACCCCCTCCATTGCGCTGCTTTCGAGGAGTCCCCCTCTCTTCCCTGCTTCGAGCGCGGCATCGTCGGCGCTGGTTTGGTCGGGTGCCCCGCCGCGCGTCTTGGCGAAGTGAGCAGCTTCGGCGGCGAGGAGTTCGGCGCGCAGGTCGCGCGATTGGGAGTCGGCTGAGCCGCCTTGGCCGGGTTTGCTGTGGTGAGGGTTAGCGGATGCGCACTTGTGTTTGGCGTGGGATATTGGATGGGGGAGCATACCGGACTTTCAGCTGGGTGTGCGCGGGGAGGAGGCGCTGGTGGTATGCTGGGCCGCGCTGGGCTTCTTTACCTACAGCCTTTGGGGTGTTAGTTTGGGAGTTTCGGGATGGGGAGGTCGTGGGGGGGACGAACGGGGTCGAAGGTTGGTCTGTGAGCTGGGGTTTGTTAGCGATAGTTATTTTATAACGGGCGATGGGTACATACCAGTCGTCATCTTGCGTTGTGGTGAAATGCAAAGTAAAGTCGTAAATATATCGATGTAATGGAATTCTCCATGGCCCAGGCGATATCAACACCCATCACCACATCCCAGCGATCGCGCTAAACCTATCCCAGCACAAATCACCACACCGCCCACGGCAATATTATTTCACTATCAATCAATCAATCCCACCTCTTCCACCCCCCAGCCCTTCCCTTCCAGCTCCCCCCAAACCACCAAAATTACAAACACACAGTAGTCGGTCCCCGCAAAAACCGACCTACGACAATGCCGCGCGAACCAGAACCCTCGCTCAACGAGCGCCAATTCATCCTCCAAGCCCTAGAAGATAACCTCCGCCTCGACGGCCGCGGCTTCGACGATGCGCGCGATGTCGAAATCAGCTTCGGAGACGCCTACGGCAGCGTAGACGTGCAGATGGGGAAGACTCGGTACTTACCCCCCCCCCCCCCCCCACCTTCCCCTCCCCTCCCCCCGTCCTCCCTCCTCCCACCAATTCCCCCTCTCTTTTAAGAAGAACCTCCAGAGCTAACCCACCCAAGCGTCCTAGCAACAATATCCTGTTCCCTCTCCCCCCCCGCCCCTTCGACGGCATCTTCACCCTCACCACCGAGTTCTCCCCCATGGCGACCCCCACCGTGGACCCCTCCCGCCCCTCCCCTCCCGAGACCCTCCTCGCGCGCCTTCTCGATAAAACACTCCGTCGCTCCGCCGCGCTGGACACCGAGTCGCTTTGTCTCCTGGCTGGGAAGAGCGTCTGGGCTATCCGCTGCGATCTCCATATCTTGTCGCATGGAGGGGGGTTGCTTGATGCGTGCTGCGTCGCTGCGTTGGCGGGGCTGCTGCATTTCAGACGCCCGGAAGTCAGCGTGGAGGGCGAGAAAGTCACAGTCTACAGCGCTGAAGAGAGGGCGCCTGTTCCGCTAAGCCTGTTGCATCTCCCTTTCTGCGTTACGTTCTCGATCTTTGGAATTAGGCAGGGGGAAGAGGAGGTGGTGCTGCTTGATGCGGATAGGGCGGAGGAAGGGGTGAGAGAGGGGTCGGTGACGGTGGGTGTTAATAGACATGGGGAGGTGTGTCAGATTGCGAAGTTGGGGGGGAGGGAGGTGGATGCGCTGGAGTTGTTGAGGTGTGTTGGTGTTGCGGAGGGGAGGGCGAAGGTTCTTGATGGGATTGTGAGGAGGAGGGTGGGGGAGGAGGAGAGGAGGAGGGATGGGGGGGTGGGGAAGGTGTTGAGTGCTGAGAATGAGAGGTGAGCTGCGCCGTGATGGGTTGGGTTGGGTTGTTTGGGAATTGGAAAAGTGGAAATATCATGGCGCTTTTTTGTAAGAATGGGGGTAGGAGACTATGGGCATGGTCGGCCCGTGATGGAAGGACTGTTCTCGATAAATCTAGAGCGGAGTGTGGGATCGTGGACTAGTGCATGGAGAGCCTGTTTGGGCCCCACGGCTTCCTTCGCCTTGTGGCCGTGTCTGCGGGCGAAATTGCTGAGTTCTACGCAACAAACCAATCCTCGAGGCCGAGAAGCCTCCGCATACCCTACGAAATGACTGTAGAGTTGTCACGTATAGAGTATTTAAGACCAAGAAATAACATACCAAGTATCTTACTATCTACCATCGTGAAAACTCCGCGCCAGCAACAGTGAAACGCCAAAACTGAAGAACAGCAAACCCACCAGTATCGCCAAAGACACGTAACAGAAGTCTCATATCACCCACACGAATCACTTGTGACCATATCCAGCCAGACACAAAATTCAAATCCATAAATCCCATTATCCCCTCATTTAGCTACCCTAACCCAGCAAACTCCCTCCCCACCCAAGCAACCCCTCACCCCCCTTTCAACCCTCATACCCTCATCTCATATACAACAACCCCTGCCTAGCCAACCATCAAAGCCCCCAAACAAAAATAGAAAAGACAACAACTGCAATGGGTATCCGCCCATCATCCCCCTTCCTCACCCCACACCCCCTAAGCTTTTCATCTCTCTCAAAACTCAACCGGGGAGAAAAGATACAGCAAATAGCCAGCTAAAAAAAATCGTGATATCGCAGATATAGAAACCTCCTCCTCCATCCCCTAATTAAACCATTGCAGTTTTAGATGAGAACCTCAATCACTCGCTCGCCTCGACATCAAACACATCACCCCCAGCCTTCTTACCCCTTGCACGCGCGCTCCTGGCTCGCACCGGTACGGCGGGGGTTTTGATATTCTCCTTCCCCTTTGGCTTTGCCTTCACAGCAGCGGCTTTGCGTCCGCGTCCATTCGTTGGTTTCTCCACCGGCTCAGGTGTAGATTCCTTTTCCTCCTCTTCTTCTGGTTCTTGCACCACCGGTTCAGGGACCTTCGTCCGTATCGCCGGCGCGGGCGTCTCTTCCGGCTCCTCGACAGCGCCGTCGTCGGACATCTCCACATCCTCCTCCCCCGCAGCCTCAGAAGCCGCAGCCTCAGAAGCCTCAGCATCCGACTCATCATCAGATTCAGCAGCATCAGACTCAACATGCCCATCCGCATACTCCCACTTACTAACCCCCCCCATCATCTCCTCATCATCCTCACTATCATCCCTATCCGCATAACTCGTCTTCGCCACCACCCCCCTCCCACTCCTCCTCCTCTCCGCCGTCGACTCCACCTTCTCCTCCCTAACCTTCTTCACCTTCGGCGTCTTCGGCGTCTTCGGCGTCTTCGGCTTCACCACCTTCTTCACCACCTTCGCCGTCTTCACCCTCGGCACCACCGCCGCCGCAGCATTCGAGACCCTCTGCCTCTTCCCCGCCGGCTCCCCCCCAGCCGCTCCCTCCCCCGCAGCTCTCTTCCCCCTCTTCTCCCCCTTCCTCACAACCTCCTCAACCCCCTCCTCCACGCCCTCCGGCAAAAACACCTTGTCCGCCGTCTCCTGCGCCGTCTTATGATCCGGCATCTTCGCGAACAGCTCACGCGCCATCCCCAACCTCCCAGCATAGGCCTGCATAGCCCATCCGCGGCGCGCCTCCCACTTGCGCAGGACAGCCATGGCGAGTTCGGCGAGGACGTAGATGTTTTCGCTGGAGGGGTCGAGGGCGTCGCGTGCTTGCTTGACGCGCTCGGCGTATTTGTAGAGGAGGCCGAGGTTTTCTTCGGTGGCGACGGAGGAGACGAAGAAGAGGATGTATTGCGCTGTGTCGAGGAGGTCGGCGGGTTCGGGGCTGTAATCGGGGTGGTGCGCCAAGAGCGACAGGAGGCGCGGGAGTGTAGCCTCCAGCGCCCCACCACCACCACCAACTGGGCCCTGCAGGGCGCGAGCGCGGGATTTGAGCCAAGTTGCTGCGCTAGCGCGGAAATGCGCCTCGGGCTCGAAAGCGAGGAGGAAGGGGATGGTGTAGAAGCGCATCGGAAGACGGTTGAGGACGAGGTATTTCTGGAGCTTGTCGATAAATCTGCGACGAACGGGGAATAAGGCGTCCTGCGCCACGGTAGCGAGGCGGAGGAAGGATTTCGGGGAGAGTTGTGCGTCGAATGCCTTTGTGGTGCCGAGCTTTAGGAGGAGATGCGCGGCGAGGAGACGGAGACGCGATTTATGGTGTTTTGGCGTCGAGGCGGTTTTGGAGAGCTCGCCTTCGTTGGTGAGCAGGGTGAGGAGGAGTTTGTAGACTGGTGGCGCGAGCTCGGCGGCTGACGCGGGGTCGGTGACGACGCGGAGGCGGTTGACGAGAGCTTTTAGCGACCAGGTCTTTGCTTCGCATTCAGCGTCTACGGCGGCGTCGTCGACCCAGCTGCGGTCGCTGGAGGAGGGCTCGGTGCGGTATTGGAGGAGGACTTGCTGGCTTGTGATTTCGAGGATGGGGTCGTGGAATTCGTCCATTATGGTGGGGGCGAGGAGGGTGAGCTGGCTAATGCAGGCGAGCTTGGTGAGATAGTGGTCGGAGCCGTATGTCCAGTCTTTTGTAGCCCATGTCAGGAGGTCGCGGGCGTGAACTTCTTTGCGTGCGGTAGTCGAGGTCAGGATCGTGACAGCGTGCTTTGCGGCTTTGGCTGGGCTACCGAACTTTGCGAAGGCGACGAGGGCCTGCACAAATGGCTTGTCCTTGGGGATATCATCCGGGAATTTCTTCGCGAATGCCGCGCACGATTTGAGTGTCTTGACTGAACCGACGTCGTTCGCCTTCGTGGCTGTTGGAGCCGCTTCCACAAGCAGCTTGCAGAGATCCTTAACCTGCGCCTTGAAGATATCCGGGTTTCGCTCCGAAATCTCATTTAGAAGCTCATGCGCCGTGGCACCAAGTCCCTTCGCATCATTGCGCGAGAACTCAAGAATAGCCGGCAAATTGCTTTGATTATACACAATTGACCCAGCACGGTAGATCAACGGAATCATCGTCTCCAGCAACCCCGCCGGCGCCCCCGGCGCCGCCTCAATGCGCTTCGCAAACTCCTTAACCGCCTTATGCACAGTCTTGAAGTCCTCAATCGGGTCCATAGTACATCGAATCAGGTGGTACGCGCGACGATCATGCATCTTAGCGAACTTCCACAAGTCGGCGCCGGCACGCAGCGAGTCCGGCAACAGTGCCACGAGCCACTGTATCACAGCCGTGAGCTTCTGTTTGATCTCCTTCTCATTGCCGTCCATCACACCCCCATTGTACTCCTCGCATTTGGTGAGGAAAGTTGTCATCACGTTGCGGAAGGTCTTCTGACGCGCTTGGAGCGCGAAAAAGGCTTTTTTGGCTTTGGGGTCCAGGGAGCGGACGAGGATGAGGAGGCGCTCTACACGCGCGGTGTTGGGGTCAAAGGAGTCATCTGTAGCCTGTTGTGATTCCCCATTCGCCTTCTTAATCCCCTTTGACTTGAGCGGGGGATATGGGAGCGGTAGGAGCTGCTCGAACATAACGTGATCGAGTAGCACATTCACATCTTGATCATTAGCGTAGTAAGCGTAGAATATGCGCGACGGAATCGCTCCCAGAAGCGCTGTCACGGTCTCGTTCCCAGCCGCGATCTCCCCTGCTGCCACGCCCCAGATCTTACTGATGGTGGTCATGCCTTCCACGCGCACAGCATGTTTCCGATCACGCGAGCGATCCGCTAAGCTGCACAGGACTGATCCTGTCTTGTTCACGTCGCCGCTGCTTGCGAGCTTTGTTATAATGTCATGGAAGCCGAATCCAGCAACTGCCTTTACAGCCGCGATGCGAACTCTTTCGTCCGCGTCGTTGAGTTTCTCTGCGAGTCCAGCTACGAGAGTAGCCTCGTCCTCGCGGCTCAATCCGATACCTCCAGCTGAAGTGAGGATGATCCGTCCAATCGCTGTAGTCCACGCCGACCTAATCAGTGGAGACTTATCATTCTTGCGACTGAGGAAGCTGGTGTAAACGGCCGGATAGGCCTGTGCGAACGACTGTGGTGACATTGGCGTCGTGAGAATATTAGTTGGCGCAGTCGGCTGTGCGTACTCCTCGAGCATCACAGGCGGATATGCAGCTGGATCCATTGGAGGCGCCGGAGGTGGTCCTGCAGCTCCAATGCCAGATATAATATCTCCTAGGGTCTCGGTTGCGAGCAGTCGCAGCTGTACATTTTCTGCTGATAGCTCCGCCTCGAGTTGCGGGATAACATTCTGTAAGACTTGAGATGACGCGCGCCATAGCTCTCGAAGTAACCTATGTGCCTTCTCCAGCTCACGCAGATCCACAACTGTTGGGCCCGCATTCTCGTCTTCGTCATCGGAGTCGTCATTAATGCTAGACCTCCTGTGGTCGCCTGATTTGGAGATGGAACCTGAGGACGAGGCGTCGACGATCACATCGTTGAAGTACTGGCTGATATACCTCGACATCTTCTCTGGGCAGGAATTGCACAGAAACTCAGCCATCTTATACGCAGCCGGCAACTCCTTCATCTCCAGCGTCGACTGTTTATCATCCGCCTTCGAATCACCATTCTGCTTCGCCTTCCCCGTTGCCGCAGCCCGCAAGAACTGCGCGACAATAATATCAATAACTTCCGTTGGTAGCGTCGGGGCCTCATCCACAAGCGTCACCAGGATCTCATTCATATGAAACTCGGCATTCTTGCTCAACTGCTCCCCGGTCGATGCCTTCGCCGAGCCCGACACAATATCGAAGAAGATGGTAAAGAGATGCAATAGTAGCGCCTCCGAGTTATTCACATCCGTAATCAGGACTACGCTCTTGACTTCCGCCAGCGACGTCAGCACGTACATATGCTGCGTGTTATACGCATTCGATGGGTCCGAGAGCGCAGGCAGAATCGATGTTACGAACAGCGTGAAAATATCCTAATTTCCGCCATGTTAGCTACATTGTTATCTCACCCACATCCCCATCTCCAATCGAATAAGCGCCGGAAAACCTACCTTCAACTGCGACGGCGTGAACGGCGCATCCGGCGCACAAATCTTCAGCACATCCACCAAACAAGCCGCGGCGAATGCGCGAACCCCGCGATCCTTATGGCCCAACAGATTGGGACTACATAGCTCCTTCGCGACCTTGCCGAGCGACGCCTTATCTGTCTCTTCCTGGTCGAGCTCTGCGAGCTCCGCGGCGAGCGCACCAAGTCGGCGCAGCAGCTCCGCAGTGGGAATAGCCTTTCCTGCGCGCCACGAGAGGGGTTCATCGAAAGTGAGAGCAGGGAGTGAAGGTTCGACGGGAGGGGCGGCGGCGGGAGGGGCCCGTCGAGGCGCCATGGCGGCGGAGGTTGCGCGCTGTGAGGTTTGTCGGGAGGTGGAGAGGAGAGGGTTGCTTTGCGTGTGTGTGATGTCGCGAGAGGTGATGGGTATGGCGTTCAGATGCGCATTGGCACTGGTGGGAGGATATGGGAGATTCGTGTGGTGTTCGGTGGCTTCGTGGGTGGTGGTTTGTGGGGTTTCACACGCGACGAGGACGCGATTGGGGGTTCGGCGGAATGGACAGGCGCGAAGGGAGCAGGGCGCGCGCTAAGTGCTGTGGAAAGGTAATTTCGACATCACCTCACGGGAAGCGTCATGAATTCATCGACGACGGGGAAAATGTAGGTGATTGAGAACGTCAACTTGAAATAGGTATTTATTGTTAATAATTATATTAAATATCTATTTATTGATTTTCTATGTTGGTATTTCATAATTCTCGTTCGTTTCCATCTGTGCTATTGTTGTTATTGACTGCCCGACCTCAAGGCAAGCTCCTGGGATATCCAAGTTGGATAAACATCCCCCAATGCGACTGTTTTATGTCAATTTTGGGCATGTTGTTTAAGCTTGTAGAAAGGGGTATATCTGTGACCTTTCTACCTTTCTGGTGGCAGAATATCCCACTCAAATGACAGGTTTGTGAGTCATCCAAGTGAAAGTAGGGGATTGATTGATCGCCAGACCCTTGACTACACTTCACCTCATATACGCCCTGCATAGAATATTATATAGAAGTATATATAGTTTATATGCCGCTTATACTGTAGTATTATTCAAACTTTCTTGCTATATCCCTGGGCTTTCTATTCAGATACAGTAGTCTCATTTACGTTGTTTGTTTACATCCCTTTGGTGATTGTGAAGTTGCATTTCATCGGTCCATCACTTGCTGTTGTTGATATATCATGGACAGACGGGACCTGATATCAATATTTAATAATCATTACTCTTCTACTCTGTTCCTCCTCTTTCTTTTAATGTTCTACAGCTTCCTTATATCTCCTTTACTGTCCCTGCTGCCTTGTTGTCCTTGATCTCTCCTGCTCTGATTATATTCGTGCATCTATTCCTTTGAGTATATATTATTATCTACCGCTAGAGGGAGAGAAGCGAACTGGCATAGGATTCTTATTTATTCCCACCCAGGTACCATTTCCTCTTCGACCCCCTTATTTTATGAGAGAGGATGCTCCTAGAGTACCCCGACGATACTTTCCATTAAACAACCCCCCTTTCACCCCAATCCAGTCAAACCAGACGAAACCAGACGCGTCTAAGAAGCGAGAGCCCCAGCCCTATATATTGTTTACCTCCACCCCCAAAACAAACTTCCTCCTTTTACCTTTCCACAAGCACCATCAAATTTCAAAACTCACGTTCTCCCTTCACTTGTGTTTATACACTCTTACACTCTTTCAATCCTCCATCAACTCCTTTCAAACTTCCAAAAAAAACTACCATACCCCCTTTAATTCCTTTCATACCTCTCTTGTTGATTGATCTGTACGGACCTTTCAACTTCAACCTTCAGTCTCCGTTACCAACACACTGTCAACCTTGCACAACAACTCAATCCAATTCAATCAATCAAGATCACTGTAAGTAAGATATGTTTGTTATGATTACCATTGCTATTGTTACCAACCACAATCTCAATCTCAATCACGGATGGTTGAGATTGCAGTTTGTGATGATAGCCTTCAACCCACCCCTTTCTTCCTGGATGAATGGAAACTAACATCAATTAACCTAATCAGCATCAAGTCAACATGAAGGTCAACATGCGCTCTACCGTGGCTCTCACCCTTGCTGCCCTGGCTTTTGGTGCTGTCACTGCCAACGCCCACAACACCCTCGACGAGGTCAGTGAGTATCATGTCACCGAGGTTGACACCGAGACTGTCGATTGCACCGACACTTCTTCTCTCCCAGACTTGTAAGTTTCAGCCCCTTCCAATATTTATCTTATCTAACCTCTGTTTAGCTCAGTCAATACCTTTTACTCCACCCATGTGCACCAGTCAGTCAAGTACACCTTGTCCAGTGGGCATACCTTGGCCCTCCCAACCGAGGTCATTGGTGGCTTGAATGGCTTGACCAGTCTTTTCCATTTCTACTCTCACACCGAGGGACAGCAGATTACTTCTGCCACTACTTCTGTTGAGGAGCAGCCAACTGTGTCATCTGCCGCCTCTACGGCCTCTACTTCCACTGGGGAAAAGCCAATCATCTCGACTGTCCCGTCGTTCACCAGCACCGTGGTTCAGCCAACCTTTGTTTCGATCCCTGTTGCCAGCGAGCCTGTTCCTGTTGTTGCTCCCTCCAGGTAAGACTTTTATCTGATCTATCCTTGAAACAAATCTTTGGAAACCAACCCTGAGAATCAATTTTGGGTTCTCCAATCTGGTTCTCCGATCTTTGGAAACCAATCTTGGAAAATCAATCTTTGGAATCATCATTGAGAAACAAGCTGACATTGTACAGCAGCGCCGAAGCTCACTCTGAGGCTTCTACCGAACCTGTCCCTGTCACTACGTAAGATCACAAAGTTTACTGACCCCCAATTCCAACATTCTCTAACATCATTACAGTGCCGAGCAGCCTTCTGCCACCAAGGAAATCATTCCTCCAGTCGTCAGCACTGAGACTCCCCTGGCCAACCCTCTCCGCCCATCCGTCACGTACGTACCAATTTCTCTTGTCTTCTTATTTCCTTCGTCATCATCTCTAACACTCCCCCAGCCCCAGTGATACCCCCACCAGCACCTCAATCACTTTGACCACAACTGAGACCCTGCCAAGCGTTCCAATCCCTCCAGTGAAGGAAGGCGTATCCCAGGTTTCTTCAGAGGCATCTGAGGCAATCCCAAACCCTCTCAAGACTCACGTCGGTCCCCCTATTGTCTCGGTTCATTCCTCCATCTTGGACATGACCACCGAGACACTGACCAACTCCCACACAACCGTGGTGACTGTCATTGAAAACCCTACCGATACTCCTTTTGCAGTTGACTGCTTCTCCACCACCTACGTTACTGTTTACTCTCCCCCCAGCCCCCCGGCCTCAGAAGCCACCTTGTCAGTCGCTCCTTCACCATTCCTATTTTACCACCCTCCCTCAATTCCCCACCATCAACCCCCACACAAAGAAACAAGCTAACAACCTCCAGTCCCCCCAGCTACACCGCAATCGCCCAACCCCCCACCACCATCGTCGCCACCGGTGTCCCCCACCCAAGCAACAACACCACCGTCGTCGCCACCGGCATCCCACGCCCAAACAACACCACCACGGGACAAACTCTCCCACCGATCCACGGCGCCGCGCCCACTCTCTCCGCCACCCCTGGCATCCTCCTCGCCTTCTGCGGTCTGATCTGCTACTTGATCTAATCCCATGCAGGGTCGCCTTCTGCACTCAGTATATTGCGGACAACAGGCGTGTATTTGTAGAAACATACAGTTACGTATGATAGTTACCAAATTTTCTGATTTCGTTCTGTCCTTCAACCAAGGCTGCTCGTGTAATGTCGGATCTTCGCGGCGGTGCTTGAGGGTTGGAAGGTTCAGATGGGAAGTGTTTATTGAAAAGATGGAGATGGGCGGCTAGGTGCAGCTGGATCGTTTTTGCGTGGGTCGGTGCAGGCTGGTGTTTGGTCTGGACGGCGGACGGCGTTCATAGGCTGCAGTTAGGATGGGAATACAAACTTGTCTCTTTGATTTATTGTATGTGTGAGTGCGTGCAGATCAAATGTTTGATACTTGTAAATTGTCTGTCGCATCTTCTTCACACCCAAAGAACCGATCTGAACAAATAAAAATTTCCTTTTAAGGTAGCTACTTTTCGATGAAGGCTACGCATATAAATACAACCCACCACCCCCGAAACACGCATATAGAAGCTGTCTACAACTTGCGTTCTTGTCTTTTTTAAACCGCAATTCACAGCCGGGAAAACGCCCAAGCCAGACCGCAACGCCATCACCACTAACATATCCCACCCCAAACCCATCAAAATAACCTCCTCCCCCCACCCCTCCCCGCCTCCAAACAATCCATCACCTCTCCTACGCACCCTTCCCCATCCCCCTCCTCGCCTCCTCCTCCCTCAACCCCTGTCTCCTCTTCCACTCTCCCTTAATCTCCCCCGCCGCGCCAATCAGCTCCGCCTCTGTCACGCGATCCCTAATACTCTCAATAACACTCTCCACCGTACTACTATGATTCGCCTTATCCTTATCATCCCTAAACCGCATGAACCTCCATCTTCCACTATCATCCATCGAGCACTCCACCACGCGCTCATGCAGCGGCTCCCCCCTCGCCTTCAAATCCTCCCACTCCCCCTCTTCGAGATGAAGGGTGCCGTACCACTTCTCACCGCGGTCGCCGGTCCAGACGAAGAGTTTGACGACGGGGAGGGCGTCGTAGTCTGTCCAGCTCCCCGACTCGTCTTTGACGACCGCGAAATCGAGACGCATCAAGAAATCTACACTGTTTTCGTTCTCCGGCTTCCACTTCAGGATCCCGGGGTCAGTACCGTACCGATACGCTGCCCCGCGACATGTGAAGATTAACCCATCGTTTCCATGCGGTAGCCCGGGGAGCACGGCGCGGAACATCATCTCCAACCCGTAGGGGAGCTGCATATCTTTTAGTTGGACTTCAAACGGCATATGCGGCTTTTCCTCGGGAAACCTCCTCAGGAGCTCCTCATACGGCGCAAACACCCCGTCCTTGAAATACGCGAGTCGTTTATCCAATGTCCGGCTGATCAGGGGTTTGCGGTCGAGAGTCAGACAGTCGAAAACGAGGTAGGTGGCGCGGAGGCCGGTGGGGAGGTTGTCGAGGACGAGCTCGCCGTCGATGAGAGTGTTGGTGTGGAAGGAGGCAAAAGAAGGGTCGTCTTTGAGAGGGAAGTGGAGGTTGGGGATGTACCAGTAGTCGTTGCGGCGGTCGATGAGGAAGTGGGCTTCGGAGCCGTTGGTGGGGTCCGCGGTGCAGTAGAGGAGGTAGCGTTGGCCGTCGGACTTTTCGCAGACGTAGTAACTACATTGCCACCACCATTAGCTGTTTATTCCCAGATCTAATTGTCCAGTGTGACCCTGGTTGAAAGCGGAGGGAGGGGGGTGAGGGGGGGGTACGCACTCTTGCTTCATCAACTCCCCAATATGCTTTCTCGAGAAGCTAACCGGTTGCGCCCCCGGAAACCCCTTCTGACTCCTCCCCAGCAGCCGCGCGACCTCTTCGCGCAGCGGGCGCGCGTCTTCATCGCTCAGCTTCTCGCCTGGGGCAGAGATGTCGATGAGTTTCGCCTGCGCCATGGTTGCGCTTCCTTTGTCCTCTCTCTGTGGCGTGAGGTGCGTGTGGTTCGGTTTGGTGGTTTACTTGGACTTTAGAGGGTAGGATGGGCGTTTGGTTATATGGGTGTAGAGGCTTGGTGGAGGAGGGGTATATTATAGAGAGCTGGGGGGCGCATAGGTGAATTCGAGGACGAGGCAGCGAGTCGAGACCGATATTGCCCGATTGGGAGGCGGTGGAAGTTGAGATCGGGGGAAGTGTAATTCCGGTCCGGGCTACACCACTTATCAACTACCAGCCAGGTCAGCGCAGTCCATCCCTCTCACAAAAATCCATCAAACTCTCTTTCATCATCAAAGGACTCCTTGAAAGTTTGCTGTCGGTCGAGTTTCCGTCCTCGTCAGACACCCAGTGAGAGGACGTTCATATCTGCCTCAGCTCACCCACTTGTTGCTCACTTGTGCTATTTCTATGTTCTGCTTCTTGTCTGTTGAGACAATTGTGCTTTGCTTCGTCAAACTTTACGCGCCTGTCCCGTACCATGTTTGTCCGGTTTGTTGTAGGCTACAGCAAAGCGGATGACATGGTGGGGGACAGGCGGGTGGAGTGTGACTGAGTGTAATTATTTCCACGGAAACGTTTGGGGTTATAGAGATAGCTATAAGTGGGAAAGTGCGTGGGTTTGGGTGGCTCTTTAGACCCTTCAAAGGACTGACTCCTTGGATCCTTCTTACCGATCGAGTTTTCGACCCCGTCAGACACCCGATGGAGGATGTAACCAGCCGTCCTATCTCGCTCATCCGCTGCCTTGTATGCCCTCTAATCCCCTCCTTCCATCCGTCGAGATACTTGTGCTTCGACAAACTTGATTTGCATTTTCCACACCATGTTTGCCCGGTTTGTTGTAGGCTACAGCAAAGCGGATGACATGGTGGGGGGAAGGCAAGTCAAGTGTGACCAAGTGTAATTATTTCACGGACGGTTTGGAAGAAGTTAGAGGTCGTACAGGTCGGCGAATAAAGAGGTTCGAGTAACTGTTTATACCCTTCATTGGGCTGTCTGATGAAGACGAGGTTAAGTAGGAGGATGGCTGAGGGGTGATGGTGGGGATGGTATGTCCTCGTGCAAGTGATCTGAGGAACTGACATAGGTCATGATATCAAACTACTTCGAGATGAGAATGCGAACACATCCGCTGAGAACTGGGTTATCACCGCTGGCACTAGGCATTATGACTTCTATTCGAGAGAGCAAGTTGTAGTTTTATCAAAGGAGCAGGCCAGTGCACATACGGAGAGGGCACGTATGGAGAGGCCGCACACATATGGAGACTACACTCCAAGCAATATCAAAATACTGAACCACCATATCCAGAAAACTCGTGAATGCTTGGACTATAGTACAATGACCAAATCCATCCCATGCCTATATGAAGCGGGTATCCCAGATCCCCTCCCCAACGCCGCAGTAAACCCCCCCCAAACACCCATCCATCCAGACCTCCCAGCAGCCTATCTCGAGTCCGTCAAATCCAAAAACTCCAGTACCCAGCACCCACCATCCACCCCCCACCCCCCCTCACCTCCCTCACCTCCCTCACCTCCCCACCACAACCTCCGGCCTCCTCCCCGACCCCCCAAACCCACTCCCCACCCTCCTCCCCAACGAAAACCCCTCATCTCTCTCCCCCACCGCATCCTCCTCCCCCACCTCCGGCACCACGGCATCCCTCCTCGCGACCCTAAAAATATTCACCGTCCCCCCACTCGTCGCATTATCAAGCTGCTCCCGTAGCCTCGCAAGCTGGTACTGGCGTTTAATCGGCATCAGCACCGGTTGCGGGAGGTAGGGCTGGGGGTTCCATTTTGAGAGCGCGGACATCACCAGCGCGGTTTCTTCGTCGGAGTCGATGGGGCCGGCGTTGGCGTCGTCTTCGTCTTCGAGGGGGGCGTTGGCGTCGATTGCTGCTTCTGCGGGGGCGGGGGTTAGTGGGTGTGATGGGGGGAGGGGGGGAAGGGGACGTACTTTGCTGTTTGGCTTGGTTCTTCTTCTGGTAGGCTGCGAGGAGCATGTCGTATGGTAGAGAACGGCCGGGGACCGCGCGCTTAGCGCCCATAGAATGCGATTTGCACGTCAGTGACCTAGCACAAGGAACACCATTAGGTGTGATGACACCACACTGCCTCTCCACATCCACCGGAACTATTTCCAATTAGCCTCTCTCCACTCCCCTCAGATCCACAGAGTCAGGAACAACATACCTTTCGCCTTAACAATCTTCGCCTTTGGCTCATCCTTCTTCTTCTTCTGCTTAGGCATCTTCTCTGCATCCCCCTCCGCCTTCCTCTTCTTCCCCTGCTTCTTCTCCCCCCCCTCCTCACTCTTCTTCCCCGCCGTCTTCTTCGCGCTCTTCAACCCCGCCGGCGTCTTCTTCACCACCTCCGGCGACGCGCTCGGTTCAGGGTCATCATCATCCTCCTCCCCCTCCGCATTATTTCCCATCGCCGTATCCCCCTCCGCATCGACCTTCTCCTTCTTCTCCAGCCCCTTCTCCTTCTTCTCCTTCTTCTCCTTCACCTTCTTCACTTTCTCCCCTCCCCCCTCGTCAGCCGCAGCGCCCTCCTCCTCCTTCCGTCGCGCGGCTCGCTCTTTAGCTTCTTTCCGCTTCCGCGCAGCCTCTTTTTTGTCGGCGAGACACTTCTCAATATGCGTCTTCCTCGCGCTCTTCAGCACGCTCTTCTTGCAGTGCTTACACAGGCTCGTCTCGGGACTATCCTCCAGCGGCCGCCCCGTCGCAAAGGTATCGCGCGTACTATCATCGAGCTGATTGACCACCGGTCCTGGTGAGGCGCCCGAGTTGGTGGAGGGGGAGTCGGTGCCTTTCTTTTTATCATCTGCGCACCATACTTGTTAGCCTATCTCTCCACCAACACCACACTACTTGACAATTATCCACGGGGGAGGGTGGACGAACCATCGACTACACTCCCATCCCTCCAGTTCCCGGGCTTATTATGTTTTGGCGCAGGCCTCTTCAACTTAATCGTCCCATTCGGTCGGATCTCCTTCCTTGGCGTAACTTTCACCGTGGTCTCCTCATCTGAGCCTACTGGCGCGCTCGAATCTGCCATAGCACCAATTAACATCTATTCCTCTTATACCATATCACAGCACCGCGGCGCATCTCCTTTCAATCCAGCCGCGGGTGGCTGGGGGAGCACATGCGCAGCTGGGAGGAAAGCACACACCTTTCTTCGTCTCCGCCATAATAATTGTATATTCCCAATAATCCTGCTCTCAAAAAATATAAACACCCCTCTTCGTGCTCACTTCACAAACCCTCGTCCCTTTTTTGCGCTCCTGCGTCGATTGACGTCCTGACGTCGCGAGGCTGTGGCTCGCCTACCGGGGTAAGTAGTGTGGCTTTCGCAGTGCTGTGGCGGCGCCTTGGTGGCCGGTCGCGCGGTCGCAATGGACGAATTTGCGAACGACGCGCAAGGTACGCTGGGGTGTGAGGGATAGATGGATGGTATATAGATGAATAGAAGTAGGAGTAAGAGATGGAGATGGGATGAGATGGATGGGGGGTATTTGTAGTGGTGGATGATTGATGGAATTGATTGATGATGATGTTGGGGTGGTGAGGTGCTGGAGCCGAGAGGGTGGTTGTGGTTAGTTTAGCCTCGTCGCGGACGGAGATGTAGTTTACGTGCACTTCACATCAGCAACCACGACGTAGAGAGTAGATATGGAATAAATGATGTTTACGATATACTTACTACTCTAGATAATAAACCCCAATTCAGCAGTTGTATATACGAATTGCGCCGATCGCACAAGCACACTCACTATTCACATTCATCACACAAAGAAACGTACCATACAGCAACATACATGCCATTATGAGTGACAGTACTTCAACCACTCTACCCCCCATCTATCTATCTAATCCCACGCCCCCTCCCACCCGCAACAATGCCATCGCAAGAACTCCAAGATCAAACATCCCCCAAAAAAATGCACGTCTTTAAACAACCCATCCACCCATCCGTATATCACACACCCCCCTACCTATCCCTCCTCCCCCCCCTCTCCTTCTTCCCCTTCCCCTCTCCCCCCTCCACCACAGCCCCCTTCTTAGTCGGCCTCCTCACCCTCGGCTGCTCCGAATGCAAATGGCCCAACTCCTCCACCGCCATCCCATTCCGCCACGCAAGACACCTATACGTCTCCCTCGCCTGCTGCAACACCTTCGTCTGTCTTGCCGAAACGCGTTTCCTCCCCTCATCCTGGCTCGGCTCCTCGCTCGCCGCGGGGACAGGGGCGAGGTACTCTCTGCGTGCGATCATGTGGGCTTTGATCTTGTCTTCGAATAGCTTGATTTCCTTCTGGAGTTTGAGTTCGTTGACGCCCCGAGGATCAAGCCAGGCGAGTAAGCCGTCCACACTCTCCGCGTCGTCGTAGTAGGCCCACTCCTTCGCATCGAACACGCTCGTCGCGCCCTCCTCTGCGCGTTTCCGCTCGGGCACGCTGACGTCGAATTGCTTGCGGTACTCGGCTTGCCAGGCAGCAGGCATATCGATGTATCCCTCGCGCTCGAGCGGATCCGGGCCCTGGACCCAGAGACAGCCATTCGCGTACCCGGCATCGGCGGTAGAGCTATTAGGCAGACCGGCATATGGCATTCCGTTGCGCTCAAACCAGTAGTATCTATTCCAGAAGCGGTCCTTACCCAAGCAGCGTGTGCGCGGGCAGTCGGCTTCGCGGAGGTCGTTGTCGATGACCGCGATCTCTTCTTCGCACTGCTTGATCGTGTCCTGTTTCTTCTGGATGTCCTTGAGGAGCTTGGTGAACTGCTTTGATTGCTTTGGCATCTTGGCTGCGGCTTCGGCTTTCTCGCGGCGCTCTTGCTCTAATTCGCGCTTGCGTTGGCGCTCGGCAGCTCGGTCGTTGCCGCGGCGGAGGGAGCGGCCGAGATGGATGTCCTCGTCGGTATCGACTGTGGAGTCCTCTTCTACTTCGGGCTCTTCAGGGGTGGTCATCTTGGTGTCGCCGTTGACCTTGGCCTCTGGCTCCTCTAATGGAAGGGTGTTAGCAGGAAGGAGGACCTTCCTTTCCTCATTCAGCAGACGCAGCTCCTCCAGCCTATAATAAAGTTAGCAACTCATTAATATCAAGTCTCAAGTAAGTACTCACGCTATCTTCCGATCGCGCTGCCATTTGATCTTCTCCTTGCGGAAGCTCGTCATCTGCTCGCTACACTCCTCCATGAACCCACGAATAGCCTTCGTCTCCATAGTAAGCATGCAAATAATCTGCAAGATCTTAATCCTCAGGTTGATATCGATCCCCGCATACCTCAACCTCGCAGTCTCGACGCTAGGTTCCTCATCGACCGGCGCAAGGCTCTGCAGCAGCTCCTCGCACCGCTTCTCGAACCTCGGGAACTTCGCGAGTTGGTACAGCAACCCAACGACCACAATCTCCCATCCGCCATTCTTGAAATCGCGCTTCCGTAGCTTCTCTAGCCAATCCACGTCCTCCAACATCTCATCGGCTAAGTGCAACTTCTTCTCCTCGGGAGTAGGACTGCGCTCCGCCTCGGCCTTCAGAGCTTCCGCCTCGAGCTTGGCTAGACTGCTGCGCGTGGCTCTTCCCTTGGGCTTCGGTTCCGGCTCTGGGGTCGGCGTCTGGATGGCGCTTTCGTCGTTTTCGTCGTCCTCGTCTTCGCTATCGCTATCACTCTCGGGGAGTTGGATCTGGACCTTCCCGCCGTCGCTCTCGGAATCGGCAAGTAGCTTCAAGGTCGCGCAGTGGATCTCCACAAAGAGCTCACACTCGACATCCTCAGAGGTGATCTGCATTGCCTCGACGAAGTCGTCGAAGGTGAAAGAGTCGAGCTTGAAAATCTCGCAGTATACGTTCAAAGTGTCCCAGGTCTCCAACAGAGGTCCCATAGACTCCATGAGAATCCCATTATCCTTTGCCGGGTGGTCTTCGACAGGTACAGGGGTATTCTCTGAAAAGAACTTCAGCGGTGGTCGTTTAAGTATATCCTCCTTCCTCGGCGCAATCTGCAGATCCTCAATGGGGTATTTAATCGGAGGTGGCGGAGGCGGTTGTATCGGTAGCTGCTGCATAGGCGGGAACGAGAAAGTCGAGTTGTGGAAGTTGGTGTACTGTCCATTCGTAGGCGGGGTACCATTTCCATTGGGGTAAAATCCGTGCGCTTGGAACTGGTGCTGTGGTAAGGCGCGGTGTAGCTGCTGAGCCGGCATCTGAGGCGTAGGGTTCAAGGTCATAGGCTGCTTGCTCTTCGCTAATTGTCCCTGTAGTTGCTTGCTCTTATGGCTCTTGGGCGCTGGTTTCAGTTCCGGTAGTTTCGGGTTGTTGCCGGGGAACACGCCAACCATCCCATCAAAGTCCGGACCATTCTTCTTCTGCTGATGTTTCTGTTTCCTCTCAGCCGCGTGGCTCTCGTATTTCAGGTGCTGGGGTACTCGAGTGTCGATATGATATGTCTCGGCGACGTCAGGCTTCACCAGCCATGGCGCACCCGTCCAAGCCTCCCTCGTAACCGTCTTCTTGATGAACGAGCGCAAGACCTGCTTCGTGAAGATTTTGCGATCGCGTGTAATATGGTCGTCGTCCACCACTGCCTCCTCAAACGGCCGATTGTCCAGGCTGACAAAGTATCTCGAGAAAGCAGGGCTAACCGTGCCATTGGGCAGCACCTTGTTGCCAAACCGCGTCTTGTCCCGCACCACACCCGTCAAGCGCTCGCCGCTGACCACATGTACCATTACCACCTCGCCGGGATAGTAATCCTTCTTAAATTCGTCATATATGAGGTCCACCAGGTTATCAATTCGTGAGATCGTCTGGAACTGCACACGTCGGAGAATCGGGCCCTTGAGGGCAATAGGGAACGCCTGCTCGACCTCCTCCGCACCAGCCAGTTCGCTCTTTAGCGCCTCGAAGAAGTTGAGTCCCGAGTGTCCCGTTATTTGGCATATGAATCGGCGCTGCTTGTAGAAGTCCATGCTGTGGATTGGTTGTGTTAGAATAGCTGGGGTGGCTGCGTCAGACAGGCGAAATCCCTTACCGGTTCAGATAGATCTCATACTCTGTGAATACCTCTCCCGTCTGTGGAATCACCCACACCTACGCGCGTGTCAGTCTCACCGAGCAGGAGTATCGCGAGGAGCCAGCCGGGAAAGCCAGGCGAGAGAAAGAAGCTCTTACCTCGGTATCATCATCCGTAATCGTAGGCGTGGTGACATACTGCACCGGTTTCCTCTTAAAGAGCACCTAACCCGCATTAGCCCAGCACACCCCACAATCCCCAATCCCATCACCCATCACCTACCATCGTATCAGCGCCCGCAGGCCGCGGTGTTGTGTTGTCGCCGTGCAGCGCCCTTCAATCTGTCTCTCGAACCGGAGGTTAGCGCGTCACTCTTTCACCAAAAACTTTATGAGAACTTTATATCCTGCAGGGTGCAGAGCAAACTGCTACTCTGCAAGTGATTCTGGAATTGATTCACAGTTTTATTTGAAAGGGCCTGTTTTTCTCGCGCGCAGGTTGGAAAAATCCAAAGCTGTCACCGCTGTGGACAAAGCTGGCAAATCGAACCGGGGGCGCCCTCGTGTGTGTGGGGGGTTGGCAGAACACTTACGGAAGCGGCTCTTCGACGCGTTCACCTCGCGCCCACTATCGCGCTCTTTCACTTCTCCGCCCTTGCGTGTCTTCCCTGGGCGATGAGAAAAATCGCGAAAATCGTGGTTGTTGCTGGTGGCCGGGCGGGTTTGTTGTGAATTCGCGTTCTCGTACATGGGAGGGAGGGAGGGAGGGAGAAGGGAAAATGTGGGCGGGCGAGGGAGGCAGATCTTAAAAGAGCAGGCATAGTGGCTCTGCTACTACTTACCACTACTTACTACTTCTCTGGCTCGCTCGCTGCCGTGGAAAGGCGCTAGTCCGGACTGAACTGGGCGGGGATTGGTTGGAGAGGGCAGGCAGAGAAGCAAGACCCGCCCCGCCGTCCATCCCGCTCTCGCTTGCCCCATCGAACTTTCCACTCCACCACCCCCGAGCTGGGGAAACAACGCGTGAAGGGCTGGAGAGGATGGCGACGATGGGGGGATTTCGTGTACTCGTTGGGGAGCGACGGCGAGGGGGAAGAGGATGAGTATAGGTATGTGTGGGGAAGTATAAGGGGGAGGGAGGGAATTAGGAATATGGCATGTTGTTCGAGGGGGGGGAGCATAGGGGTCGTGGTAGGGGGGGAAGTCGGTATGACCTCGCTGTCCTTCAACGCGTATAGATTTATAGGCGGTGTACGGCACATATTGTTATATGAGATTAATCCAGGCATCTAGAATTTATTATTGTGTGTACACATGAGAAATACGAAAGAAATGGCGGGAATTATATATTGTTGTCGAGGGGGGCGAAGCATAGGGGTCACGGCGGTCAGGGGAGCTGTCAGCACTCTCTCCCTCAACGCATACAGTTCAGTCTTCATACTACTGCACGAACAGTCTTATATCATAACTCCACAGCTCTACGCTTTACCATCTCCCTCCTACATCCCATTCTCAGCCTCTATAAACCTCCCATCCCCGCCCCCCCAGATCCCCCTCAAAAAGGGGTCCTCCCACCCAAACCCTCCCCGCATCCCTCCATCACCACGCTCTCCTCATAAATTCCCCCAAAAAATACACATCTCTCTTCTCTTACTCTCACCATCTCTAAACCCTTAATAAAAAATATTCATCTTTAATTTTCCCAAAAATATTCGTGTTCGCCCCCCCCCCGCGCCGCCTCCGTTCCTTGCATCCCCTTACCCGCAAAACGGCGATTTAACCAAGGTCACAACCATAAAAGTTACCACACCAAACAAATGACGCCGTTAGTCCTAACCACGTTAGGCTACCCGGTGATAAGCGAACACGTGACTGTCACCAGCAACCTCCTTCCTTCTCTCCCCTTCCACCGCTGACGGGGACCGGGACTGCGGATAGGATGCTGGTATGGTATTGACGGGGTAGGGAGTCAACGTGGTCATCAGGCATTCTACAAGCCAAACATTGATATTTCATAGCAAATAAACCCCCAATAATTCCCATGAATCTGTTATATCCTTCTCCTTTTCAACCCCCCATAGCTAGTGTTCCAAGCCAACCGCCAGAAGTACAGAGTTTGTATACACATAAACAATGTAAAAATAAAATAAAGCCCTCGTATCCATCTCTCCAGTAACTAAGACACCGCTCGCCCCCCACCGATCCTATTCTACAACAAAACGCGCAAGAGTTACCAGTAAAATTAAAACTCCCCCAAGGCAAGCCAGCCAGCCAGCACCGCAGCGCTCGCTGTGCAACTCCAATCCCTATCCCATCACCACCATCTTACCCCCCCGCCTCCCCAATTTCCTACCCCTCCCCCCTTATCCCTTTTCCACTACCCACATCACATCACGCCCCCCCCGTCCTTGCATCCACCCTCTCCCTATGCTGCCGATTCCTCAAATGGACCTCAAACCCCTCGACCGACATCCCAGGGCCAGGGGTATACAATTTCCCCGGGCAATCGCTGCAGCGGATACGCGGGAACCACATGTACTTGACGTTATTCGAGGTCTCTGCCTCAGCAGGGGGGACGGGCATCTCGGTCGTGGCGTCGACGGCGAAGTAGCGCATCATCCCCTCGAAGCGGTCTTGCGTGTAGGTCTGCTGCAGGCCTTGGAGGCCGGATATGAGCCATGCTGGTGGTGGAGGCTATAGATGGTGTCAGTAGATGCAATTATATCATTAATGGGGACCTAGAAACTGGGGAGTTAAAAGGGGTAAGTAGGTAAAACTCACAGGCGCAGGCAAACTCTGCCCCTGCCCCGGCGGCGGCGGCGCATCCACCCTCCCCACTTGCGCATTCATCACCGGCCCCGGCGGCGGCCCCGGGGTCGTCGTCTGCGCCGCCCCACCACCGAGCTGCTGATTCTGCAACCCTGGCGTAGAAGGCGGACCCATGCTCCCCCTCGCCGGCGTCCCCAATCCCGACACATTACTCTGGCTCCTACTATGCTGGCTCAGCGGCTTCGTCGTCGCCGCCTTCCGATCGCGGAGGTACTGCCGCAGCTTCTCCTTCCCGATCTTAAGCTTGATGATGAAGCTCACCGGACCGTCGGGCGACTCGTCGCGCGCGTCGCGTCCGCCGCCGAAGCGTCGTGCTGAGGTGCGCGTCTCGTGGTGGTGCAGGATTGCTTCGGGGGTTTCGGAGCGGCCTTGGTTCGCCATGCGTTGTTGGGCGGCTGTGGCGGCGCCGCGCATGTTGCGCGTACGTAGGGTGCCTTGTAGCTGGTTCGGTGCGGGCGATTCAGGTACGCTGTCATCGCTATCTTCTGATTCGGAGATGCCGTCGACACCACCGCTTGGGCCTGCGGCGCCGCGCTTACCGCGACCGGTGAGGCCGCTGACGCGCTTGAAGATCCGGCTCTCCTCGATCGTTTCAGCGGCGCCGGGGAGGACGGAAGATACGGTGAGGGTGCGGACAGTGCGTTGTCTGTCCTTGAGGTCTGGGAGTGTTGGGCCGCCGCGGCGGTTGACGGAGCGCTTTTGGCGGCGCTGTTCGCGCGAGAATATGACTTCGTTCTTCTCGAGGTCTGTCTCCTTCATCTCGTACAGGAAGGGCGCGTATTCGCGCGCTTGTTGGTGGGGGCGGAAGGCGGAGGGGAGGGGTGTGGGGAGGAAGGCGGCGACGAGGTCGGAGTCCTCGACGGGGCGGCCGTCGAAGGGGTAGCCGACGATGTAGAGGGATTTGGTGAAGAGTTGGGATTGCTCGCGGATGCAGTGCGCGATTGCGGTTGTGAATTCGCCGGAGAGGGATAGTTCGCGGGACATGGAGAGCGCGAATTCTTCGGGAGAGTTTAGAGGGTTGTTGACGTCCCATTCGAATTGGTCCACCAATGTATGTTGGCCAATCGTTATGTTCAGCTTGATCAGGATCCGCATCTCGTCATTCTTGTATGCCAAATACGGAAGTTCTGGGTCCAGCGCGTCCTCTTCGATGTATACAGGTGGGCAGAAATCCGCGAGCTGGTCGTAGATCTGGCGCATAACCATGTCGAGGACGTGGTCGGCCGCAGGGCCTTCCACGCCAAAATCTTCGACCAGTTGCTCAGCGAATAACTTCATTGGCACCACCCGGTCGTGAAGGTTCCACGTGAACGTGTCGCGCAGCTTAATCTTCTCCCAGTCGACATCAAGTCGTATCGGTATCAGCTCTTCAACTTGCTCGGCCTGCTGGTTCAAGTCCTTGCGCTTGACTCGCAGCATCGGGGTGCGCTTATTCCCAGCGCGGATTTTCGACACAGGATACAGCACCGACGGTACGGGCTCATCTGTGTGTCCATTCCCAAACCCATTGTATCCTTCTCCGTACAGTCGACTCGGCGGAAACCATTTGCGATACTGTGTCCGTATATCCGTGTAGTCCTGCACCTCACCCAGTTTCCGATTGAACGTCTCCTTCGCATTCTGCTGGACCTTAATCAGCGCCGCGCTGTGCAGAAGATCGCGCGTCGCATATTTCTCAGCGACTGCTGGCCTCGGCGGCGCCTTCCGTCGGTGAGGAAGATCGATGGCGCTTTCTGTCGCCGCCGTCGTCGCCGTGGTCGAATTCGGAGGCGCAACCGAGGAAGAGGCTTGATGTTGTTCGGGCGCCATGGCGGGAGACCATGCGCGGAAGTACGCCCAGCGAGTCCAGATGAAGAGACCCGTATGATATGCTGCGCAATGCTTAGGTCCTGTGCAAGTCGCTGTATGTTCCGGCCAGATTGGGCGTTGAGCACCGCGACACTCTCAGTTGGATGTTTCGCGGAGTCGCGACTTAAGGTTATACTGTAGTAGGGACACGGAAGAATCCACTTCCCAATATGGACTAGTTCGCCCTTCCCTTTACTCATGCTCCTTCTTACTTTTATACCCTGCAATTGTAAGCGAGAACTTCAAAAATCAAGCCACAGTTGCACGTGATATAATACACCGCCACAGCGATTCTGAACGGGACTGGACCTTGATGACATCGTTGGGAGCGAAGTGGGCTGCTGCTGTGGCTGGTGCTCTTGCTCGGGTCTTTGCCCACACAAACCAAGTCTCTTCGCATAGAACCAAGTCCAACTCAAACTGACAACACCCGCACTGATCTTCTTCACTACGCAATATAAACAACAACCTTTTATTTTCTAAAACTACTACTTCAAAAACAACCGCAAACATGGCCGAAGAGACCAAGGAAGTCGGTATGTATTTTATTTGGATTATTTATTCCTTATATTCCCATATTCCTTTCCAAAACCCTTATTATGACCCCGCTATCGAGCTTGCACACGACCCCACTTTGGGCGCATTTGCAGCTATTCGCAACACAGAACGCAGGAATAAAGAGCCAACGCTGATGATATAATGATATAGATTACACGCTTAACAACCCGGATACTCTTACCAAGTACAAGGATGCCGGAGCCATTTCCCACAAGGTCCTCGAAGCTGTCTCCAAGCTCTGTGTAGCTGGCGAGAAGATCGTAGACATCTGCGAGAAGGGTGATAAGCTGCTTGAGGAGGAGATCGCAAAGGTCTACAGAGGAAAGAAGATTTCCAAGGGTATGTCCAGGCCAAGATTCTGACGTTCTGAAGACGTCACTCACTCACCGTTCCATCAGGTATCTCCCACCCCACCACCGTCTCGCCTTCCTCCTTCGTCACCCCATATACCCCTCTCAAGTCCGACGAGGCCGAGGCCTCCGTTGCCCTGAACGCTGGCGATGTGATTAAGATCCAGCTCGGTGCACAAATCGATGGTTTCGGAACGATCGTTTGCGATAACGTCGTCGTCCCCGGCGGTGAGGATGATGCCCGCACCGCAGACCTGATCCTGGCTACCCACTACGCGAACGAGCTTCTCCTGCGCCTGATGGTCCCACCTGGACTACTGTCGACCGGCACACCCGAGGAGAAGGCCAAGGCCGCCGCCCAAAAGCCAGTCCCCCAGAGCCGCATGACCAGCCTTCTCGAGAAGGTCGTCAAGAGCTACGACTGCAACCTCGTCGAGAGCACCACCTCGTGGCTGTTCAAGCGCAACGAGATCGAGGGAGAGAAGAAGATCGTGCTCGCTCCAGGAGAGGGCTCCAAGGGCGAGGGTGTCCCAGAGGTCGGCGAGGTGTGGGGTGTTGAGGTCGGTGTCTCCCTGGGAACCGGTAAGCTCAAGAACCTTGAGAACAGAGCTACTCTCCATCGCCGCACTACCCTTACCTACGGTCTCAAGAGAGACAGCTCCAAGAAGACCCTTAACGAGGTCGTCAAGAAGTTCGGTACCTTCCCATTCTCCCTCAGGCAACTCGACGACGAGAGGCAGGGCAAGGTCGGTGTTGTTGAGTGTGTCCGCGGCAACGTTTTCCGCGCGTACGAGGTTGTTGGTGACAAGGACGGAGCTGCTGTTGCCAGACTTCTGACCACCATCGGTAAGTAAAAAATGCTACGCCACTGACTTTTATGATTTTCATCATCTAACATCCCTATTAGCCATCACCAAGAACGGCGTCCAGAAGCTCGCTGCCGCCCCAGCCCTTGACGTGTCCCAGTACAAGACCGACAAGAAGATCACCGACGAGGAGATCCTCAAGATCCTCGAAGAGCCCATCGCCAAGCCCAAGAAGGCGAAGAAGTAGATCACCAAACCCCAGCTCCTGCTGCTTCGGGGAGGGGGGGCTTATGTCGCAAGATGCGAATGACCCGAGTAGTAAATGACTGACGTTTCATGATCTGGCGATCGTGCCTTTCAAACTGGAACCCTCAACTTGGAAGTCAAAAGCCAGGAGTGTGTGTGCCCCTATTCACAATATTTTTGGACCATAGGGACGCATCTGCTGCCATGTTTTTTGTATTTCTTTGTGTGGGGTGATAGTAGTTGAAATGCGCGAGTTAACTTTTGGCGACCGATGTGTCACGAAGAATAGCTTGATCATCTCTTTTTTTGTATGGAAGGGTGTAGCGTTAGCCACAAATTCCAGCAACTGAGAATCGTGATCTCCACGAGGAAGTTTTTTTTTTTTGGATAGACCAACCATGCCTTGCCCGTTCCAGAGTACGATTTCTGTCTCGCCCTCATTGTTATATGACCATCTGATTTTTGCTACAAAGTTAAGAAATGAGTAATGATCATTCTAAGTGAATCGAATAAAACAATGGTATCAGATCCTATCCTACACAATATGACACAATAACGATCCTTCAGGATTTGTGTAATACCGTGTGACCTTTTTCTTCACTTCAGACCCAGCATGTAACATAACCCGCTTCCTTCCTGGAGTCCGAACATCCCGACTGCGAAGCACTTATAGAGCCCTTTGCCCCCGCGTCTGGAGTAATCCCTTCGTCACAGATTTCGTCCCAACATCACAGACCTCAGCCATTCGACTCTTCAGCCGCTACGAAGCATCTCAAGTCCTTCCTTTTCGGCATCACTGCTCTGTTTATCTGGGCTGCCCTAGCTGAGGAACCTCTGGATCCTTGTATCAGAATAAATGAAAGGGGACTGGCAGAATATGACTGCGATAGCTGCTCTTGTTCTTGAAGTTGGACTATATTGCGATATTGATGTGCATTGCTATGGCGGGTGCTGTCCGGTTCAAAATGATCTATAGTGAGTTTCACCCTGCATTACTACCTGGGCTTAGGAATAACTTTATATTCAAGGTATTATCAGACCCTATTCCATCACTAAGATCACGGATATTATGGGGCATGCTCTCTCAAATCCAGCAGATTTCTCTCATTGCAGCCCCGCCTTACTATGGCTAGGTTATTTGAAGGGCTTTCAGAGTAGGACATAGTCGATGCAGTTCTAATTAGGACAAAATATTTAATAAATGGGATTCATACCTTCTGCCTTTATATCCTCTAGAAGCTCGTCTACATTTGCATACTCTTGGGCCCAACACTTCGCAATAGCGCCGCTGAACGCATCTAAAGAGCTCAGGCGGCATATGCGTCATCTATCTCCCAGTCCGGAAGCCATTTGTATGGTTTCAACCCGGTCATTACCTCGTAAAAGGTAGAGCCAAGGGCAAATATCTCACTCTTCGTCGTGGTGTCTGTAATGCTAGGATGCCCATGGCTAGTCTCGTAGTAGACAAGAGCAGGTTCTTCATCAATAGCAGAGCCAGCAAAGTCGCCCAATTTCACGTTGAGACCGTGATCAATGAATATGTTGTTACAGGAGATGTCGCCGTGTAAGACATTTTTGGAATGGACGTAAGCAACCGCTTCTGCAATCTGTTCGACCCAGCGAAGCTGCAGTGAAAGCTCAAGGGGCTTCGTCTGGATTTGCAAGTACTGCCTTATAGATCCATGACAAGCATATTGTAGGATAGAATCGTTTCCCATGTAATAACGGACGACCCTATCATGGTGACCAAGCCGTTCGTATAACGGCATCAAGGCGAGCAACTATTGCCGTAATCCCCGCCCCCAGAATATCTTTGCCATCTACACCATGCGGAAATTGAATTAAGTCACTCATTAGGTGCTGAGACTTAGAAATCGTTCTGTTGATGTTCGGCGTTTGGGTATAGAAGGTGTATTGTCCTTGTTGGGATCATTAAATTTAGGCGTGGTGGTGTGTGCGTACGTTGAAAGGGGGTACATGTCCATCCGGCGAGACATAACGACAACGCACAGGATACTTTAATTTAATTCCGCTTCATTTCTACCTATGGTATGGGCTGGCCTTATTCCAATTATTTATTCAAAAAGCTATTAAGATTGGTGTGCATTTGGTGCATATGGAGGCTATGCTATATGAATTGGAAAAATACTACGCGTATCTAGTCCAAATAAATATTATAATATTCATTTGGAATATTCGAATTCTTGTAATAGTTTCGTATTGGGCCGAAATATCTCGAATGCAGCTAGATATTATTTGTGTAAACTGCAGCCAAAACTGAGGCGGCTCATATCGAACCCCACATGATTTCCACCACTGGATATTCAAGTAATGGTATGCTTCATCTCCAGTAACCCATACCGCGTGCATATACCAACGATATCAAACGCCCGCAATCTATCCCGACGCCTTTTCATATATCAATGTGCCAATGCCCTTTTGCCCTCCTTTCGGTTCAAGAGAGCTTAATACTCTCAAGGGTGTGGTCAACCTTCGTCAGGTAGCTTGCCATCTGGTTGGGATCGCGCATCGCTACTATAACGTCATCGGGTAATCTGGATTTTAACAGGGCCTGGTTCAGTTAGTACAGCAATATCAAACTCTATACAATAGCGGAACTTGCCTCCTTAACCGCGTCGAACTTCTCCTCCGTCGCCGTATACTCCCTCGTGACCTTCTTGGACCTGAAGTCTATGTAGACTCTCGTATCCCTGATACGCACAAGCACATTATCCAACCTCATAAAGTTCCTCGCCAGGATCAGCATCCTCTCTGGCATGACCCTCAGCTTGATCGAGTAGAGCGAGATCCCATTATCGTCTAGCTCGCTCTCATACAGCACCACCTCCTCGAAATGCAATATTGGATCCGGGCGCTTCAAGAGCTCGATTGGGATCGGCTCCGTGTCAGGTGTGAATAGAGTAGGTGACGCGCCGCCTACAGTGCCCTTGTAATCTGTGCTGTACGACCAGTCGAATGGCTTCACGACCTCTTTGATACTCTCGTGTGTTTTCTCCCTGTAATGGTTAGCTTTGGCTTTTGCACAGCCTAGATAGCGACTTACCTGCTCTCCGACCATTCCCGCGAGTATGCGACCTTCAGCATAGTTTTATCTGTCTTATCCACCCGGTCTAATGCATCGAACGAGTTGAACTCGATACACCATCCCTTCTCGGCGTTCTCCACTGACACCATGTTGTCGCCGAAGATCATCTCTGGCACGGGGATGCCCAGCTTCTCGGACATGGCGTCGATGGCGTCGGACTTTGAGATTGGGAGCTTGCGCGTGTTGATCGTCCATCCGTGCTGGGAGAAGGAGACCGTCGCCGATTTGGGGTTACCGGGCGACGGGAACGATTCTGTGATGGGGCCGTTGAGCGACATTTTGGGGGGTGTATAGGGTGTATATTATGCGCTTGGAGTTAGACCCTTTGAAAGGCGAAAGTTGCACACCTCAAAGCTGTAAATGTTGCGGAAATAATGAAACCTTATGGTACTGTAGAGGCCCAGATTGAGTTGGAGTGGGGTTATCGATAGAGTACCTTATTTGGTGGGGTTGGATGTTCGGTACCCTTGTTCGTTGCTCTGACAACACCGTAGCTCCAGTTATTATGTTGACCCTCAGTTGTTCCAGGCGATTTCAAGAACATCGACATTTAGTATCGCCAAACGACCAACGCAATTCCACGCTTGGAAACTAACCATCTCCTTGACTCGAAGCGGTATATTCCTGGAAGAGGATAACTCTATCACAATGGCAAGCCGGGGACTCGAATCTCGGTTCGAGCACTTGTCCGTGACCGATGAGAATGACGGTGGAGAGGGTCTCAAGAAAACCGGACTCAAGTCCAAAGTAAGTACACTGGAATGATTATATGTATATCTTCTAATGGCATAATAGGTTGTCCCAAAATCACAATTATCGCAAACTTCAAATGGCGGTAACCTCCTCAAGATGGCGCTTTCAAACAACAACCCAGCGCCAGTAACAACAGTCACCGTCCCCTCCCAAGCAGCACAATGGCGAGGATCAAATGCACCAACGAGCGCAACATCACCCCCACGCAAGGCCACATCCACATCCTCAAGGCCTTCCGACGAGCTCGTAAAAGCAGAGCAAAAAGCGCCACAGATTTACGTCATGCCCCAGCCAAAGGAGTTCCACCTGGGCATGTTTGAGATTGGGCGGCCGCTAGGAAAGGGTAAATTCGGGCGTGTATATCTCGCTAGAGAGAGAGGCACCGGGTTCATCTGTGCCCTGAAGGTGCTGCACAAGTCCGAGATCCAGCAGGGCAAAGTGGAGAAGCAAGTCCGCCGAGAAATCGAGATCCAGTCCAACTTACGGCATCCAAACATCCTACAACTGTACGGCCACTTCCACGATAGCAAGCGAATCTTCCTCATCCTGGAGTTTGCGGGCAAGGGCGAGCTGTACAAGCATCTGAGGCGCGAGAACAGGTTTCCTGAGTGGAAGGCAGCGTCGTACATCGCGCAGATGGCTGCGGCGCTCAAGTATCTCCACAAGAAGCACGTCATACACAGAGATATTAAGCCGGAGAATATCTTGATGGGTATCCATGGCGAGATTAAGATTTCGGATTTCGGATGGAGCGTGCACGCGCCAAACAACCGCCGCCAGACAATGTGCGGAACTCTTGACTATCTGCCCCCGGAGATGCTCAAGCCTGGGTCGGGGGATAACTGGTATGGCGAGAAGGTTGACCTGTGGAGTTTGGGTGTCTTGGCGTACGAGTTCCTCGTTGGAGAGGCGCCGTTCGAAGATACTATGATTATGACACAGAGGAGGATTACGAGGGCAGACATGACAGTCCCTTCGTTCGTTTCTCCGGAGGCGAAGGACTTGATCAAACGAGTAAGTTTTCGTTCTCTTACCTTGTTAGGATACAACTGACGTTTATAGCTCCTCGTTCTGGATCCCGAGAAGCGTATCCCGCTTGATCAGGTTCTACTCCACCCCTGGATCATGAAGCACTGTGTGAAAGGGGAGCGAGCAACACAGCGAGAGTCGAAATCATCAGGCAGCAAATCCTCTCTTGAGGGTAGGGAATGAATTACGAATCCCTTTTTATCCCTCTAATTGTATCTGGCGGAGGCGTTTTAACTTGGATGGAACAGGACAGGGGAATTGGACATGATATGCATGAAAGTTGGAGTTGGAGTTTCTATGTTTTCCAGCCTTAACGCCTACGCTTACCCATGCAAATGATAACTACATATATATACTATACAAACAACTGTTGTACAAACGGAATGCGGTCGTGATATAACACATTACCGGTAGATCTCGTCGAATGGCCGGGTATCCGCAAAACATGAGTCCCAAACTTCGTTGACCACCTTGGTCGCATGTACATCGTCCTTGCAGCTTGGCCGGTTCATGACGGACCGAATAGCCCTGTTCCTGACGCAGTTTTGGTGTTGTTGTGTGAGCGTGAAGTTGTTCCTCACGAAGAACTCTCTGGTCCACCTGCACTCGCCGCTCAGGCTGGATGCTCGAATCTACAGGGTTGTCAGCACAGTGCAGTTAACTATCCAGTCAAACCTCTTACCTCTGTGCACGCCGCATGCCGTAAGTCCGACCAGTCCACCTTCCACCTCAGGTGATCCCAAGCATGTACCATCTCATGCGCCAGTGTATCCTCCAGATGTCCCTGATTCCTCATCTCATTCGCACAAATCAGAATGCCGTGGTCCGGACTGAACCCGCCCCCCTGCCTAACCGTATGCTCCTTCCCATCCTCCCCAATAACTCGCCGCGTAGGACACCGGCGACACTGCACGTTACTCCGGTCCAGCTTGCCATTCAGGTCCATGATGTTCTTGGACATGAAGCGAATCGTCGGCGAGTACTCGAACAGGTAGTCCCGCCACTTATCGCAGTTACTGCAGTCTCGCGCCTCGTTGCGGATGTATGCGTCCTCGCGGAATGCCTCCTGGCCCTCCCGGCTCATCTTGCCCAGCAGGATGTTGAAGTAGTTCGCCCATCGCTTGGTCGGGTCGTAGCCCGTCTTCGCCGGGTCATTGTTAGGGTTCCATGTCGACACTGCAGGGCGCTCAGTCGAGCTGGCTGTTGCCTGTGCCTGCTCCGTCGGGGGTGTTTGCGATGCCATTGTGTGTTTGGTCAAGCTAGTCGCGCTGGTAAGTTTCCAAATTAGACGCGGACTCCCTATTAGAGTCGCCGTACTAGTACGCCGAGCGCGAATTACAGGGCGGTGAGAGAAAAGTTGGCCGTATTCTGCCGGGTTCGGTGGGGTACGGATGCGATACTCGGAACTTTGACAGGGCGCACCACTAAACTCCAAACAAAGGTGGGGGGGCAAACGACGACATCGAGGATCTCCATTCAACCGGTTTATCAGCCTTGTCCAAGTTGTCTATAAAGCGACTTATTCCCCTGCCTTCTATGGCGGACTGCGATGCCAATGTAGCAAACATGAAGGGACCAAAGCCCTTGACTATTGTCATAAAACTTGGTGAGTCGACTCATATTTGGCCCACAGCCCAATTAACGCTCATTGCTCAGGCACGAGCTCGATTGTTGATGAGCATACGCATGAGCCGCTCCTCTCAGTCTTGTCTCTCATTGTTGAGACTGCTGTGAAATTACATGAAGATGGACACAGGGTCATTCTCGTCTCCTCGGGCGCCATCGGCGTTGGCTTGAGGCGTATGGACGTGAAAAAGAGACCAAAGCATTTGCCTCGCATCCAGGTCTGTCAACACCACCCCAGCCTAACATTTGACATTGCTGACTTTTCTCCAGGCTCTGGCAGCAATTGGGCAATGCAGACTTATGGGGCTATGGGACAGTCTCTTCGAGCAGCTCCGCACACCCATCGCTCAAATCCTTCTGACCCGCAACGACATTGCCGATGTAAAGGTCCCCCTTACTAGCTCTTTACGAATACGTACACTAACACGACATCCCAGCGTTCACAATATATCAATGCAGTCAATACGATTAACGAGCTCCTCGATATGGGCGTGATCCCCATTGTCAATGAGAACGATACTCTTGCCGTTGCTGAAATTAAGTTTGGTGACAACGACACCCTGTCGGCCATCACGGCCGCCATGGTCCACGCCGACTATCTTTTTCTCATGACTGACGTCGACTGCCTATACACCGCGAACCCGCGCACGAACCCCGACGCAGAGGCCATTGAAGTCGTCGACGACATAGACGCCCTGCAAGCCGATGGTGAGTCATGTTGACTTCTCTCCTCTCCAACCTCTATCTAAACCTTCCAGTCTCCTCCGCCGGCTCCTCCCTCGGAACAGGCGGCATGAGCACCAAAATCGTTGCTGCCCGACTCGCCTCCTCCGCTGGTGTCACCACCATCATCGCCTCCTCGGCACACCCGCAATACATCTTCCCTATTGTATCCTACACGCAATCCCTTGGCCTACCCCGCAACAAATCCCTCACAGCCCTATCCGCCCTCAATACCCCAGCCGCTAGTTCTCCCGGCCGCTCTTCGCCCTCACCCTTCGATCCATCCAATCTCCCGCAACGTCCCCCTCACACCCGGTTCTCCCCGTCACGCCACCCTATCCGTGACCGCAGTTTCTGGCTCCTTCACGGTCTTGCCCCTCACGGCACGATCTACATCGACGCCGGTGCCCACCGCGCGCTAAGCAACAAGGCTGGTCTCCTTCCCGTCGGCATCGTGGACGTCGATGGCAACTTCGGCCAGCAGGAGGCAGTCCGCATCGTTGTCGTGGAGAGGATCACACCTGTGACACCCGCAAGGAGTGTCGCTGAGGAGGCCGAGGCAGCTGTCGATGGCGCGGCTGCTGCGACTACGTCTGCCGGTGACGGGCTGGCGCACACTTACACGCAAACCCCACCGACTGGGACTCCACCTACCTCGACTCCGCTCTCGGCGCCAATCACGGCGCTACCCATCCATATCCACCGACGCTCAAGCACCCCGCCCCCGCAGCTCTGGCGTGGAACGCCACTTGAGGTTGGACGCGCGCTGGTGAACTACAGTAGCGCGGAGATCGCTCGTATTAAGGGACTACATAGCGAAGGCATTGGGGAGGTGCTCGGCTACGCGGATAGTGAGTATGTAGCACTGAGGGAGAATGTGAGCTTGGCTGTCTTTTAGACGGAGATCGGCAGGGCAGAGAAGATGATGGGGGGTGGATGTTTTCCTAGATTTTCATTAGATGCGACCAAACAAAATTTAGATTGGGACTGGGATACTGGGATTGGGGAAAGACTGGAGGCATGATTTCTGATCAACTCGAAACCATGGGCCTTACGCACAGTGTAGTCCCTGGGCGTTGGAGGCCAAGAATGCTATTCTTTTCGGGCATAATTGGAACGTGAAATCACACATAGAGGGACATAATAGGGGGAAGTAGGGGGAAGTAGATATCGGCGTATATCCAGTATGGGGTCTAGTTAGGGTCTAGTATGAGGTATTTCAAGGTATATCATTTCTCTAGTTGCATACAATGTCATGGTTCTGTGCATTGACTAGGTAGTCAACCATGTTTGAAGATGCTCGACAGTGGGGTTTACCATATAGGGCGCCAAGTGCATGGCTGACATGTGCCGCCGTGGATCATGTACCTGGCAAATGTCTAAGCCACCTGCGTCACACCGCCTTGAAATTAATTGCCTGATTTAAGTTTTTACCTAAGGTATCAAGGCACGAACTCACATGTTTAAATATCTCCGGTGCACGTGACTAACACATCACATTTACATCACGTGTACGGTCACGAGTATTGTCACGTGCAACCAACCCTTATCGCAACCGATGACATCACAAATCAACGATAATCAAGATAAGATATCCGCCCCTCTCCTCCCCGCCGTCCTGTTCCTGCCCTTGTCATGTCCCTCTCCTCTCCGCCCACGCCCACCGAATCAAGCATCCCGCTCCTCCCCTCCCCTCCCCCCCCATTCTCCCCTCCTCCCCCCCCTCCCACACCCCTCCGGCTTTGCTGTTTACAGCTAGGAGCCGGGACTCGTTTACTTTATAATGACATGCCTCATGGCGGGGCCAAATGCAATGACAAGAAACTAGGAGGGAAAATATTTGCGCACTCCCTCCTCCTCTTCACTCTTCGTCCTCTCCTCCTCTACTATTCTCCTCCCCTTCCTCTTCGATAGAGTATACTGGAATCGTCGCGCCTACCTCGTGAAACTATCCCCCGGTGTTTACCTCGTCATCCTTACCTCAGTGGTGAAGCGCGCTTATAACCAGCTATATACCCGCCGTATACCCGCCCTTCAGAGGAGGAACGCAAGAGGAGATCCCCACCAAACACGCCCACCACCACACCCCTCACCATGCCTCCCACCTCCCCCTCCCGCCGCCCCTCCCTCCCCGCGCGCCTCGCCGCCCGCCTCCCCTCCCGCCTACGCATCCTCCCCTTCCCCGCCATCCGCATCATCGCCTTCCTCATCCTGGTAAACGCCCTCCTCTGGGCCGCCAGCGGCGTCGTCATCCACTACCACCCCTACCTCTCCGGCCCCGCCATCCTCTCCTACACCCTCGGCCTCCGCCACGCCCTAGACGCCGACCACATCGCGGCCATCGACCTAATGACCCGGCGCCTTGTCGCGTCCGGCCAGCACCCCGTCACGGTCGGCACGTGGTTTAGTCTCGGCCACTCCACCATCGTGATCATAACATGTATCGTGGTTGCTGCCACGGCCGGGGCACTTGAAGAGCGCTTCGGCGGCTTTTCGCGCGTCGGCGGCATCATTGGGACGGCTGTTAGTGCGGCGGTGCTGATCCTGCTGGGGATTGGAAACGGGTATTTGCTGTTTAGGCTGGTGAAGCGGATGCGGGCTGTGCTGCGGCGGCAGGGGCGGGCGGAGGAAGGGGGCGATGGGGAGAAAGATGGGTTGTTGGGGGTTGCGGGAGGTGGGATCTTGTTGAGGGTGTTGAGGAGGGTGTTTCGGTTTATTGATCGGCCGTGGAAGATGTACCCCCTCGGCGTGCTGTTTGGGCTGGGCTTTGATACGAGCAGTGAGATTGCGGTGTTGGGGATTGCGTCGGTGCAGGGAGCGTCGGGGACGAGTTTGTGGTTGATTCTGATTTTTCCGTTGTTGTTTACTGGTATGTGATCCCCCACGCAAATATAGAGCAAGAGAAACAGGAGAGATCCAAACTAATACCCCCTAGCCGGAATGTGCCTCCTCGACACCACAGATGGTGCTTTGATGATGACGCTCTACACCACCAGTGCCAAAGCTCGAGACCCCCTCGCCACGCTCTACTACTCCATCATCCTCACGGGCATCACCGTGATGGTAGCAATCTGTATCGGCACGATCCAACTCCTGTCGCTAATCGCCAATGTTGCGGAGCCAGAGGGACCCTTCTGGGACGGCCTGGAGACGCTGGGGGAGTATTATGATGTTCTAGGAGGGTGCATTTGTGGACTATTTGTGATAGGGGCTGTCGGGGGTGTGATAGCGTATAAGCCGTGGAGGAGGTGGGTTGCGAAGGATTGGGAGGAAGAGGAGATTATGGATGAGGGGGATAGGAAGGAAGCGTGCCTCGAGAAGGGAGAGGGTGGTATTGGTGGTGAATCGGGGACGGGGGTTGGAGAGAAGGTGCCACTTGGAAAGGAGGACGAACGCCGCGAATCTGAGGGAGCGGGCAGAGTGGTTCAAGTGGATTTGCTTGGTCGTGGGCATGATGATATCGAGCCGGCTGAAGTGCCAGTTAAGAACAGTGCCTTCGTCTCTGGAGACGTGGCTGAGGAGACAAAGAAGAGCTCTGCCATCTCCCCTGAGATTATCCAAGACTCGCAGGAAGCTCAGACCGCTGCTGTGTCGGGCACAGACGTAAAGAACGACGATATACCCTCGAGACTGGCGAGATGAGGCATCTTAGAAATGTAACACAGTGTAACAGCTGCACAAACCATATAGCTAATAAATACAATAAAAACCTGGCATAACAGAACCCCCTCCCCAGCCATATTTGATATTTCAGAGGACACCAAGGTCATTTTAACTATCTTATAACTCCCACATAGACCTAACGGAATTATCCCCATGAGGCTTACAAAGAACTCAATAGAGCTATCCTCACCCCGCCTGTATCACTCTTGCGCTACACTCACTCTGTGGTCTCCGGTTGCGGTATATGTTCTCAATTGGGTTAGGTTTATGTGGGCGTAAAGAGGGGACGGGTGCGACGGATGAGGCGCATGAGGATACGATGGTAGCCGGGCAAGTGTGGTGACGGTAGGCAGGGGTAGTGACGATGGCGTGGGGCAGGAGTAAGTGAGGGGGATATAGTAAAATAGTAGTATTCATTCACCTATATGTGCCACTATGAAAGAAAATAGGCAAATATTCACGCAGTGAGATGGGAGCGGAAGAAGAGTCCGCTCTCCTGCCGCATACCCGTTCCCATGTAGTTAATTGAAATATACAAAATTCGAATGCAATCTTCTCGGCATTAATTTCGGGCGGGGTTATGGGATTTGTCTTAGCGATTGAAGATGCACAGTTTGTTTATTAGTGCGACTTGACCTGCCCAAAACGTTGCATTGGAATGCAGCTTACTCCGCACTTTGATGTTACTGTAGATCACCACGCCATGGGATTTTATATGCCGATAGATTCCATAGCCACTCGGTGCCATCCACTTTAGTCTTATATTTTAGATTATACTTAAAGTCTGTGACATCCGACTTATTGGTTTTGTTAAATAAACCTCCAAAATGCATATTCTTAGTAGCGGACAGATTCTGGCTGCTTTTTTATGGGCTTCCAACGCCCACGCATCACCAGACCCCTCAAAGCCCCACGACTTTGACGTTTTAAAATATGTCAATCCTCTTATTGGGACTATCAATGGGGGCCACGCATTTGCTGGTGCCTCACTGCCATTCGGAATGGCAAAAAGCGTAGCAGATGTCAACAGCAAAGAAGAGAGGCAAGGAGGCTTTGCTTCAGACAATAGTGATATCACAGGCTTCTCACACATGCACGACTCAGGGACAGGTGGTGCTGCATCACTTGGAAATTTCCCCATCTTTGCTCAAACCGGGTGCCCTGGGGACGAAATCAACAACTGCAAGTTTACGAAGGTAGACCGAGCGTCACGGAGAATAAATGGATCGGTAGAAGCGCGCCCCGGTTACTTTGCTATTACCCTGAACACGTCGATTCATACTGAGATGACGGTTACGAATCACACGTCTCTGTATAGATTCACGTTTCCAACAAATGAAACCTCGAATGCTACCTATCCTAACCAGACAACCCATGCATTGCCGCTTAGTCCTCTGATTCTAGTGGACTTATCAGATCTCCCTGATTCAAGAATAAAGGGCAGCATAGCCGTTGACCCTACTAGTGGCAGAATTACAGGAAATGGGACATTTACTCCTTCTTTCGGAATTGGATCGTACAGCTCCTACTTCTGTGCCGATTTCTCAGGCGCCGCTATCCGCGACACGGGAGTTTGGATGAACAATCGAGCGGGCAGTGAGCCTAAGCATCTTAGTGTGGCAACGGACGGTGTCAACTCTCCTCCTTTGCCAGCCGGCGCATGGACACAATTCCATGCCCCTACTTCTAAAAACGAGATCCTTGTTAGGGTTGGTCTTAGTTTCATCAGTGAGGCAAAAGCGTGTCAAAATGCCGAGCTGGAAATACCTGATTTCGGATTCGACAAGACTCTGCAAGCTGCTGAAGATGCCTGGAGGTCGAAGTTGTCTGTGGTTAATATCGATGCTACCGGAGTTAGTGATGATATTCAGACTGTGTTCTGGAGTGGAATGTACAAGAGTATGATTTCGCCACAGGATTACACCGGCGAGAACAAACTGTGGGATAGTTCTGAGCCCTACTATGATTCGTATTATTGCATTTGGGATTCTTTCCGAAGTGTTCACCCCCTCCTGACTATTGTTGATCCTACAAGCCAAACCCGGATGATACGGTCACTGATTGACATTTATCGACATGAGGGTACGTTACTTCCCCTTTGCTAAATGAAGCCCCTACTAATGCTGTATAGGCAAACTCCCTGATTGCAGGATGAGTTTTTGCAAAGGACTCACACAGGGAGGGTCGAATGCGGATATTGTTCTAGCTGACTCGTATCTGAAGAACATCACAGAAGGAGTCGACTGGGCCACTGGCTATGAGGCCGTGGTTTCTGATGCCGAAGACGAACCCCTTAACTGGTCTGTAGAAGGACGCGGCGGGTTACACAGTTGGAAAAACTTACATTACATCCCAACTGACGACTTTGATCCCTATGGATTCGGGCCCTTTACAAGAAGCATTTCTCGCACTGTCGAATACGCCTACGATGATTTTTGTATTGCCGAAATGGCAAAGGGAATGAACAAGATTGCTGATGGGGAGAAATACCTTGAACGCTCGGAATACTGGAAAAATATGTACAATCCACATCAGACATCCCATATCGATGGCAAAGACACGAACTTCGTTGGCTTCTTGCAGCCAAAGTACCTAAACGGCACCTGGGGCTATCAGGACCCTATACTCTGTTCTCCGCTATACAACTTCACCTCCTGCTATCTTTCGCCAGGGGGACACGAGACATATGAAGGTAGTAGCTGGCTATACACTTTCTTCGTGCCACAAGATATGGCCTCTCTAATTCTCACACTCGGTGGCCCCGAAACATTTATCAAGCGCCTCACATATCTTCACTCATACCCCGATCTTCTCTACCTTGGTGACGAGCAAGCGTTCCTCCCGGTTTTCCAGTACCACTATGGCGGCCGGCCAGCCCTATCCGCTGTTCAGGCACACACCTACATACCCAGCCAATTCAACAACACCTTTAACGGTATTCCAGGAAACGAAGACAGCGGAGCCATGGGATCCTTCTCGTCCCTCGCGATGATGGGACTCTGGCCTGTAAGCGGTCAAGATGTGTATCTCATCACGCCTCCGTTTTTCAAAGAGGTCAATATAACGAACGGCCAGACGGGTAAGACTGCAGTGGTACGGAATATTAACTTTGATGCCGAGTATGAAAATGTGTTCATCCAGAGTGCGACGTTGGATGGGGCTCCTTACCACAAGAATTGGATATCGCACAGCTTTTATAGTCAAGGCGGCGTGCTAGAATTAACATTGGGTACGAATGAGAGTGCATGGGGGACAGGGCATCATGACTTGCCACCAAGTTCGTCGACGAGTGGAGTGGCTTAATAAAAGAGGGTTTGGCTATTCTCAAACCAGCCACACTTTCACACAGGTAGTTAGCATGTATGAGGTCTAAATTATCAACGCTCTCGTCCATCCAATTTAATGACTGATGAAATATGATACTCGAAACATGATGCCCGCAGTGCTAATGGTTATATGTTGTTGGGTTAATGATTCCTACAAGAGGAAGTAGATTTGGTAAAAAGTTATAATAAGTGTAATAACCCGAGTCTAAACACGCTGCGTAGTCTTGAGATGGCAAGAAGATTGCCCTATTTTGAGTATAGTAGTAGACGAGGACAGATAGCAAATAAGTATCAAACAGGAGACTACAATAGTCCGCAAAATTATACAAAATATACAATTAATCGCTCAATGGCGAAGCTGAGATGAAGCTGTTTATCCCATTCTCTGCTTTTTTCTCACCCAAACTTCTTTATCCGAACCATCTACACCACGCAACTGCACCTCCCATATTTTGAGCTTGTAATTCCCCCGATCGCCTGTTCCAGTGAATAAATCAAAAGACCAGTCATGTTTCGGACAAGTAATTCCAGCGCTAAGAACAACGCCGAAGTCCTCGATATCAAAAGGTGTGCCCCGTGAAAGAGGAAATGATGAATGAGGGCATTGCTACAAATTTGTGTTATTAGAACTAGCCATAGTAAAGTACTTTACATCCATTTAGTTGACATACATGGTCTATGGCGTGGAATTTTCCTTTGTACTGAAACACGAGAATCTGGCTCTTTAGGTCTAACGCCTCATCGAGGTCCGCCTCGACTAACCCCTTGTGATTTTGAGAGCCATTTTCACCGTCTTCATTTGATGTGTAAAAGGCTTTGCATCCGGGCTTAAAACCTGCGTTGCAGGCTCGAGATTGCGATAAATTGGCACCGTCTGACTTAACGTCGAGGAATGCCGAGGAGGGGCCCACAAACAGCCATTGTGCATCTGTCCGAGACGCGGCTCTGAATGGGTTCATCCCAAGGCTTGTTTGCCGGAGTGTCTCTCTTCTAAAGTCTTAAGGCTTGTTGGTGGCAAGTGGCAGCAGCTTTTCAGCTCTGTTGGTCGGTCGAAAATCGGAATTCATCACGTGCTTTTTAAAAATATTTATAAACGAAATTATATAAAATGATATTTATCAATCGATGCTCGATTAACCGATATTAATATTAAAATGCACTTAAACTTATTAACAGACTACGAGGTGAGATAAAATCCCATTGCTACCCTTGTGCGATTATGTTGCTCCTGTCAAAAAGTCTGGCGATGCCGGCCCAATACTGCTCAGCGTTCCTGGAGGCATGGGCACAGTGACCGCTTGCCTCAAAGCGTAAGTTGACTACGTCGCTGTAACCAGCGCGACGTGCCTGCTCGGCGTGAGCCTCGACGTCTGGTGCAGGAACCATCTGATCCGCGCTCGAGTAGGTGTACAGTCGAGGGACGGCATAGGCGATGTAGGCACTACTGTTCAGGCCTCTCCTGGCGCGCGCCACCACATTCTCGAAGCCGAAGACGTGGTCGGCGATGAAGACGAGGCACAATATTAGGTGGATGAAGGGAAAGGCGAGCAGCTTCAGCATAGGAGATTTTGCTAGGGGCAGTAGGATGGCGTTGGCGGAGCGTGTATAACTAGCCTCCCCAGGACAACTGTCCAAGATGATGGCGCGAAAGGCGGTCGCGCGCTGAGCGGGCGGCAGGGCGGCGACAACCTGAGCAGCGCACTGGGCGCCACCATTGGAGAAGGCGTGCACGACGATCCCTTCACTGGTGAGTCCGGGCTGCAGATGGGCTTGGAGAACGTGGCGAGCCGGGCTAAGACGTGCCTGCTGCGCGCTGTCGCCGCGGTAAGTCATGTCGGCCAGGTTCGACTCGAGCACCAGCAAAGCGGTGGCGGGATAGCGATCTAGATACTCGGCGACGTATTTGGCGATGTGCTTGGGCTGGGCACCGACCCGTGTGCAGAGCACGACGAGGGAGGGTGGCGGCAACCCTGATGGTAGTGATGACAGTGGGGATGATGGAGATAGGGCTGGTTCGCGAAGCCAGATGGCAGGCGCTAGCTTTGTGAAGCCGTCCATGTTGTCTTAGGTAGACTCAATCACTGCGGTACAAGTTATTTCGCTTTTTACCAAGCAGATATAGGGAGGTGCTGGTTGATTGCAGAGTAGACGAGCAAAGGACTGAGGATACATATAATTACCCTGGACCCATGTCTAGGCCAATAAAGTTGTAGGTGCCCAAGGCTCTACCATGATGGCGGGAACGAGCGAGGGCATCCGTGGCTATAGGTGAAAGCAACAGCGTCCGTAGCCGCGGGGAAAGCAAGAGTAACGGAGATAGTAGGGATGATCAGGAGCCTCTACGACCTGTAGGAAAAACAACAGCGTCTGTGGATGCGGGCGAAAACAAGAATAACGGAGACGGTAGGGACGAGTAACAAGCATACCATTGTTCCTACTTAATTGCATTATTAATATACATTTGCATCATTTAGACTCTTTATACTAAGAGTTAAGTTGTTTATAGGCGTTAGACTCATTATTCATTATAGTCTGCAATAGCTGCCGTATTATAATAACAACAACCCACACCCATACCATCCCTCACGAACCCGTACGGTTAATTTTATGCCGCCCTCGGTCAACTTTCTCGAGTTCAACATTGTGCCATTCGAACTCCTTAACACAGGCGCTGAAGCGGCGCATATTTTGCCTTCCCATGGCAATAACACTGTCAATATCAGGTGGTAGAAGGAGACGAAATGCCGGAGCTGTAGTCGCGACCATGAGAATAATAACCATAGTAAATGTCCTAATTTGAGGACGCTGATCAGCTTGTAGCTCTGCAAAGTAAATCAGATAAGATGGCTGAAAGCAGCAAACTTACGCCATTCCCGTTGCAAATAAGTTGGTTAGACAGTTCGCTGGTTCGTTGAAAAAGGTCTTTATAAACCCAGAGCAGCCTACTAGGCAGTCCCTGCAGCAATCAAGCACTGCGGTCTTGCTAGGGTGAAGATCGATTAGGTGCGGATTAAGTAGCACGTTTTCCAACAGAGGGCGATTTATGATGTACAGTCCTGCGAAATATCTACCCCTAAGCCGTGCAACATTCCACAAATGGTTCGAGAAGCGGGTACGGTCTAGCGTGTCTGTCGATGTTGATTTCCCAGGATTTATCTGTGGCCAGAAATCACTAGGGTCGGTCGACAGCAGAAACGAAGGCAGATTCTTGTGTATAGCTTCGTGGTGAGATCGTAGCTCAGAGACTAGCCTGTGCAGCCTCATAATGTAAGTAGTATGGTTTTCCTTTCGCCGCACTTCATGTGGGCTGTATAAGACTGCAGTAGCTCGATTGATGAATCGCCGAATTGCTGAACTGGTGCTGACCTGGAAGGCAGCGAAATTATCATAAGGTCCTGGATCTGGAAGTGAAGTCGACATTAGAGTTTTGTTAAGGCCTATATCATAATCCATCTCGGAGTCAGTGTCGTCTGGAGATGGGTAGGGGACAATATCTTCAAAGAGAGTCATCCCTGATGGCGGCGTGAGAGAGAATTCCGATGCAAAGTCGCTCTCATTGACATACACGACCCAAAAGAGGCGTCGAAATGGGTCAGAGAATTCAGGATATTCTTTGTGAATGAGGGTTTCCCTACGCAATATTCGTTAGAAATACTGATTTAGATCCAAAAAAAAAAAATACAGCCGCCTGTCTCGCGTACCTTCTTGCGATGAGCTTGCATTTCCTCGCTGCTACATGTATATTATGATCAGAGTCGACTGGTCGGCCCTTTGCTCCTAGATATACACTTTCATGACCTTAGAATCAGTTATTTCATACTTCAACGTGTAGTAGCTGTATTAGGAGGTTCATTGGCACATCTCCCTCTATGATATCCGTACCTTGCAAGTGTAAAGCACTGGCCTGCTTCGAGACTGTCATCAAGCGAGACAGATCCGAGGAGAAGCTGGGCTTTCTTCCAAAGCCGATCCTCTAGACTATTACTGAACTCTATTCCCACTTGGTTGTCGTTTGCCGGATTATCTTGTCTTCTCTCCCACAAAACTTGAGGGGAGTTATCTGGTTGGAGAGGCATCTTGGGAAGCAGGACATTTCCAGAAGCTGCGAGGGCTCCAAGACAGAGAACCATCAACAGTACGCAATATTGCGACTGTCTCTCATCGTCTTGCAAACCGTGCTGGTCGACCTCGGAACTAAAGACCGTGTGTAAAGTTTTATATACCTGCTCTTGACGAATAATCGGATAGAAAGCATGGATATTAGCAAAGAAAGCACTAATCAAGTTTTCGTATTCGGGTAGGATATCCCAAAAATCATTGGAACCAATCCGAGGCTGACGCCTGAAATATTGAAGACTTTCATCGTCAAAAAGGTGCCATGACTCGATGCCAATATCTGAGCTGTGCCGCGAAGGTTCTACCAGAAATATGTCTGTCACATCATACAACTTTGGAAATGTAGATAGCCGTTCTGCATTTTCAGTTTCGGGTAGACCCCGATCTAAGATTTCTTGAACGATTGGCCAGCGGTAGACATGATCAGCATTAGCTTCATGGCTTACCGGAAGCGTTAGCTGAGTATCGTTGTGACCATGCTCGAAGCTGTTAGGCTGCTCTAAAACAATCTTTGTTAGTAGGGCTCCATATCAACTGACTTGTGCTGGATGAGGCAGACCTGGCTCTACCGAAGTGTCCGCCACGGAAAATGGAGACGATGAGAAGAGACGGTCTTCCAGACGTTGGATTCTTTCCAAAACGACACGTGTGCCAGCATCAATTTTAGAGTATTGCGAGTCGAGATATACACAGTCCACATTAAGATCAACACACAGACTGCATTTTGGCACTCCAGCATCACATCTTATTTTGCGACCCCTGCATGTTGAGCAAGCTTGTGCCACTCTGCGACGAGGTGGATCACGAGTTGTTCGGTCCATTCTAAGCCCCTATACAGACAGAGTTCCGTATAGTGGCTAACTAGAAATAAAAAGAAAATGGTTGGAGTTGTTGCATTATGACACTAGCCTCTGTTGAGGATTATGAGCCGTAGGTGCCTCAGGCCGAAAATTACACATATATAACTGGTCACTGTGAAGTAAGGCGACCATAAGATTTAACTTGTGTAAGGTTCAGATATTTTGGCAATTTTACACGTTGTAGAAATTGCATGAAATAGGACGAGTCTCAACTTGGGGCCTCTTTACTTTCAATAAATTTCTTATTTTGGTTAGAGTGACAACTACAATACACTCAATGGACCTCAAGATTTCACACAAGGCAACGAAATATGAGATTATAACATCAGAGTATTCACTCACACGGGAAGTTTAGATTGTAGTGGTCTCATATACGATCCCAGTTATAAGATTCAGATAACTACAGCCAAAATAGTGCCTGATTCTCTAGTCACCAAAAATTATCAGTCTGGCAGAACGGAAGAGGAGGCTTCAGGCAGTAAAGTATATGGAATGAATATATCAGTTCATTCCGTACAGTTTTCTCTTTGTACATAGATTAGGCCTTTTTGAGACTGGCGCGGTCTAAGTCCTCCACTTGAGCTATCTCGACCTCCGACTTTGCAGCAGTAATCACCTCAGCCTCCTCGCCATCGAAGAGAACAGCAATCTCCTCTAATGCTCTTCCCTTAGTTTCGACAAACCATCCGTATGCAATAAAACTCTCGATAGCCAGAATTACAACGTAAACGATGTAATACTTCCACTGGATATTTGCCAATCCAATTGGATTAACATACTGATTAACAAACACCGCTACTTTTGTAGTGAAGACGTAAGTTGCCATCCCCTTTGCGCGGACCGAATAAGGGAGGATCTCGACTGAGTATGCTACCGGCAGAGGCGAGAAGGCGATGCAGTAGAAGAATTGGAACAAAAAGATGAGTACAAGAACAGCCATAGCGGCGCCATGGGCAGCAGTCTCTGCGTATACAGCAGAAGCGATGGTCCAAGAAGTAAAAGTAACAAGCATGCCGATTGTAGATATCCGGAATAGCGGACGACGTCCGATGCGCTCTACTAGAAGAGCAGAAGAAATGGCAATCAGAAAATTCCAAATGTTGATTATGCCATTGATGAGTGACTTTGTAGCTGAGTCGTTGATACCGATAGTCTCTAAAATGCGAGCGAGGTCTTATACATATATTAGCTCTGGCAATAAAGATTATGGCGCGAAAATAACTCACAGTATGATATCAATCCATTGCCAGACCACTGGGAGAAAGTGCCCATGCACACAACAATGAACATTCGATAACGATTGCCCTTAGTGCTGACCATTGACTTCCATGTTGTGTTGCCGGACGCTGTGACACCTCTTGTTAGTATGACAGGGATCGCGTTTCTATAAGGGAATTAAGAGGGCTTACCTTTCTCCATGTGGATGGCAGCACAGATCTCTTCGTACTCAAGCTTTACCAACTCAGTTTCCTCTCCATCACCATGGTAGCGTTTCAACGCCGCCATTGCCTCTTCGCCTCTGTCATGTGAAATGAGCCATCGCGGAGATTCAGGCAGAAACCAAATGGCAGAGAGCTGTATCATGCTGGGCAGCATTTGCAGAAGGGAAGGGATTCTCCACGACCAAGTACTTGGGATAACCCGTGTACCGTAGGTCAACCAAGCTGCAACAATGGCACCTAAGAACCAGCAAGTGTTGCATATGGCCGTGACTGCGACTCGCTCCTTGGGATGCGATAACTCACTGACTAGACTGGGCGATGCAGTGGTGCAGAAAGTAAGACCAAATCCAAGAATGAATCGACTAACAACAAACATGGCGAAAGTGGTACTTTCACACTGAATAATGGCGCCGGCAATCATGATGCAGCTCCCAACGGTAATACCCCATCTGCGTCCATAGTGATCCGCCACCCATGGGGCAAGAGGTGCAGAGCACATGGCACCAAGAGCGATGATAGCACTGACCAACCCAAGTGTTGATCCTCTGGGGTTTCCAAAAAAGTCATCCCAGTAGCTGACAGTCTGGAGAGAATTCATCATTGAGCCATCGTAGCCACTTGTCATGTATGAAACAATCGCGCCTGGAAACAGTAGGGCATATAGTCGTCTTCTTGAAGCGACCTTGTACCAGGGCGGAGAATCTCTTGCCAGTTCAGAGATTCTAGACGGTTCGAAAGCTGCAGTGATGGATGGCGAGCTTCGGGATTCTTTGGCTAGGATGTCCTGCCTTGGGGCTGGCAATCGTTTGCGGAGGGAGTCCATGGTTGGAACTGACTCGGAAGCTGCGATATAGATAAAGAGCGATATTAGGGGTGATGAGAGACGAAGCAGGTCTAATGGCAGGTTATTAACAAAATCCAATGGGTACGTCGGATGCTTTTATACTTCAAGAACGCTTTCCCTCATTATCTCACCCCACGCGGCAGCTTCCAGCTTCGCACGGGAAATCAATGCCATGTGGTATGTAAATGTTTAAGCTTGCGAGCTAGAGCTAGACGTGGTCCAATTTTGCGTTGTCGATCCGGGGGCCCCAACCCCATAATGCATGCCCCAGACTAACCCCCGCATTCGAGGAGAACTGGCTAAACCCGAAAATTCCTGAAGACTCGCTTTGACGGGGGAATTGGTCCTAGTTGCCCCGATCACTTGTGGGTCTGCTTGCGCAAGTTATAAGTCTAAAGTTACTAGCAAGTTATTTAGCGTTGAAATGTGCCGCGGCTTACACCATGAACGTGGGTCCAGCATTGAACAAGGCTTCTTATTCGCTCGGGGAAAAAGTAAAGAGATGCCCCGTTTCCAGATGCCTCGACCGCCATCGTTATTATGGTCAAATTTGAATACATGTCGATGGCCCGATGTCGCAATGGATTTATTTAAAATGGGGGTATAGCTTCTCTCTAATGAGATGCTGTTGCGCTTTATATATAACTATGAACTTCACTTTTATATCCTTAATCATTAAACAAATCCACGTGGCGTCCATTTCGACCTGTTCGGTGTATTGCATCTTCATATTCTAAAACCATGTCAAGCGGAATCTTACGGACAAAGGGTTCGAGTATAGTCGATGCCAATGGAAATGTGGTGTTGCTTCGTGGTGTAATTCTCGCCTTCCAGATTTGTGCTATCGTCAACTAACACTTACCAGACAGCTCTAGGAGGATGGATGCTCATGGAGAACTTCATGAATGGCTTTCCAGGCCGTGAAATGCAGATTCGACGAGCATTGGATGAAGTGCTTGGTAAAGAAAAGAGTGAATTCTTTTTTGACAAGTTCTTGGAATACTTCTTCACCGAGAAGGATGCCGAATTCCTGGCGTCGCTGGGCATAAATTCCCTACGATTACCGTTGAATTATCACCATTTTGAAGACGACATGAACCCAATGGTTATCAAAGAAGAAGGCTTCAAGCATGTCGATCGGGTTGTTAAAATTGTATGTGCATCCACAAGAATAAATACGTTTCCATATCGCTAATTACAGAAATTTTACTGCAGTGCGCCAAGTATAATATCTACACGATCTTAGATCTCCATGCTGCACCTGGTGGCCAGTCTCAAGATTGGCACTGCGATAATCCTACAGGCTACGCTGCATTCTGGGATCATAAGCATTTTCAGGACCGAGTGATCAACCTTTGGCAATTTATTGCGAGGCGCTATAAGTCAAATACTTGGGTCGCAGGATACAACCTTCTGAACGAGCCCGCTGACCAGAAGTGGTCGCGTCTCTTAGCCTTTTATGATCGTATCGTACCAGCTGTGAGAGCAATTGATCCAGATCACATACTCTGGCTTGAAGGCAACACGTAAGTTTGGTTCATTTTTGGCTCGGACTACCCGAGCCTATCTTAATCCTCTTCACTATACTAGAATATTTACTAATATCCCCCGTCAATTCAGATTCAGCATGGACTTTTCTGGATTTTCAACAGTCTTCCCCAACACTGTATACGCGGTGCACGACTACTGCGGATTTGGCTTTCCTAATCGAATTGGCCGCTATAAAGGAGAACCAGAGCAGGATGTCTACATCCGCAAAATGTATGACCGCAAAGTCGAGTTTATGAAGAAGCACAACGTACCAATTTGGAACGGAGAGTTCGGACCCATTTACGAAAGACCGGAAACGAATGCGGAATGGGAGGAACAGAACGAAGAACGCTACAAGATGCTTGACAAGCAGATGTCTATTTATACTGCTGAAGGAATTGGTGAGTCTTTAACTGCCCTTGTAGGGTCATGATTGATGCCCTTGATTTGCACTGCCTAGATCTGCTTTCTAATGCATTAATTCTCGCAGCTTGGAACATTTGGTCCTACAAAGATATCAATGTAATGGGCATGACGCACCTCTCTCCTGCGTCTGCCTGGATGCGTCTACTCGCTCCCATTCTCGAGAAGAAGCGCGCTTTAGCTGTCGACTCCTGGGCCTACGATGATGCACATTTGCAGCCCGGACTTTTCGAGCCCCTTCATCAATGGTTCGCGGACAATGTGCCCGAAAAGTACAGCAAGAAATATCCTTGGCAGTGGCGCATGCACATGCACGTCTTTCGTGGTATTAGAGGCATCACCATGGCTGAATACATGATACCGGAGTGGGCGGATTATTTCAAAGACTTGAGCTACGAACAGCTGGACGAACTGGCAGCGAGCTGGAAATTTGAGAACTGTGTCGGACGTCAGCGACTAAATGAGTCGCTGGCTTTATACGCGACTATGAAGCCAGGTGATGCGAGATTAGAGGGGAAAGTTATTCAGAGCACAGTGGTCGAAGGGCAAGAGGAGGAAGGCGTGTTTGAGTTGAGCCCAAGTGAAAAGTTGAAGTCACAGCAGGCGAATGCCCCAGAGGCTGTGGTGGTTTTGTAGTTTGATGATGTAAGAACAGCTCACACGGCCGTGTCACTTTGGACTTGAGCGCCTCCTTTTTTTTCCGCACGCGACAATTCCGCTCTACAAGAACTTTCTGCTTGATATACCTCTCCAGTCCGCTGCCAGAAGGAGGTGCTGAGCCGGACCAATTATATAGTGGATACGCCGACCTTGGTGGTTTCATAGTCAATGAATGAACGTTATACAACAACGTATCGCTCTGCTTATTTTGACGTAATAATAAGCATACTTGGAATGCCGTCGGCTTGGAGATAACTTCGACAATCAATCGAGGTTGCAAGAGCCTAGACACAACGTTTTAATTCAAGTGCTTAGATGTATGGGGGCTTTCCGTATCCACATAGTTTCAAAATCCTTACTTGAACTTGAACATATGGTTTCTCTACTTCATGTGATTTATGAATGTCTCTTCAATGTACATCAAGGGGTTAAGCATTTGGAGAAAAGCATGGGGCGCATTGTGCCAATGAGAGGGCCGATATAGGGGGTTGCCAAGAATGATGGTGGGTTTTTTTGACGCGGTGACAATTGTGTTGCGCTCAAATGATATAATTAAAAATGTGATTACAGTATACTAAAAATCTTGCTGAATCCACATTATCCGAGAAAAGATGAGTCCGACCTTCCCACCTCTATGGCTTCCATCTGAAGGCCGGGTGCTTCCAGTCAAGGTCCTGCTCCTCCTTCTGACTAAGGCCAGCGAGTACAGAATCGACATCCTTCTTGCTCCTCTGCCGATTATCCATCTTCATCCAGAAGAGCAGAAGGATGGAGAGCAGGAGGATGGTTGACGAGGTAGCAAGATTGAGGCCATTGCCGATATGGTAATTGGGGGCGTCGGTCGGCAGGAATGACCAGGTGGAAATCAGACCGCCGACGTTACCAAACATGACATTAGTGCCGATTGCAGCGCCTCTGGCTGTATCCGAGACGACGTTGGCAGCCACTTGGGCGTTGGTGAGCGCGCCAAAGGAATAGGCGCCGCTGGCGATGAGGAAGGTTGCGCCGTATCTGACCATGGGTTCTGTGCTCGCAAGGAACATGATGTAGCCGATCATCATGAGAGGTGCAGAGACGATGAAGAAGTGGTTTCGACGGTCGAATCTCCAGCTTAAAAAGGGGATTAGAAGTGTGAAGAAGCCGCCGACTATGTACGGGGGGACGGTGTGGAGTTGCTGAGATATGACTGATTCTTTAGGGTAGATGGTTTTAACGATGGTAGGTGCGAAGAATGCGAGGCCCTGGACGGTGATGTTATTGAGGAGGAAGATGAACGAAGTTGCGATGGTGACGGGACAGAAGATGCCTCGCATGGTTTTGGCGTTATCGATGGTGTCTAAAACTTCGGTTGTAGCGACTCGCTCTGACTTAACGCGGGCGATGGCAAGATCTTTCTCAGCCTGGGTTAACCATCTCGCAGTCTCGGGGCGATCAGTCAAAGTAACGAAAGCGATGACCGAAAGGCCACAAGTGATGATGCCTTCAATAGCAAAGATCATCTGCCATGAATGCAGACCACCAAAGCCATCAAGTCTCAGGATGGCAGAGGCTAGGAGACCGCCAAAGGCACCTGCAAGAGGAGCCATGACGATATAGAGGGCTAAGCGGAAAGCCAACTCGCTTCTTCGGTACCATCTGGACAGGTAATAGGCAATGCCAGGCATCATACCGGCCTCAAAAGCCCCGAGTAAGAAACGGACGCCACATGCAGCATGGATGTTGGTGACGAAAGCGGTGCAGATGGAACATATCCCAAAACCGAGCGAAATTGCGGGGATGAACCATCCAGGACCGACCCATTTGCAGGCCATGGTGCAAGGGATCTCAAAGATGATGTAGGAAATGTAGAAGACAGATAGGACAATGTTATAATCATATTTGACGAGCTTAAGGTCTTTCTCGAATCCCGCAAGCCTTGCATTGCCTGTGATGATGAGTAAGACAATGACCAGAGTCAGTTTAGGGTAGTACCATACCGATATTTGCACGATCGATGAAACAGAACAGATAGAGGAGAGCAACGGTCGGGACAATGTATAGATCAATCTTCAAGCGAAGTCTTCGCTCAGCAGCTGGGTCGAACTGCACTAGCGACCGGCCATGTCTTTACAGGCGGTGAGCTTTTGATCTAGACAGGTGGCAAGGAGGAATAGGTGCTTACCTGTCAGTTGCTGTTTGGCCTCGCTCAGCGGCATTGCGGAAGGCCTCTCCATCCCCAAAGAGAGGGGTGTCCTTAGTCGAGACTTCTGGAGATTCCTCTATATGCTTGCCTAGCTGCTTTTCCTCGATGTCGTGGGCAGTAACGGCCATCTTCGTCGTCGCTTTTTAGTTGTTACAGGTGAAGGTGTAACAGAGAAGCTGCGAGGGAACTTTGAGCTTTAAATGGGCAATCCTAGGAGGGGGAGGCTATAGAGCCGGGGCCACGACTTAGAAATAGATGAATGATAATCCGGCAAATCTTTCGGGATGTGTACCGGGAGTTCTAGATCTGTTAAACCCTTATGCGGGGGAGGAGTAAGCTGTCTGCAGTACGGTAATGCAGTAGTGCAAGGCACTAGGGGCCGGGGCCAAGGAGCGGGGAAGCGGGGAAGGTTTGACAGCCAATCCATCACCCAGTAATTGCAATTCTTGGCATGCTAAGCCACGTGAATATTTGAATACTGATGATGCCCCTTGCGTATGAGTTCCAGTATTCGGACACCAGTGTCCAGTATTCGGACACCAGCGTCCAGTATTCGGACACCAGTGTCCGAATACTGGAACTCCTTCCGTATTGCCATGGGGTGCTGTATACACAGTATTATAATGCTAACCTCGAATATGACGCAGCTGACAATAATGATTTGAGTCATCTTTCATTTAAAATAAAATAGCTAATGTCAAATCCAACCGCACGACTCTCCTACATCAACTTAAGTCCAACAACCAGACCATCCCGAAGTCCTATAGACTCAATCACAGAGACTTATCTCCCTTCACAAACCTAGTGTACACTGTGCCATCGCCAAGCGTTTCTTTTCTCTCAACCCATTCAAATCCGCCCACATAAGGGATGAGAACACGCCATACAGCCCAGTACACAACTCCGCCCAAAAGGATCGCGATGCCGACGAGAGGATACACCCAGTATGGGATTGGAGGAGTGTCTCCGATCCCGCCAGGAGGACGCAGGAAGGGTGCCACTAGTAAGAAGCATTGGCCAGCCAGGAAGAACAGGGGAACGACAAGCCAAGGTTTAAATGGCCGAGGGAGATTGGGAGCTTTCCACCTGAGGATAAACAGCCCCACCACAACAAACAAGTTGACGACGGCGCCTGGGTAACCCTCAACATCAAGTATGAAGATGTACGCTGTGCCGGCTGGGAAGGCAACAATGACAATTAGCGACGGGATAAAATGGAGTAGTAATCCTGCCGAGGGACTACCAACTGGCCAGTTGGAGGCCCAGAAACGTGGGAATGGTATGACACCTTCTTTGGCAAGTTCCTGGTTTACACGGCTCTGCGCAAACGTGACCGTTAGAACGTTTCCCAGAGCACTAAGAGCAACAAAGACGGATATGACGCGCTGGGCTGTGTGGCCAAAGACCTTGAGTGCGAAGTACGACGCGACCGTGATGCCTGACTTGGAAATCTCTTCCGGCGTTGCCGCAGCGAAGTAAGCAACATTTGCGAGGAGATAGAGGACACCGCAGATACCGAGGCCCAATGGACCGGCAATTTTCAGGGTGTGGACGGGCCGGCGCACTTCGTTGAGGACGTATGCCGCGTTACTCCAGCCGACGTAAGAATTCAGAACCTTGAAAAGTGCCGTGGCATAGGGTCCGGAGCTATGCACGGAACCAGCGAATGCGTTACGGAAGGACGCGTTAGGGTCAGGAATCGTGTCAATGCGACCAGAGAGGACGACCCATCCAGTCTGAAGGTCAAGTTAGACAGTAGATCCGAGACCTCCAAATATACAAACTCACCACAATGATGAATACCAGGATGATAATTTTCAGACTGCTCAAGGCATTCATAGCCCACACGCCTATCTTTGGCGTGAAAGTGTGAACGGCAGTAACGACAACGAGGACTCCAATGGCAACGCCGCGTTGCTGCCAGGGAGATGCAACAAGGCCAGCTGCCACCCAGATGTTTGAAGCAAAGACTATGCATCCGCTAGCTGTAAACCCAAGCAAGATGGCCTGTGTACTGAAGATCACAGTAGCAAGGAACTTCGGGCGTTGATACACAGCTTCAAGGTATACCTTCTCACCTCCAGACCGAGGAAACATGCATCCAAATTCGAGCCATACAAGCAGGCCGGAAAAGGACAAGAGCAGACCAAGGACCCAAAGCATCAGTGCCGCGCCCACGCTTCCCACACTCCCTGTAATGCTTGCAGGTGTGCTGAAAATGCCAGTCCCAATTATCCTACCAATGCTAGATGCGCGTAAGCACAGACAAGGGTCGAGGTGTGGCCGCGGTCCATGGCATCCTCGCCTAGGCGCCAGCATGGAGGGACAACAGGATGCGAGAGAGCGTCTTACTCACATCAGGAAAGTCGTACTCCATAGTCCTAGGTGACGCCCTAAACCACCAGCAGTGGCTTCGTCGAAGTTCAGCTCTCCCGGGTGGAGAATAGCATCTGCTTCAGGGACGTCATTGGTCGTCACCCCGCCATATTTTTGCTGCTCATCGCTAGAGACTGGGGTTACATCCGCCGACGGTGTCACCGAGGTGCTCCGATGCGAGAAGATATTGTGGAAGGGGGCCGTTAGCTTAGACATGTTGTCCACGGGCACATGATCTACTGCTCAGAGAAGGTGATTTGCGTCTCCGAGTAATGGCGGGAAGAGAGACTATAGGGATCAGCACCTCGAGGTATATCCTCACCTTGGGGTCCTTGGGCTCATCGGCACTTTATGTAGCCAACACTCGTGGATCCGAGCATGCAAGTGTCCATGACGCCTTTTTAGGCCGTTGCGTCGCAAGCAGTGGTGATACAGCAGCAATATGCATACGTGACATCATGTCGTGCTATATGATAACTCAAACCCTCCACATATCAGTGATCAAAATAGGTATTCCATTTTATTTAGTCCCATCTAATCTTCTATATGTTCAGCCCACGGCTTGTGATAAGGCAAAACACTTCTGGATATGGGGGAGGAAAGGGCAAGCCTTGCCAAGCACGCCATCACCCTTGGCGATAACGAGCACCCTCTTTCGCTCCTCCTCCCATCCTTCACTCAGATCCTATCATAGTAGGTTTTTTTTAGATCTCCCACTAATGCGTCTTGATGGGTCTCAAAAGCAACTACGAGGCATTAAAAATGCGTTGGTTAGGTAATAGTTGATATCCTCTGAGATAAAATGACATCGTTGTCAGGCATTAAAGGGGATATACTGACATCGGAAACTCCGTTCAACTACCGTCGTTCATAGTGATTTAACACCTCCATTCTTATAATAGCTGCTATAAATACAACTATTTCATACAGTGATTTAACGCCTCCATTTTGATAATAATTACTATAAATGCTATCATTATATACAGTTATTCAACACCCTAATTTTAATGATAGTTACTTAAACACTACTTTTATACATAGCAATTTAACATCTTCATTTAGAGAATAATTACAAAACACTACTTTCACATAGAATGACTAAACACCTTCATTTTAGCAATAGTTGTTTTAAATGCTACTATTTTATACCTTGATTAATTAGAGACAGCACGAGAATTGTTTTTCATTCGTCATCATCCATATCAGTGTCACTATCACCACTATAATCTGACATGGACTCTGGTAAATCTGTTAGTATTACGTTTCGAAGGCTTGATTGATGCAAAACAAGCAAAACATACCATCGTCACTAAGACTATCACCATCTGGCGTAGTCACAACCACATCCGATATGAGATTATTCACGAAAGTCACCATGTCGCTGTGTACAGAGCACACCCTTGTAACGTTAGGCTCTCCAGATTGGCCAGGCGGAAGCTTGAATCCCACCCGCATGTGCCGAGTCCCAACCACTTGACCAATACAGCCAACAGAGAGATAGTCTAGGCCTGGGAGCTTGGCAAATAACTTGGGCCACACGGCGACTCTCTTCCCATCTTGTCGCTCCAGATACTCAGGCTTCAGGTCTATCTTCCAGAGACTGAGCGACCGTAGGCTTGGCTTGAACTTATGGATAATAGCAAGCAGAACACGGGGTGATATGGTAAGCATCCCAAAATCCAGCCTTCGGAGGTGGGAAAACGCAACTGGGTCTGGTGACTTGGGTAGTTGAGGTCCTGGGGACGGATTCACGGGGCCGGCATGGACTACGGGACGGCCCAGCCAGACCATGAATCGTTGGGGTTCGGAATGAAGCGCAGACAGGAAATTGAGGCGGAGATGCGTGAGATTGGGGGTCTGGCAGAGATAGCGCCTGAGGGGGAAATCGGGATGTTCCACGCCTGGGTCATCGTCAGTCCCGTTGTCGACCTCGGGCAACTCAGGGGCAATAGTCAAGAGAAGCGTCTTGAGGCTGGATAAGACAGGTGTGACCGAAGGTTCAAAGAATTTGCGTATCTCGAAGGCATTGTAAGGGAGCCCCAAGGCCGCTTTTCTCAATAAAATCTCGAAGGCTTGCGGCTTGGCGCCTGATTGGCCCAGCGCGTACAGAATCGACGAGAGAGTTCGACTGGCAAAGCGAGTATCTTCTTCTGTTGCGTACATGCCACGGCTATCGAGCAAGCGAATTCCTACTTCTTGGAATATAGTAGTAGCGCCGTAGCTGTGCCATTGGCCATTATCGCGGACGCGCCCTCCCGAGCTGTAGTCCCTCAGCCCTACTGTTTGGAGATTAGGCAGATTCCGGAAGGCTTGGGATAGCATATCCCGGTCTTGTCCTGTACTCAACAGGGCTTGCTCATCAGCGAGTCCGGCGTCGTATCGGTCTGCGCGTGCATTTTGGCTGCGAATAGGCGGATAGTGGCAGTCTTTGAAGTTATCCAGGCCGATAATAACGTGACTTAGAAACTGTGACAGTCTCTGGTGGTTGGATATGTCGATCAAAACCTGCAGGCTTGTCTCGGAAAGCATAAACTGCCTCTTGCTGAAGAATTCCCTGCCAAACGTTTCGAAGAGCGACGCTTCGGCGTACCTGCAGGTAAGGCGCAGTGAACCAAGATCGGGAGTGGAGAGATAAGATGATACCTGGAGGAAGACCTCGAGGGGCATCTGTCGGACGAGAGATGGAGAATCCATGGCTACTGTGATCAACAGTGGGATGGTTACTATGATCAGCAGCAGCAGTGGATGATGGGTGGTTTTAAAGAGACCATGACAATAAATGATGGTGCATAAACAACGCTGGTGTTGGCAGGCAGACGTGCTGCCTAATTGTTTGGTGAACCGTGTCGTGGGGAAAGTGCGACTAAAGGTCCCTGGAAGGCCCGTGCGGGAACGTCATTATGGGACTTTATAACAATCCCCAAATGAAATTAACGTCTCTCAACCACAATAAGAGGGGATCGCTTTAACTACAGACCATAAGAGATTAAACAGAAGCAAATAAACATCAGCACAATACACACTCTTAAGTATTACGGCACGGGACATGTTATTTTAGATAAGTTTCCTCCTGGCCTTATTAAACGTAATCTACCAGCTTCTACTAGCTATGTTCAGTAAACATATTCAAAGTTTGGGTTCTGCTTATCTGTCATATCAGTAAAGGCCGTATCGTTAAGATCGTTGTTCTCCATCCCCCCGTTTGCCCTCAACTCTGCACGTTGCCTCTCCTTGACTCTGTTTTCGCGTATAAAAGAGTAACGTAAGACGAAGAAGAGAACAAGCTCAATGATGTTGGCAACAAGCAACGAACCGATGCCTAGGGGGTATTTTGGGGCTTGCTCTGTTTTATAGAAAAATGGCGAGGCAATATTGCCGATGCATGCGCCAAACCATATCATGCCTGACACGATCATCTTCTTGGATTGCCCGCCCGTGTTCGACGTGATCAGTGACAAGCTAAGCACGAATGAAGCTTGATACGAGCCGGTCAGGTAGCTAAAAAGATGTCAGATTATAGACCAAGAAATGAGACCAAGTGGGCTTCAACTTACAAGCAGATGAGACGGCCGACATAGGCATTTGTAGGAGCGAGCAGAAACCCCAATGCACCGGCGATAGTCGGGATCATGAATAATGCGCAGATGATAGTGCGACTATTCTTCGGCATATATCTGTTGCAGACCGCAGCCAACCCAATCCAAATCACCACGATGACTCCTTGGGGGATTCCAAGAAGAGCGGTGTTCAAGGTATTGAAACCCAGGCCCTTGATCACAAGAGTCGAGAAGTTGGAAATGCCGCCATTGGGGATATTGCTCACGAATCCAAGCAAGGTAAAAAGCCAAGTCTTGTAGTCAAGATAGGCTTCCTTGATCTGCGACCAGTTGATGCGACGTTGTTCGACACCCGTTTGGTTCCTTCTCATGCGAGCAATCATCAATAGCTTCTCGTCGTAGGAGAAGCCCCGGAAGGTGACGGGCGAGTTGGGCAGAAGGAGGCATAGGATGGTAGCCCAGAAGGCACAGGCTGCGCCCACGACAATGAACTCGTATCTCCATGATTGGAGAGCTCCTTTGATGTTACCAATGCCGTAGCCTGCGAGGAGTTAGCGATGTGTTTGGTTCTAGCGTCTCAGAGACTAACCGATCAATCCACCCCCAGCCACTCCAATGCCATTCCACATGTACCATGCGGCGATGCGTGATGGCTGTTCGGCTCTCGTATAATACATCGACGTGATCATCATAAATGCCGGATCGGCGATAGCTTCGAAAGCCCCCGACAGGATTCTAAGCGCAGCTAACGTAGCGAAGTTGTTCGCAGCTGCTTGAACCATTAATAATACTCCCCACATGAAGATGTTAAATGAGAGATACCATGCAGGCGGGCATCTCTGCATAATCAAGTTGGACGGAATAGCCCAAAAAAGCCATCCGAAATAGAACAATGATGACAGCCACGAGTACTGGTCTTTTTGCAAGTGAAGATCATCTTTAATACCAAAGATGGCTGCGTACGACAGAGTTGTCTTGTCGACATACTGTAGATGGCGAGGTTCACGTTAGCTACTATCTCGCGTGTAATCGGTAATAGGAAAGAATGACTCAATACGTACATAGAAGAAGTAGCATATTCCCAACAAAGGTAATATACGTCTGTCAAGCTTACGCTTAAGCTTCTTCTCGTCTATCTGGTCTATAGACTCATCGTTTGGGTATCTTGCGAGAGCCTCTGCATATATGCTATGTGGTCCATTGATGTTGCGCTCTAGCTCGTCTGCGCTCTTGATGTCGACCGTGTCTCCAGCATTACTCTCGTGCTCAAAAGCCTGGTCCTTTTCATCCTTGTTTATAGTAGCTGACATATCGGTGACTATGCAGCTGTAGCGTAATAATTTACTAGCTTGCAATGCCGATTTCCTTCTCTAAGCGTCAATCAAACTTGCAAAAAGGAATATGAATACAGCCAGCCAAAGTACTTATAGCTTTGCCATGTCATGGTAAATAAATGTAGACTGATCTACATACCCACTAAATCCCCTCTCTCCCCATGGAGAAATCGTTCTCCTCACATGGGGTAGCTTCGCGTGGGGAAGTTGACAGTCGACCTCACCCCACTAAGCGTATTCATTGTGGGGGATCACCCCTCGGCAGGAGAGGTGCCTAACGATTGGGACACCACCCACCAAAGCCGTTAGCAACTACAGAGGATAATGAGGGAGCAGAAGTATATACGCGTGCGTCCGTCAACCGATAAATGACCGTAAAGCTGTAATTTAGTCGATAAGTTCATGCCCAGATGAAATTTGGCTACTTCCTGGTTGTCGGAATGTTGCCGAGACGCGGCGGTGCACACCCGCACCCTGCCATCTCAGCCGTCGGCACATAAACGGCATGCAAACTCGGCATATACCTACCCTTAAGGTCCCAAACGGAAATAATATTTCCAAGTAATTATCCTCCAATAGGAAGTTGTTAGGAGTCCTGTGTCTTTTATTGCACATTGCTTTCCCGTCTATCCCGTAACTCCCAATGCGCCGTACATATCACAGTATCGTCAGACGGACAGTTATGTTCGGCAGCTTAAGATGATATGGCATCGGCTATGGCATCGGATATGCATAGCCGATGCCATATCATCTTAAGAAGCTTGAATATAGTTCGTTTAGGTTCGGAGGTTTAGTTCTATCGCTAAATCACACGATCTTCATAAATGTAATCACTACTCTATATTCTGCCAGTGACTTAGCCTCTTAAGGTTTGTTTGGGGTCTATGGTCGTATGCAGTAGATACACAGCCGGTTGACAATAAGTACCAGTATACCGTTAAAATGGTATACAAACAATAGTTGAAGATCGCGCCGAGTGTGGTGACTAACGAAGGGGAAAACGGAGGGAACACCGAGAGTATAGCGGAGGAGAGGAGTTAGTGGGGAGAGTGGGGAGAGTGGGGATAGTGGGATTGGTAATGCGTTGTTGGGGGAGCTGGGGGAAGATACGGATGAGGGATGGAAGGAGTGGATGGAGGATGATGAGTTTTAAAACAGGGGGGATCCTGAGTCTCTGGTGGTGAAATATCAACATAGGAGGAGTTCATAGTGTGGATGGAGAGATGGTCTTTATAAGAGCTGGATCGCTTTCTGGTGCGGATGGGATAGGATCTTTACAATGGCGTTCTAATGACAATAGTAGTATTTACAGCAACTGTTATTAGAATAGAGCAACTGTTATCAACACGAAGGCGTTTAAATTACTGTCTAAAATAGTAACGTATTTCACATGCGAGTGACGCACACAAGCGAGTGACGCACTGGATTCCTCACTAAAAATTAAGTATTCTAGAAGGAAATATCTCAACAACAGCTGAATGAAATATTTTAAAAATAGAGATCTAGTCCTTCTTATACATTTAGATTCGTTTTTTGTTAAACTTAAAGTAAATAGTTAAGAGGTTGTTTAGGTGTAAGGGCTTAGGTTGAATTTAAGTGCTAAGAATTACTAATCTAAAGATCCACTTAATACTATTATTTCAAAACTCTTAGGATAGAAATTTAATTGTATACAAAAGACCAGCTATACATTTTTAAGTATATAATAAGCCTGTTGTTGAGATATTTCGTTCTAGAATACTTCATTTTTGGTGAGGAATCCAGTGCGTCACTCGCTTGTGTGCGTCACTCGCATGTGAAATACGTTAATATTTACAGCAACTGTTATTAAAACGAGGAAGCTAAATTACTGTATATAATGGTAGTGTTTACAGGAACTATTATCAAAATAAACGAGTTAAATCACTATGCATGACAGTAGTTGAACGGAGTTTTGGATGTCAGGGTTGTGCAACAGATACACCCTTTGTGATGATGAACCTCGCAAACGGAGCGAAGACAAAATATCTAGAATTAGCTTAGAGCAAGGTTTGGAGCAGAGCAAGAGAGCTATGTTTAAGCTACAGATAGCTTCAATAAAACCTTGGCGTTTCAACCCCCCCAGACTCCCGTTCAAGAATACATCCAGCCAATATTTCTCGCCCTCACATCTTGATTCGGAACAAATATCGAAGTCGAACCTGAGCGACATCATAGCAGATATACTCGTTGTACATAAGGTACGCATCTTTAACATCAGTAGCTCCCGGCATAATCGTCGTATCAGGCTGAGAAAAGTCACGGGTTAGTTTGGAGGAAACAAAAAGGGACGGAGAAAGGAAACGTTTGAAATACCATTAGAATTCCATCTAAAGACGGATTGACGCAATTAGCATCCTTCCACGCCTTGGGTCCAGTCATGCCTTGGCCCCATGTAGATAGCAATCCCTTACTCGTGGCATCCTCGCTGGCGCTGTACGAGGCATCAGTCAATGCTTGCATGGGTTTGCCCAATTCCGCCTCGCATAGTAGAAGGAGAGCGTGGCCGCCAGAAATGTACGGGCAGCAGTAGTTGGCTGACTTGGAGGACATGTCGGCCAGATAGATTCCCTTTCCGAACATGTAGCCCGACACCGGTGCTTCTGGGGGAGCGATGCGTAGCCCCTGGCTGAGAATTCCAGCAAAGTTGGTGCAGCGGGATCCATGCCACAGGAGACGTCGATCACCGGCTACGCTTGCAAAGTCGCCTTTCTCGAACCGCTCTTTTTCTCCCTCACGTTCAATCCTGAAAATCTGCTCCACCTTACAGTTGAGATTGTGGGTTGAGCCTCGAGTGCTGAGTAGATAATTCTTCAACTCTCCAAATTCGCTGCTTTTTGGGCCAAGAGGTGTCATCTCTTGTATTCCCAGGCCCTGAAACTGCCTGTCCAAAAGATTGATTTGCTCGGCATCCCGATCCTTTGGCTTCATGATGAGAGCTGCATCCTTCATATCCCCAAGGCTCTCCAGAAGCTCTATCTCTTTCTTGAGCAATTCCGTAGACCGAATGATGGGTGGTCGATTACGACCAAACGCGTGGGGGATGACTGTATAGTAAAGATTCGAAAAATGCTCAGTGGCGTCATTATAATTCATGTCATAGCTGGCGGCCAATGTTGGGTCATCGAGAAGAGCAGCGAGGTCCTTGAGTGTTTGAAAACCACGAGTAATCGTGGCCTTGCTAAGCTTTCCAAGAGGAAGCTTGTTCGCATCGTAGTTAAGATCACTCATTGCAGCGTCGAAGTATTGTTGATTGAAAATCAGCTCCATCAACTGCTGCGTTGCAGGGTGAAGTGTTGACTCGGGGATCACCAATTCATCATCAGGTTCGTTCTTGACTCCGTTCGTTTTGGCATCATCTTCATCATCATCATCGGAATCAGAGCAGTAGTTGCGTTCGATAAACGCATATTTGCCCGGTTTGGGATCTTTTCTTCGGTCAGTCCACGCAAGGCCGGATTTGTCTTTGAACTTCTTCTCAAAATGACGGATAGCATCTTCCAGAGTCCCACTACCAAGATATGCGCTCTGGCCATGTTCGCCAACTCGGCCCCACCTCGTCCAGGTCTTAAAATCTCCCCCATTGCGATTTCGTTGAACCTGCAGCAAGTCAACAAACATTCGAAAGATCCCTAGGAATCGCACGGACCTGAACGCGATAGAACTTGTTATTGTTGGCAGTTGCATTGGCTTGATTCAAGGAGGCATCATAAATGATACCGTCATCATGAATGTAGACATCATAGCTGAGATTACAGCCATCATCAAGCGGAATCTTCACATCGAGTGACTTTGCAACCTGGCCATCTGTGATCCGGCCGCTCTTGGCTTCGGTCTCGGACTTAACTTCGGCCTTCAGTTTAGTTTGGGTCTTGACTTTGACATCAGCCTTGCCTGCCGTCTTAGCCTTGACATCGACCTTGCCCACGGTCTTGGAATCATTAGAACTCTTCTGCTTTTTGGTCGGAGGCTTCACATTCTCGTCAGCAGATATGTCTGCTGAAGGTTCCCGCTTTAGAAGGCCGTTAGACTGCGAGGGGACATCGAAAAGCAATGATGTGAACAGATAATTTTTCTCGGGCACTTTGGAGTTGCTCGCAACGCATTCCTTGACCCAATCATAGTTAATGATTTGTACGTTTTTCTCTAGAGCCGCTTTCACTTTCACAGAGGGTTTGTCGTAGTCACGTTGGACTGTAACGAGATGGGTGGTGCTGTCGGCGATCGATCCGGCAAGATCTGCACCAAGGCCGGCAAGTTGAGCCTGAATCACACCATGAGACCCAGCTGAAAAGGTGCCACTCAATGCGATATTGCAGCCAATTAGTGGTTGTGGTTGTGGTTGTGCCTTCTTCTTGGGCGGCATTTTGTGCACTATCGGTACACACGGTATCGATTAGGGGGTGAGAATCAAATAGATTGAACAATTGAGGAGTTGGGGATTGGGATTGAGGACTGGAATTGAGGATTGGAATCGAAGATTGGAATGAGGAATGAGGAATGAGGACGAAAGGTTGACCAAGAGAGAAGAAGTCAGAGGGAATTGGGAGTGGGGAGTTGGCAAGTATTTGGTACCCGGGGGATTTCGCATGGCGCAGGCAGCAGCTCGCGCCTGCCTGGAATAATATGTGACCAAAGTCGCGAACAGTGCGCGCGATCACGTGATATACATTCCCCCCCTATTACGATTGCACCACCATCATTAGATGGTCTTGTGAGTATTGAGTAGCTAATTATTCTAATGTGATAGAATATGGAATAACGTACAGTGTCGCCCAGAAGGGTGAAGAAGGAGTTTTGCTGTGGGAAGTTATGTGCAACAAGTGCGTGCAATAAGTGTTCGCCTTGCTCTGGGAACAGTTTGCACAAGCGTTCAAGAAGCTTTGGGGGGTGGAATATTCAGCTTATAAAACTCATCGTATTAACTAAAATCTTGTCGGTTTCTTCACTATAGGTTGATGTTATAGGTCAGTTGGAATTGGGGAAGTTGTAGTTGAATTACCCCTCATCTACACTACTTAACGCCTCTCCTTTCCCTTTTCCGCCCCCTTTCATACGTTCATCCTCAGTTTCTCCTGGAAGCTGCTCTCCGGCATTTAAACTCTGCTTTTCACTGCTCTTTGCCTCCTCGGCCCACGGCGGATCCCCATCCTCATCAAACACCGCCCACTCAAAGAACTTACACCCCTCCTTCCCCGGCACATACCCCGCATAACACATCCACATATACTTCCCCCTATTCCCCGCCTGCCTCTGCACAACGCGCAACACTGTCGGCACACCGCACCCACATTTGGGCGTGAAGCGTGGGTGCAGATTCGCCTTGTAGTGGCGATATGTGATGTTAATCCGCTTGTTCCCCGAGATTGGGTGCGGGGAGATGGTTCGCGCGGGAGCGATGCTGTGCTTCCACTCCTCTTGCATGGAGGCGTGCATTACGAGAAGCGAGTTGTGTGGGAGATGGATGGAGAGCTGGCCTTGGGCATCTGCTTTGGCGTCGGCGCGCTTGCGAGCTGCGTCACTGTCGCCACTGTCGTCGTCTTCCGTCGCGATGATCTTGCGAACACGAAATTCTCGCGCCACTCCGAGACTGAGACTCCCAATCACGGGGCGCGGACCAAGGTAGGTGAGATGGTCGGAGTGGTAGCCGACGCTCTCGCGGGGTCCGTCATAGCAGTTCACGAAGGCGGTGTTCGGGACCCAGGGGTGAGGGGATTGGTGGTGGAGTTTTTGGCCGGTGGGGGAGGACCGTATACGCCTCGTAATTTCCTGATTGACAGTTTCGCGCACCTTGTGGGAGGCATCGCGCATACGGGGGAGGCTGCGGCGGACATCCTGTGGGCCGTCAGTGGGGTGTCTAGGGCAGGAAAGAAGGGCTGACTGAGGCCGATTGCACATGGGAGACGTAGAAGGCTAACCTCGACATTTTTTCCGTCGTAGACATATTGTGTCTTCTGCATTTCTGCATCGTCCCAACTATCCACATAGAGGCAGAAGGTATGCGGGCTCGAGACTACTCTATCAAACAGCTGAAACGTGTTCGTCTTGTAGGTCGGCGACTCGTCTACTAATTCCTGGAGTAATGCATCTGCTTCTTCTGAGGGGAGAAAATTGTAGATTATAGAACACGGCGTGTGGGCTTCAATATCCTCGGGGGTGTACAGGTGGATTGTTTTTCCCCTTTTCGTTAATTGTTTTATGGTAGCCCCATCCTTCCCGGTCCTAGTGATGGACGAGAGCGATGACTGGTAACTTGTTGCTGAAGCTGCTGGCCTCTTTTTAGGTGGAAGTTTTAGACACTCTAGTGCACGTTCGACAGAACCTTCAGAGGCCAGTAATGTCTCCAGCAGCGTTCCTTCGTCCTTCTCGGGATGGAGAGATATTAAAATAGACAATTTATAATCTGTCGACTCAACTTCATTAAAATCAGTTGAGCCGCGAAGGTCACATTTAGGATCCCGCGGAGGCACTTCGTTTGAAACGGACGATCGTCGCCGCTTCCTAGATATAAACGTTTCCATGGCTCAGAAATAGAGAGTTGATGGTTTGTGAGAAGACAGGCCGCCCTGGTGGTTGGAATACGAAACATACGCGTAGTCATGTGACTAACAATAAACTCTTTATCATCTACTTCGGGTTTAGCGCGCGATACACTAGCGCCGATATTTCGGATTTTGGATTTTGGATAAGCGGCCCGCGAGACTTTTTCATATATTTTCCCCCAGCAGACGTCGAGGATAACGACGAAAGTCAACGTCCACACATCGCAACACAACAACATATAATACCAACTATACAACGACCTGTACGAATACATACATAATCATAACCATGGTCCAAAAAAGGAAGCGCAGCAATGTCGAGGAGGAGCCCGCCGAGGCGTCCGTCCCAGCAGCAATTGAGGCTTCCCCATCTCGCTCACCTTCTCCTCCTCCCCCAGCCGTCGCTGGCGATCTCGCAAATCTGCAGTTACCACCCGCGACCACAGGCGACGACCCGACGACTTTTGCGCAGCTGAACCTCTCCCCAAAAACCGCGGCCGCTATCGCGGAAATGGGCTTCACTACCCTGACGCCAATCCAGCAGAAGTCGATCCCACCTATCCTGGCGGGGCGTGACGTGCTTGGCGCTGCGAAGACTGGCTCGGGAAAGACATTGGCATTTTTGCTGCCGGCGATCGAGATGATGCAGGATCTCAGGTTTAAGCCTAGGAACGGAACTGGTGTGATTGTGGTATCACCGACGAGAGAGTTGGCGCTGCAGATGTTCGGTGTTGCAAGAGAGATTATGGGCACGCATTCGCAGGTATGTAATTTTAATTTTTTGGAACTCAATTCGAAGTGGGATGATTTGCTAACGAACTACTCAGACGTGCGGTATTGTGATGGGTGGTGCCAACAGATCCGCTGAGGCGACGAAGCTGGCGACGGGAATCAACCTTCTGATCGCTACACCAGGGCGCCTGCTCGATCACCTCCAGAACACGAAGGGATTTGTGTACAAGAACCTGCGGATGCTCGTTATCGATGAGGCCGATAGGATCCTTGACGCCGGTTTCGAGGATGAGATGCGCGCCATCGTCAAGATTCTCCCAGAGTCGAGACAAACTGCTCTTTTCTCTGCGACACAGACAACCAAGGTTGAGGATCTCGCGAGAGTGTCGCTCCGCCCAGGGCCTCTGTACGTTAACGTTGAGGAGGAGACTAAGCACAGTACCGTTGAGGGCCTTGAGCAGGGCTACATCGTGTGCCCGTCTGAGTTGCGCTTCAGGCTGCTATTCACAGTGTTGAAGAAGCACCTCGCGAAGAAGAAGAAGATTATTGTCTTCGTATCGAGCTGTAACTGCGTGAAGTACTACGAGGAGCTGCTCAACTACATTGACCTCCCGGTCTTGGCCCTTCACGGCCAGCAAAAGCAGCAGAAGCGTACGGCAAATTTCTTCAGTTTCGTAAATGCAACTGAGGGTGTGCTTATCTGCACTGATGTCGCAGCGCGTGGTCTTGATGTACGTTTCCCCCATCCCTTACTACAATTGCTAGTAAAACTACGTCTACAAATACTAACACACCCCAGATCCCAGCCGTAGACTGGATTATCCAATTCGATGCCCCCGATGAGCCCCGCAACTACATCCACCGTGTCGGCCGTACCGCTCGTGGCACCAACGGAAAGGGAAAGTCCTTCCTCGTCCTGCACCCCAGCGAAGTTGGCTTCATCCAATACCTCACCACCGCTCGCGTCCCGCTCGTCGAGTACAACCTCCCGAAACTCATCAACATCCAGGCTCAGCTCGAGAAGTTGATCTCGTCCAACTACTACCTCAACCGCACAGCGAAGGAGGGCTTCCGCAGTTACTTGGCGGCATACGCGGCGCACAGCTTGCGCACGGTGTTTGATGTACAGAAGTTGGATTTGGCGGCTGTGGCAAGGAGTTTTGGGTTCACGACACCACCGAAGGTGGATATTGTGTTTGGTTCGAGGATGGCAAAGGATAAGAGGCCAGTGAAGAGGAGAGCGTATGGAAGCCAGCCGAGGCAGAAGGCTTAGAGGGGTTGATTTGGTGATGGGGGAGGTGATGGGAATGAGGGAGTAGGCGTTGAGGCGATAGAATAAAAGATTGGGAAGGCTGAATGAGAGGGCCTACGATGAAAGTAAGCTATGAAGTGGAAGTATGGACTGTTGATGCACTGTAGCGTAGCCAAATATTGGGAATGGATTCACTTTTCACACGATTCGCGCGTTTGCGTGAGAAGGCAAAATCGGTTGTGAAGGGAGCTCGGGAAAAATTATAACAGATGAAGTTCGTAACTACAACTATATCGCGATCGCATCTTCAATATATCAGATCTTTTCCTTCGATATCAATTTCACGGTCATCGAATTCCGACCAAGCTTTTTCGTACGGAGAGGTTGGCGTTACTAGAGCACCCCCCTGCTGTACCCTGTACCTTCACTGCGGGGAGCCTCGGCTCAACGGTCGATCGCCCCTCCCCGCTTCCAGGTACCCCATATCTCACATTTGAACCGCTGACATCAGGTGCGACATATAAAATCCTGCCTTCTCATCACACACCTATCTCCACCATACCAAAGCAAAGCAATTAACCTCACAGGACAAACCCGCAACCCAACCCGACCCAACCGCATAGAACCCATCAACCCGTCCTCCTTCAACCTCCACACGCAAACAATGTCCTCCTCCCTCCCCCCCCTCCCCCTCTCCGCCTTCGCAACCCCACACACCTTCAACCCCCCCTCCAACAGCCGCATCGCCTACCACCTCTTCACCCCCCCCTCCCCCCCAAAAGGCACCATCCTCCTCCTCCACGGCTTCCCCGACCTCCCAGCCGGCTACCGCCACCAGATCCCCGCCCTCCTCGCCCTCGGCCTGCGCGTCCTCCTCCCCGCCCTCCCCGGCTACCACCCCTCCGCCGCCCCCACCGATCTCGCGCCCTACACCCTTCGCTCCATCTCCCGCGACCTCGCCGCCCTAGCCGCACACCTCGGCTGCAGCGAGGGCGGCGTCTACGTTCTCGGACACGACTGGGGAGGAGCCCTGGCGTGGCGTCTCGCGCTGTGGGAGCCGCAATTGGTGAGGGGGATGGTGGTGGTGTGCACGCCGTTCGATTCGCCCAAGCCTGGATCACCCTACGTGCCGATTGAAGATCTAGTCGCCGGGCCGCTGCCGCAGTTCGCGTATCAGCTCACGCTGGCGAGTGGGGAGGTGGAGAGGAAAGTGCGGAGTCTGGAGGAGGTGAGGGGGTTCTTGAATGCGGTTTATGGCGGGAGGAGTCGGGAGGGGAAGTTCGGGTTCGATGCTACTGGGGGTGTGGATTGGGGGTTGATTCTGAGTGGGGGCCTGGCGAGGACGACGCTGATGAGCGAGGCGGAGTTGGAGTACTATGCGAGGACGTATGCGGCCGGGGGTGGGATGAGGGGCCCGCTGAATTGGTATCGCACTAGGAAGCTGAATTGGGAGGATGATAAGGAGATTAAGTGGGATGGGAAGATGAAGGTGCCTACGCTATTTTTGCAGGCGAGTAATGATATGGCGTTGCCGGTGTGGATGGCGAAGGGGATGGGGAGGCATTTTGAGGACTTGAAGACGGTGCAGGTGCCTGGGACGCACTGGGTTTTGGTGCAGAAGGCGGAGGAGTGTAATAACCACATTGGGGCATTTTTGAGCGGGCAGATGGCAAAGGAGAAGGCAGCGGAGAGCAAGCTGTAAGCAGACAGACTTGGGCATGGGAAATTACAACTGGAACTGGATCTTGGATGGGAGTTTTGAAGGGTATCGATATCTATTATATGCTATGCTAGGTCTAGCTAGTAAAATACACGACCAAAAAGCCGACCCAACTGCCCACGACCCCAACGGCCGCATACGAGCTCGTGAACATGAGGGGCAGGAATTCGTACTTGGCTCCCCAGACTAACCCATGGACGAGGGAACAGTACGCGACGAGCGGAATACTGACTGCGATATACAGGAGAGAGAAGCGATCGAGGAGGAACACGCGCGAGCGGTCCGACGCAGGGGCTAGGTGATCAAAGGCGAGGAGGAATACCAGCAGCCAAGCAAGGGTGTAGAGGACCTTGATGGGAAACTCGGCCGGAGTGTAGAGGAGGGGAAAGAGGGAGACGTGGCCAGCGACGGCGAGGGGGCGGAAGGCACCCAAGTAGCGGCGATCGCGGAGGGCGATGAGGGAGGCCGGGATGAGGATCAGCAAGATAGCTTTCTCGTGGACGTGCCAGCCGAAGAGGAAGGAGGCGTAGGCGCAGAGGGTGGTGGCGCCGATGAAGGTGGGCCAGGTGGGGTCGGTGAAGAGGCGGATGAGGGGGATGATTTGGAAGACGATGGTGAGGGCGAAGGTGGTTGAGGGCGTGATGGGGGGGAGGACCGCGAAGGCGGTGTCGCCTACGAGACCGCGGGTTACGCTTTGGAGGGCGGAGGCATCGACGGGGAGGCCGATGTGCGGGGCGACTTTGGGGGGTTAGTGGGGGGGGAAATAACAAGAGGAGGACGGGAAGGACATACCGTAGATCAAGACGCGGTCTGTGAAGGAGTACATAGCCCACACATTCGGAGCCCAGTACGCATGGCACAAGCCCCTCGAGAATGGGAACAGACGGCTCAACAGCTGCGGCATCTGGCCCCAGTACGCGAATGGTCCCAGGGCGGCAGCGAAGACGGCCAGGATGCTAACGCCGAGCTTGATGGTGTTACCGAAGCGGATATGGAAGATTGACTTGGGTCCCAGGCAGTACGCGCGGAGGAGGTAGACGAAGTATGCGGGGGCGAGATAGAGGTAAATGTGCTTGAACATCAGGAGGACGGCGAAGAGGATGCCACTGAGGAGGAGCGTCGACTTCTTGCGCGCGAGGACGAGAGAGAGAATGAGGAGCCCGTAGAGGAAGCCATTGTATTGGAAGTGGATATGATCGATTATGAGGAGGCCGGGGGAGAAGAGGATCGAGAGAGCTGCGACGCGGGCGGCGCGTTTCGTGGAGGCGGGGGAGGTCTCGACATAGCTGTGACGTTGTTAGCTGGGATCACACGCGGAGAACTGGAAATGGCATGACTGACAGGTGCAGGGCATAAACCAGGACCAGCTCTGTGATAATGACGGTTGCGCGCTGGAAGTAGACGGTCTGCCAGCTCTCATAGTTGAGGTTGTAGACCTGGACCATCTCTGGGTCGACGAGCCGGCCGACCTGGGAGAGGAGCCATTCGAAGTAGGCAAAGAAGGGCGGGTAGTCGAGAGTCCATTCTGAAGTGTTCTCGTAGTACCATTCCTGGACGGGGAGGCTGTTGGTGATTGCGAGCCAGTTGCGATGGACCTCGAAGTCGGTCGATTTGCTTTAGTTGGATGTCAGTGGGGGTAAAGCTTGGGGAGGGGGAGGGGAGTGGGTAGAGGTTTTGCTTACTATGCTGGGAAGAGGAGGACCTTGAAGGCCGTGGCCAGCACGGCGCACTGTGCTAACGAGGGGTATATTTCCGACATGGAAGCATATCCAGAGCTGCCGTCGCCGTTGTGGAGTGCAATGGGCTGTGGATGAGGATCTGACGATATTAAAATCGAGGCGTGCCGTCGGAATAGCTGGGGTAAATTGCCGTTGATGCTACCTCTATAGTGGTCTAGCTCCACTCCGGTTGTAGGGATTGACGGCCCTCTCAATCCCATACAGCCATCGAATCAACACGCGACAAAAATGATAACCTGGAAAATAAAGAACACGTCTATGCCTTCTATATAGACTTCTATATTCTATATAACAACCATGGACGCATCGCTCTTCCCCGCCGAAATCGCTGTTAAACACGTTATCCACCATAAATTTGTCTTCGAGCTTGGTCCCTCCATAACGGGTTTGGGCAAGGGGTTGCGGAACACGATCATAGCACTGGTCCTCATTCGGTGCTCTTGTGAGCTTCTGCAAGCTGTCATCAACAACCGGCCCTGGCGATCCGGTCCACCAAAATAATTAATTCCTCACATATAATAACCCCTCGCACACTCAGGATCAATAAAGGATACATTCGCATCATCTTGGAGCTTCAGACGAAAAATTTGGCCAAGCTGGCCTTTGCAGCGTTCACCACAAGCAATCATGCACTTCTCCAAGGCCATCACAGCGCTGGCCCTCATAGCTGGATCATACGCCCAATCTCTCTACGTCCAGAATGAATTGAGCTTCGGACACGACGGGAAGTAAGTCTTCCTCCCCTCCCCCATCCATCCCTTCCCACTGACACCTCTCCCCCCAGAATGTCCCCCGACGAGCGCACAATCCCCAAATTCACCCTCACCGGCGACCCCACACAAATCTACTCCAACAAAATCATCCTCACCCCCCCCGCGCCCGGCAACAAGCGCGCGGCCCTCTGGTCGCAGGGCACTCTCACATCCCCCAAATGGGAAGCAACCCTCCAATTCCGCGCCACGGGCCCTGAGCGCGCCTCCGGCCGCATCCACCTCTGGCTCGTCAAGGACGGCTTCCAGAACGTCGGCACGAACAGCATCTACACCGTCGGCAAGTTCGAGGGCCTGTCCATCGTCGTCGACCAGTACGGCAATTCGGGTGGCATGATCCGCGCCTTCCTCAACGACGGCACAAAACACTACGGCCAGCACCTCAGTGTTGACGGCCTCGCGTTCGGTCACGCGCCATACCCGTATCGTAACCTCGGACGCCCCAGCTCCGTGAAGGTGATTCAGGACTGGCACAACTTCCGCGTTGAGATCGATGGCGAGCTCGCCTTCCAAACGAGCACGGTGCGCATTCCCGCGGGTTACAATATCGGCGTCAGCGCGGCGAGCGCCGATAGTCCTGATAGCTTTGAGGTCTTCAGCCTTACCGTCTCAACTGGCGAGGCCGAGGAGGGAGCATCGTATAACAAGCAACCTGGCACCAATAACGCCGACCCTCCCAAGAACGCCGGCGCGGGAATCCAAGACACCCCCGCTGAGCCGCAAGGCAGCAGAGGCAACCGCAACCCCCGCGACGGCGCTACAGCCACGGACTACCTATCCGCTGACCGGATCCCCGCATCCGGCGACATCTCCCCCCTCCCCGCGAGCGCGATCACTCAATCCCACGAGTTCGCAGACCTGCATTACCGCATCCAAGACCTACAATCTCATCTCCTAGCCCTGCAAGCAGATTTCCAATCCTACCAAGGCGAAGCCACGCGTCGGCACGGCGGACTGCTCGAGCGTGCCGCGAAAGCAGAGGCTGCTTTTGCGCGCGAGGCAGCGGGGGGGAAGACGGGGAAGATCGAAGAGATGTTGGAGGCGATGGATAGGAGGATGCAGGGGATGGAGAAGATGTTGGCGGAGACGAAGAGGGATGTTGGGGGGGGGAGTGATAGGGTTGAGCGCCTTAGACAGCAGTTGGTGGAGGGGCATAGTAGTATCCTTGAGGGCGTGCATGGGACGGTCGGGACGCTGACGGGGAGTATGCCGAAGATGGGGTGGGTGGTGGGGGTGGTGCTGGTGAGTCAGATGGGGGTGGTGGGGGCGTTTTGGTGGTATAAGAGGAGGAAGAATGTGGGGTTTAAGAAGTTCGTTTAGATAGATGGATAGAGAAGAAGGTGGGAGGGGGGGGATAGGGGGGTTATGAAATGAAATTATGCTTTTTTTTTGGGACAAAGGGATTTGGGTAGTTCAGTTATTATGAGGGGTGGGAGGGGGAGGGAGAGGGGGTTATGTATATACGTGTGCGAGATACCAAGAAACGAAGATTATTTCATTGAAATTATACAGGTACATCCTACATCGTCTCTCTATCCCACGCTCAGACGAAGAAACACATTAAAGTTCGTAAAAGTTAGTAATACACCCACAGCCACAATCATATCCACACCTACCCCTTCACAGCCACACCCACCTCCTCCTTAGCCTTCTCCTTCTCCTTCTCCTCCCCAACAACCCCAAGCCCAGCAACCTCCTTCCCCTTCTCCTCCCCCTTTCCCTCCCCCTTCTCTTTTTCCTTCTCCTTCCCCTCCCCCCCCAAAAACCCCCCCGGCACCCCCCTCGCCGCCCCCCCTCCCACCCAAGCCCCAAGCAAACTACTCCACCCCGGCCCCTTCCCCTTCCCCTCCCCCACCAGCTTCCTAATCTCCTTAAACGCATAAGCATTCGCATACCGCATTCCCGTCTTCGGATCCTTGAACCTCGCCGGTAGTCCCGTTATAGGGCAGATAGGAGGAGGAGGCGGACGAGGGAGTTTGGTGAAGCGGTTGCCTCGGAAGAGGATGGCGGCTTGGGTGGATTTGTCGCGCAGGGCGGTTTCGGAGAAGGAGGTTAGGATTAGGGCGTTTAGGTTGGAGGTGTAGGTTGGGAGGCGGGGGCGCGGGGGGGAGGTGGGTTCGGTGGGTTCGGTAGGTTTAGGAGCGGAAGCTTGGGAGGAGGGTGAGGGGTCGGTGGTGGTGGTGGGTTGTGTGGGAGCTGGAGCTGGACCATTTCCAGCTTGTGAGGCGGTGGCTGGAGGTGCGGTAACCGGAGCTGCGTTGTCTCCAGCTGGCGTGGTAGTAGTAGGTTTGGTCGCAGCTGGGGGACCATTATCTCCAGCTGGTGAGGCGGTGGCGGGTTGTGCGGTTGGTGGTACAGCGGGAGTCAGTTTGAACGGCTCCGTTGGTGATGGAACGAGTTTCGGGACGCTGGGTGCGGTGTCGCTCAGCGCGGAGGGCGCTAAAGTCGAAGACGCGGCTTCGGGAGCTGGTAATGGTGTAGTTTCTGAAACTAGTGGTTCAGCGGTGGACTCAGGGATGGTAGGAGGTGGTGCGGTAGAGGCGGGCGCAGGCTCTGTTGCTGAGGTAGAAGGCGTTGCGGATTCTGGTTGTGGTGGAGCAGATTCGGCCGCAGGAACTGTTGCTACAGTAGCGGGGGCTGGTTGTGATGCAGTAGATTCGGCCGCAGGCGCCGTTGCTGCAGGTTCTGCTGCTGAAGTAGAGAGAGCGATAGATTCCGCCTGTGGTGCAGCCGATTCGGCAACAGGTTCAGCTGCTGAAGCAGGGGCGGCAGAGGATGGCGGAGCTGCAGCCGAGGGTGATGTGGAGGGAGCGACAGAAGCTACTGGAGCCACAGGCGCAGGTGACGTTGATGGAGCTGTCGAAGCTGAAGGGGGTGCTACCGTAGGCGCAAACCCAGGCAGAGGCATCGTCCCATTCAACATAGACGGTGTAGCCTTCGTATCAATCACCGGCGGCGGCATCCCCGCCGCATCTACCGCAGCACCCTCAACCTTAACAACCGTTCCCCCCGCCCCCGTCCCCCCCGCCACGACAGCCGGCGGCGGACCCATCTTCCCCTTCCCCCCCCCCTCCTCCCCCCCCTTCCTCTTCCTCGGCCTCTCCCTCTCCTCAATAACCACCTCCCTCCCCACCGTCCTCAACCTATCCCCCTCCCACGTCGCCCTCCCACTCCAATACGTAATCACCGGCCCCTCCAAGCGCCTATCATGCAACGCCGCCAACTTCGCCCTCTGTTCCTCCTCCCTGATTCGTTCCGCCTCCTCCCAGCGATTCAAACTCTTCGCATTCCGCTTCTCTATCCTCGCCGCCTCCGCCAATCGATCTTCTTGAGTGCGTTCAGGTCGTCGCTCGGCTTCGCGCTTGAGCGCCGCTTTCTCCATGTTCGCGAGCTGGCGGACGCGTTTGCGCTCGCGGTCTTGCATTTGGACGTATAACTGCTCTTTACTCAGGCGCGTGGTTTTGCGGTCTGACGCGCGGAGGGGGGCTTCTTCGGCGGAGGGGATCCAGCTCGCGCGCTCGGATTTCTTTTTCGGTCGCGGCGCTGCTTCGGTCTCTTCTCTACCAACAACAACCCTGGGTTTCTTCCTCAACGCCGCCGGAATCCCCGTAGCAGCCTTCCTCTTCTTCGCAATCCTCTCCGCTCTTGCGACTCTCTGTAACTCGGCCTCGCCCTCGAGATCCTCCGCGCCGGGAGCAGAAGGGCCGGCATCCTCTTCATCAGAGGAAGAGTCCATCTGCACATCTGATGCGTCGCCGCCTTCGTCGGAGAATCCAGCGTCATCTTCGTCTTCCGCGAAGAGGAGTTCGAGGTCGTCGTCTGCGGCGGCGGCTTGGAGGAGGGTGGAAAGGCGGTTTCCGGCTGTGGAGCGGCGCTGGCGGCTTGTTGCTAGCCATTCTTTGGGTTCGGATTCGGCTGAGGAGGAGGAGTCGGAGTCAGAGGAGGAGGAGGAGGAGTTGTCATCTTGATCGCGGGGGGTGTCGACTTCGTTGTCGGGCTTGGGGGGGGAGGCGGCGGAGTCTGTTCGCATTGGGGTGTCGGCGGCTTCGTTGTCGACGTTCGCGGGGGTGGAGGCTGGGTCGTCCATCGCCATCGTGGTGTCCTCCACATCATCCATCCTCATCTCCGTATCATTCCCCCCATCATCCGCCATATCGTCTATTCGTCGGGGCGTCGTCAAACCCTCAAAACCGCGCCGTGGCGTCGCGTCCAGTTTCCAGTCTGTCGTGCCGTATCCAGCACGTAACAACTGTATCCCAAACAACCAAACAAACTTAATAAAAAGCCCCTGTTCTTAGTTGTCTACTCGTAGAAGTCACGGCGTTACCACGAGGCTGAGGCTGAGAAATTCTAGGTCGTGAACTTTAATATTCCGTATTGGGCCAAATCGCGGTGGTGGCCCAAACCAACAAGGATAACTGCACCGCCAAGTAATGCCAAGCCCAGCTGAGTTTCAATCGTTAAATGTATGTATTATAGGTCACGTGACGTATAGATACTGCGCTCCACCAACGAGAGTGTGGTGTGAGTTGTGTTGTGCTGTATGTGAGGGTATCCTTGTAATGTTGTACAGTTTGTACCTGCAGCTTGGGCACTTATTGGGAGGGGAGATGGGATTAGATTTTTAGCTTGATTTGGATGTAAACTATGTTATGGTGGTATCACGCAGCACGGCAGGAGGGAATTCGAGGTGAAGGGGAATCGTACTGTTCTGCTCTCATCTATTTTGAGCTTCTAACACTTCTCACACTACTAAGACTTTTATCCTTTTTCTAGCCCTTCCACCCATCTAATCGAGACACACATCTATCCTATTTCCTCTCACATTCCCACCAAAGCCCCGAAAAGAACCAGCAAACACCTCCCACCCAAAACCCCCACCGCGATTGGCCTCCCTGTCCTCAGCGCCAACGCCATGTTTCACCCCCTCCCCGCGCCTCACGAACGACTCGCGGGGTCCATCCGGCGTGTGTTTCAACTCCGCGCCGAGGTCTGTTTATGAAGCTGGCGGGGACGTCCAATCGAGTCCAATCCAGTCCACCCCCCTCGGCGAGGTGAGGGTATTATTAGCCCCCCCCCGCGCCGCCGCGACACCCATCAGTCTATAAACGCATCACAACGCGGAGAACAGAAACATTCTGACGCGCTTGGCAGGTTATTTTGGGGCGTGACTGACACGCGGTCTCAGCGCGGTATCGATGAGACGAGGGGGAGAGAGGGGTTTGGATGAACTGAGGGGGTTTGAGAGGGCGGGGTTTGGTCTTGGGGAGGTGAGTGAGTGACTGGATTGGGGGTGGGTGAAGGGAGGGGAAGGAAGGGGGATCTGAGATATGATACCTTGACTGAGTGATAACCCTCCGCCGTGGTTGAGATATAGCACCTTGAACTATTCCAGACGCCGACCTCCCCACCCTACCTCCTCTCCAAACACGATAGCTATCCCCGATACATGCCTAGAAGGGGGAGGCAGACGCGAGCGATGGACGTTTGAGCGGGACGCAAAAGGCTTCTTTCGGTCGGGCGTCGCGTGTGTGGGGAAGGGAAGGGGGGAGGGGAAGATCAACGCTTGTCCTGGTGTTTGTGGTGTACCTGCATGAGGCGAGCGTCGCATGGTTTGTGGAGAGGAGAGGGGGTTGGGGATGGGGAGGAGGCAGGGGGAGGGATTTACTTTCTTTGTTCACCACAGAAGGTACTCTGGTTATATGGATACTCTTCTTCTTCCTTCCGCTGGAGTGGATGGATGGATGGATAGATGGGGTATGCAAGGCATCTCGAGTACAACCAGGACCCCCCTTGCCATCTCTCTACCCTCTACCTTGGTAAGAACTCGCCCATTCTCTTTCTTTCTTCTTTGTCTTTTGAGGTGGTTGGGTTTACCCTCGTTAAAAACTCCGCGTCCATGTCCCCCCAGTTTAGCCACAGCACACGGTAACAGCACGGTACAGTGACCAGGGTGACGGCGCCCTCTCAACATCATGAAACGGCGCCGTCGAGGGGCAGGGCGTGCTGGGTGGTAGGGGGGATACTTGCGGGATCAGTGTTATTTTTTGGGTAGAGAGATGTGGTTGGGAGCAAGTATACTCCATTGTTAGTGATGGCTGGAGTCGTGTCGTACTATTTCTATCCTGTGGCAGTGGCAGCATTTTACTACTCTAGAGTAGAGGATGGATTGGAAGATACCCATCTAGTAAATACGGCGAGTCAGTATGAACTACTGTAGTTGACACCCACCCCTTGATCCGTTACAGCCACACCCCATTCTCACCCACTCACCCTACTAAACTCTACTCAACTCTGCTTACAGCCGTGTTATGTCAGCCATACATCGTCATATTTGCTGTATCCACGCCCCTATCCCGACTACCTGGACGCCCTTGTCGGGTCGTCTGTGGTCGTCTATGTCTGTCTGTGGTTGTGGTTGTTTGTCCCTGACGAGTTTACTGCGTGTTAACTCTGTTGTGTTAGTAGTAATAGTAGTTAATAGTAGTCGTAGTTAGTAGCAGCAGTAACACTAGTACCACTATACGATACAGCTAAACTCATCAGGTCCCCCATAAGTCCCCCATAAGTCCCTCATCACTGTAGCTGATTCACTAAGTAGCAAGCAGGAGTACATCCTAGATACCCCTTCTTTACCCCCTCAGTCTACTCTATTTTAATATCGCTACCTTGCTTCATAGTTACTCAACTCGGTATGAGATGAGGGCATACTCTGGCTGGCCTTTTCTCTCCTAATCTGCCTCCTCGTACGCGCGATCATGGGTTTATACGCTCATACTATGCTCATACATACGGCCATACACACGCTCATACGACTAGACAAGACCATACGACTAGACAAGGAACCATACATACGACGATTTATCTTCCTATTCTCCTGTTTCCTCTTGTTTCCTCCTGTTTCCCATAATAGATAGTACCACAGTAGTAGTCAATCAACCCTCACACCTCCTGCTTCCCATAATAGATAGTACCAGAGTAGTCAACTCTTACCCTCACCTCTTGGTATCCCCCTCCCCCTACCCCTTCCCTCCTATCTTCTCTCCTCCTCTCTCTAACCTCCAACTTACTATATTAATAACTGCATTGACTGCCCTCATACAAATATTCTCCAATTGGTTCCTTCCTCCCTCTCTCCCTCTCTCCCACCAATTGACAGGTTACTCGTTACATACGCACAGTTGCTGCACAGTACAGTACAGCAGTACGACAAAAAAGAGAGTACGCGTACCTTTCTTCCCAGAACTTAACAAAGGTGGAACGATTCGAGGGACTTTACCGTCTGCTCTCGTACCTCTAAACCTTACTTGAGGTACCCTAGCTGCTGACTGTGCGTCAAGGGGTACTTGGATTAGAACAGTCCGGTACTTGTACTACCACACCACCGACCACGCACCACACACGACGCGCCACACAATTTAATCGCTCCGTCACTTTACAATTCACAATTCACAATTCACAATTCAACAATCCAATTGTGTGCTGTTGATTGCACTATTTGGCACTGGCAGTAAAATACAGGTACTTTCGGCACTGTGCTCCACTGTACATACGCTATTTTAACTCGCTGGAATTCAACTGGACACGCTGGGAATTTCTGCATCCTGCACCGCTGCCCTGCTCACACCCAGCGCTGCCCTGCTCACACCCAGCGCTGCCCTGTTCAACCCACAGCACCAAACCTCCGCCAACCGACGTTCAAACAGGGCCCCAGGAACAATTCACAGCTCAAGACCAATCAACCCCTATCGAAAATACGCATACGACCACATTTACACTCTACTCTACTCTACTCTACTCTACGCTACGGGCTACGGAGAGTCCACACTTTACTCTACTCTCTACTACTACCAAACCGCACCACTACTACCAACCACACCACACACCCCAAACCTTCAAACCACACCACACCTTCAATCCTTCCCTCCTTCCCCCAATTCAACTTCACTTCTTTCGAATTTTTAAAATCCTCCCTCCCACCACCAATCCTTAGGGAATATATGATTCCTGTCCATCGATTCCCATCTGGGGCTATCATACTATTTTAATAGATCCGTTTCTGTTTCTACTACGACCTACTACTACTACTACTGCTACTTACTACTCCTTGCTATACATACTACACTACGTACAACTTGCAACACTACTTCTATACTGCACTACTACTCTTGCATCCCGAATTCAACCACCCAAAAAAGCTATCAACGACTCTTTATGACGACAGACCGGCCTTAATATTCCATCTATATTAATTCGAAGAAATTGCCCAAGACGGCTTGCCATCGATCCTGCTGTTCCACCATCCAGACGCCCTGAACAAAAGTTGGCCGTCTTTTTGGAGACACACTTCACTTCAACACCCACACCACACCCTTTGCTACCCGCACGCACCGGTGCTGCTGCAAATTATATATAAATGGCTTCCTCGCGGTCAGAGCACCCTTCACTGGGATACCTACCGCCGTCAATGATGCTCCAACCTCGCTCGGGCTCATCCACAGGGAACACATCGCCCATCGAGCTACCCAATTCCTCCTCCGCTAGATCTCCCTTCGGCAACCCACCTGGCCTGACCTCAGTCGGCAAGATGGCCGGCAATTCGCGCTCTGGAGCTGGCTCTCCATCGCACGAGCTTGGTAGTGCCAGCAGGCTGTTCTCAAAGAGGTATTAACACCGCTGCTCTCCCCATCCTAGTCGTCCTGACGAGAAAAAAAATTATGTGTGCTGACAATCTGCTCTCAACAGGGCTCGCGAGATCCAGGCACAAGGGGGCGTCCCGGTCAATGTCTGGGGACCACCGACCAGCGGGAACTCGACTCCGCTCCGTGAGAATATCCCCGAATCCCCGACGGATGGCTTCCCGGATTACATACAGCTGCCGACCCCCGAGAGCCTGCCGCAGGGCCGTCGTGCGAGAGCAGGGACGGTGCCGTCTCGGTTCGCTCCCGGCGCTCCGCTGGGAGGACTGGGTGGACTGTCGTCTCTCGGATCGAAGACGTCTCGTCCGTCGCCGTCACCGAGTCCTTACAAGTCTCCCTCGCCTGGCTTGGGCGAGATTGGAGATCACAGCTCGGCGTCGAACAATGCGGCGCTGCTGTCCCGTCTCAGGGCTGGATCAGTACCGCAGCACATCTCCAACTTCTCGTCGACGACACAGTCGGGCAGCGGTCCGTTCGGACCGTCTGTCTTCTCTACAAACTGGACTTCGGGACGGGAGAGGACGTCTACGCTGGCAAGCATTGCGAGTCTAGGATCGAACGGGCCGAATTCTCCCACGCAGTCTTCGTTCTCCAAGGAAGGCACTGGCGAGAACGATATGCAGATGAGGACGCTGGATTACCTCGGACTCGCAGACACGCCGCAGCCTCCGAGGGCTACGCTTGCTGCTAACCCGTTCTTGGCGAACATGATCGATGCGAACAGACAGGCCAGCCGATTCCGCTCGTACTCGGTGAACGCAACAGAGAAGTACGCTGATGAGGAGGAGGACGACTATGGTACTGGGAGCATGACACCGTACGAGGCACACCAGGCGCGTCTGCAGTATGAGGTTGCGCAGACACATGCTGCGATCCAGCAGCACAATCTTGCTGTGCAGGCGTTCGCCAACCAAGCGTCGACGAATCGCCCTCGTGCGAGAACCGCGGGTGTTCTTGAGTCGCCCGGACCAAGAGGCCTTCTGCGGAACTACTACCCCTCCTCTCGTCTGGAGAACAGCATTAGCGTAGCTGATCTCAGGGACTCGGCCGAGTACGACGGCTTGCCAGAGGCAGTCCAGGCGCTAAACCTGGGCTACACCAACGGCCAGACTAGCTCGACCCATCTCACAGCCGACGAAGCCAATCTGGAAGGACCGACCCGCGCCCTGTGGCTCGGCAGCATTCCGTCATCGACCACGACCTCGACCCTGACGGAAATGTTCAAGTCCCACGGCGCCATCATCTCGGCCAGAGTCCTGACGCACAAGAATTGTGGGTTTGTCAACTTTGAGCGCCTCGAGAGTGCCATCTCGGCAAAGGCGATGATGAACGGAAAGGAGATCTTCCCCGGTGCTGGACCCGTCAGGATCAACTTCGCCAAGCCACCGTCTTCTAACGGCACACCGGGTCACGATGGCGCTTTCCCATCTCCATCTCCTGATCCATTCTCCCAGGGCCAGGAGAACGGGAGCAGATCCCGCAACGGCACCCCCGCAAACGCCGGGGCTATTTCTCGTCCAAGCACCACACCCCCTACCGTTCCGCGCCTCCAAGACATGCGCAGCGAGATCCTCAGCATCGTCAAGGACTTCAGCGCCACAGACGAGGAGAGGCAGAAGATCGACGTGATCCTCCAGCAAGCCCTCCAATACGACGGCTACGACAACGACATCCCCCCCGTCGCCGAGCCCTCCCTGAACCGCATCCACGACGCCCCGAAACTCCGCGACATCCGCAAGCGCATCGACAACAACAGCTGGTCGCAGTCCGAGATCGAGAATATCGCCATGGAGATGCTTCCCGAGGTCGCGGAGCTCTCCTCCGACTACCTCGGCAACACTGTCGTGCAGAAGCTGTTCGAGTTCTGCTCCGACCCGGTTAGGGATGCCATGCTCGCCGAGATCGTCCCGCACATGGCTGAAATCGGCGTCCACAAGAACGGCACCTGGGCTGCGCAGAAGATCATCGACGTCTGCCGTCTCCCGACCCAGATGTCCTCAATCGTCGAAGCCGTCCGCCCTTACACCGTCCCGCTCTTCCTAGACCAGTTCGGGAATTATGTCCTCCAGTGCTGTCTCCGCTTCGGGTCGCCATACAACGATTTCATCTTCGAGATCATGCTTACCAAGATGTGGGAGATTGCGCAGGGACGGTATGGGTCCAGAGCTATGCGCGCGTGTTTGGAGAGTCACCATGCTACGAGGGAGCAGCAGCGCATTCTGGCGGCGGCGATTGCGCTTAATAGCGTCCAGTTGGCGGCTAATGCTAATGGAGCCCTTCTGCTCACTTGGCTCCTCGATACGTGTACCTTCCCCCAGCGCCGCACTGTGCTAGCGCCGCGCCTGGTTCCGCATTTGGTGCACCTCTGCACGCACAAGGTGGCGTACCTCACAGTCCTGAAAGTGATCAACCAGCGCAACGAGCCCGAGGCACGTGATATCATCTTAGAAGCCCTCTTCTTCTCCCCCGACAACAAAGTCCTGGAAGACATCCTAACCGACCACATCTGCGGCCCAACGCTCATCTTCAAGGTCCTCACCACCCCCTTCTTCGACGAGAACATCCGCGCACAGGTCGTCGAGAATATCCGCAGCGTCCTGGTGAAACTCAAGGCTCAGCCGGGTCAGGGATACAAGAGGTTGATGGATGAAGTAGGCCTGCCTACCCGTAACGGCAGCACGGGACCGAGGGAACACACGCATTCCCAGGAGCGCGCGCCGAGATCTGCGCCGCAGACTCAGGGTCAGACGAATGGTGGCGGTGGTGGCGGTGGACAGCAGCAGCAGCAACATCACCATGCGGATCTGCGCCAACAGCAACAGCAGCAGCAGCAGCAACAACAACACTCCCCACAACCGCAACATCACATCCACCAGCAACAACACCAGCAACAGCAGCAGCAGCAGTCTCTCCCCCAACAGCAGCAACAACAGCAGTACTCACAATACTACACCCAACAACCCACTCTCCCCCTCCCCCTCCCCCATCCAGCATACGACATGCAACGCACACCCTCTCTCGAACCGCTCCCCTACCCCTCTCCCTACTCGCTCCCGCAGTCCTTCGGCGCCGTCCCTATGCCAGCGGGCTATAACCAGCTCCTTGTTAGGGGGGCGCCGGTGGGGATGCAGGGGATGGGCGTTGGTGGGTTCGGGGGTTACCCGTATCAGGCTTCGCCGGCTGGGGGGTTGGGAGGGTTAGGACAGCTGGGGGGGTTGGGACAGATTGGACAGATGGGCGGACAGATTGGTGGGGGAATGGGTCAGTTTGGCGGGGTTTATGGGTATGCCGGGCAGCAGCCGGTGGGGGGACAGGTTGGGCAGGGGGGGTATGGGGGGCAGGAGCAGGGGAGGAGGGGGAGGGTGAGTTTTATTTCC